TCTTCACAAAAATGTTACTATGATGTTACACCTTTTGTTCCACATATCAGGGACTTACATAAAACTCTCATGTGATTTGGCTCATTAGGAACCAACCAGGCCTGCAATTCCGATAATGTTAGCTGTTGGTGCTGTCCATCAACATCTTATTCAAAACGGATTGAGGATGTCAGCTTCCATTGTTGCTGATACCGCCCAGTGCTTCAGCACACATCATTTTGCTTGTTTGGTTGGATATGGTGCAAGGTTAGTCTCTTTGGTTTGTTCTGAATTTCCTAGTTTTTTTATTACCAAGTGATAGTAGCAAACAACTCTTTGTTAAATTCATCAATAAGTATGCTTTGTGTTCCCACAGTGCTGTATGCCCATACTTGGCACTGGAGACATGTAGGCAATGGCGCTTAAGTAACAAAACTGTAGCCTTTATGCGGAACGGTAAAATTCCCACTGTGACCATTGAGCAAGCTCAGAAGAATTATACAAAGGTGAGAGAAAATTTCAGTATAAGTTTCTTAAGAGACTCATCTTTTTAGTTCTTAAAATATCATAAAGGATTCTGATTTATACATGGCTTATCTTGCAGGCGGTTAATGCAGGACTTCTTAAAATTCTTTCTAAGATGGGGATCTCTTTGCTTTCAAGGTTTCCTTTCTCTCTTTTCATACGTCTATCTATAACTAATGTTATGTCAAGTAGACTTCTACAACTACTGACTTAGCATTTTTATTGTTTCAGTTATTGTGGTGCTCAAATTTTTGAGATATATGGTTTGGGAAAGGAGGTTGTTGATCTTGCATTCACTGGAAGTGTGTCAAAAATCAGTGGACTCACCTTCGATGAGGTGAAAAGATACATCATATTGATGATGCTCTGATTACTTTTGATCAGTTTCACATGTCTTCTAACAAAATGCAGTCTTGTTTCAGTTGGCAAGGGAGACACTGTCTTTCTGGGTGAAGGCCTTTTCTGAGGATACTACTAAACGATTAGAAAACTTTGGGTTTATTCAATTTAGGCCTGGTGGTAAGAACTTTTTTTAAAAGAACATATTTTTTCAGTTCCTGATTCTAATCAGTATGTTCATTTAAACAAAGCCTTGATATTTTAGGTGAGTATCATTCAAACAACCCAGAGATGTCAAAGTTGCTCCACAAGGCTGTCCGTGAAAAGAGTGAAACTGCATACGCAGTCTATCAACAACATCTCTCTAACCGACCTGTTAATGTGAGTTTATATCTAGTTTCTCTTTCTCAAACCTTCTTTTGTGTTAATTAAGTTCACTTATGTCTGAACATGCTCTTGTGGCTGGCTCTCTCTTTAGGTCCTCCGTGATCTGCTTGAGTTCAAGAGTGACCGTGCACCAATCCCAGTAGGGAAAGTGGAACCAGCCGTAGCTATTGTTAAGAGATTTTGTACTGGTGGCATGTCACTTGGTGCTATTTCAAGAGAAACTCATGAAGCGATTGCTATTGCAATGAACAGGATTGGTGGTAAATCAAACTCTGGAGAAGGTGGAGAGGTAGAATTTCTCCATTTTCTCTTTCAGATGAGTAAGAAAACCAAAATCTAAGGCACTGTTTGTTGTGTTCCCCTCTGTAGGATCCTATCCGTTGGAAGCCGCTTACCGATGTGGTTGATGGATACTCACCAACATTACCACATCTCAAAGGTCTTCAAAACGGAGATATTGCAACAAGTGCTATTAAGCAGGTATTATTTTCATCTTTTTATATCACAGAACTTTTTTCTGAGTGATAATAGCTAGCTAGAAGTAACCTTACATTTTGTATTATCTCAGGTTGCTTCAGGACGTTTTGGAGTCACACCAACATTCTTGGTGAATGCAGATCAGTTGGAAATCAAAGTTGCACAAGGTGCCAAGCCTGGTGAAGGTGGTCAGCTTCCTGGAAAGAAAGTCAGTGCGTATATCGCAAGGCTAAGAAGCTCTAAACCTGGTGTTCCACTTATATCACCGCCTCCTCACCACGACATCTACTCTATAGAGGATCTTGCTCAGTTGATCTATGATCTACACCAGGTGATCACTCTTTTCAGAACTCAATAAACAAGAAAAACTCTATAAAATCTAATTTCCAACTGAAAAAAAAAAAAAACAGATCAATCCAAATGCTAAAGTATCAGTCAAGCTGGTCGCAGAAGCTGGAATTGGAACTGTTGCTTCTGGAGTTGCTAAGGGTAACGCTGATATTATCCAGGTATCAACTTGAGAAGAATACATTGGTTCTTGTTTCTCCATGTTGTTGCACCGAGAAGTTTCATGGTTCTTTTTGGTATGATATTCAGATATCAGGACATGATGGTGGAACTGGTGCCAGTCCAATAAGCTCCATAAAGCATGCTGGTGGACCTTGGGAACTTGGACTCACAGAAACTCACCAAGTAAACATTTTGACTACAATGTGCTACTAATTCTTTAGGACGTTCTGAGTATTTTTTAATATAAAAACTCATTATATTCTACTAATTCTCTTTTGCAGACACTTATTGAAAACGGACTCAGAGAAAGAGTCATATTAAGAGTTGATGGAGGCTTAAAGAGTGGTGTTGATGTTCTCATGGCTGCAGCTATGGGTGCTGATGAATACGGATTTGGTTCCTTGGCCATGATTGCTACTGGCTGTGTTATGGCTCGTATTTGCCACACTAATAATTGCCCAGTGGGTGTTGCAAGTCAGGTAAACTCAAATATATTTCTTAAATTTTTTGGCTTCTTATACAACTTCTCTTGAGTTTCAGTTGTATAACAATCTCTGAATGGTCACAGAGAGAAGAATTACGTGCAAGATTCCCTGGTGTCCCTGGCGACCTTGTCAATTACTTCTTATATGTAGCAGAAGAGGTTAGCCGACTTTGTACCTTCTCAATTATTAAGACTATTTATGTCCCAATCTCATCTCAAGTATAATCTTTTCTTGGTAGGTGAGAGGCATCTTAGCACAGTTGGGATACAACAAGTTAGATGATATCATTGGACGTACAGAGTTATTGAAACCACGAGACATTTCGCTAGTGAAGACTCAGCATCTTGATCTGGGCTATCTTCTTTCGGTATGTGCTTGTATCAAGACTCTACTTCATCTACATGAAATGAAGATTCATAATTAGAGAAGATGTTCTGATTCCTCTTTACTTCACTCTTTTTTAGTCTGTTGGAACACCTTCAATGAGCAGTACCGAAATCAGGAAGCAGGATGTTCATACAAATGGACCTGTTCTCGATGACGACATTCTTGCAGATCCATTGGTAACATAAGTCTTTCACTGCTGTTTCTCATCACCTGGTTCTGCTGTCTATGTGGTTGCTAACAGTTTTAATATCTCCAGGTGATTGATGCAATAGAGAATGAAAAGGTGGTTGATAAAACCGTCAAAATATGCAACATAGACCGTGCGGCTTGTGGTCGCGTTGCTGGTGTTATCGCAAAGAAGTATGGAGACACTGGTTTTGCTGGACAAGTGAATCTAACGTAAGATATAGACACTGAAGCTTTGTATAAATTGATATGTCTCATTTTCAGGTTATATAGCTAAAGCAAGCTTTACTCTTTTTTCTTGTTCTGCAGTTTCCTTGGGAGCGCTGGACAATCCTTTGGGTGCTTTTTGATACCCGGTATGAACATCCGGCTCATAGGAGAGTCAAATGACTACGTTGGAAAGGTAAATTAGCATCCCCACCCATAGAAAACAGAATCTGTATCAATTGTTACTGATATTGAAATCTTCTGCAATGGTTGGTCTTTTTGAAGGGAATGGCTGGTGGTGAAATAGTAGTAACTCCTGTGGATAAAATCGGGTTTGTGCCCGAGGAAGCAACGATAGTCGGGAATACTTGCTTGTATGGTGCCACGGGGGGTCAAATATTCGCTAGAGGCAAAGCTGGAGAGAGATTTGCAGTGAGAAACTCACTTGCTGAAGCAGTAGTTGAAGGTACTGGAGACCATTGCTGTGAGTACATGACTGGTGGCTGTGTAGTCGTGCTTGGAAAGTGAGTAAAACTGAAATAATTCAAAACCAGCTTGACTAAAAACAAAGCTATATTCTAATGATGATATTTGAAATGTTTTCTATTGAAACAGGGTTGGAAGAAACGTTGCTGCAGGTATGACAGGAGGCATAGCTTACCTTCTTGATGAAGACGACACTCTTCTTCCTAAGGTTTCCTTCTATCTTTAAGTTGAAATTTAGATTCTTTTCTTTCAGCATTCATCTGAACAAGCTCTATTTTACAGATTAACCGAGAGATTGTGAAGATCCAGAGAGTAACTGCGCCAGCAGGAGAATTGCAGCTGAAGAGCTTAATCGAAGCCCATGTTGTAAGTCATCTCAAAGATATATATATATGCAGTATTCTTAATTAGACATAGCATCAGCCAATTTCTTGGCTCATGAACCAGCTAAAGCAAGAGATAGTGGCTTGTCTTAGATGGCATCATATTTAAAACTCTCTTTTGTTTTGACTGATATATAGGAAAAAACCGGAAGCAGCAAAGGTGCAACGATTCTGAATGAGTGGGACAAGTATCTACCTCTCTTCTGGCAACTGGTTCCACCGAGTGAGGAAGACACTCCTGAAGCTTCTGCTGCTTATGTAAGAACAGCCACAGGTGAAGTCACATTTCAATCGGCATAGAGATCATTCAAGAGCATTGCATGTTGAAACACAAGGATTGATACATCAATGGTGGACTATGGAGGAGATCGAGAATCATATCATTTTCAGAGATCAATGTGTGTGTGACAATATTCTTATTGTCCTTTGATCTTCAGTACTACCATGGTTGCTATAACTGTACAGTAAATTCAGTAAAGTAACTGCTTTCAACTGCCATAAATAATCATCCATAAATTTGCATATTCTCTTTATTGAATAAAGTTTCCGAGTTGAATAATCATATTTAAGAATGAAAAAAAAAATGTTACAGAAGATTACAATTCTAAAATCTGAGAAAAAGTCTAACATTAACTGACAAAGAGCCACTCTTTGAAACTCTTCATCTCTCATTATGACTGGCGTAATCCCAAGAGCATACCATTGATGAGTTCCTCCAGTCTCACTTTGCAATCTCCTATCATCTGCACAAAGAAGAAGAAGAAGAAGAAAGCGATTTTAGATTCTCTGAACTATATGAAGTTTCAAGTTAGAAGCCACTTATGATGTCTTTTTTAGACAAGTACCTGAAGATGCAGAGTGGAGAAGATCCTTGCGGTGGAAGAAACTGAAGAAGATACGCTTATGACATGAAGCCCGTTTTCTTCTAACCTAAGCAACATGTCGGAGACCGATGTCCATTTCGATGTTGCAATCTGGACAGCAATCTCTGTGTCAGTGAGCCAATTTGCTACTATCGGTTGGGAGGAAGAAGAATCTATAGATTCCATTGTTGCTTTGTTTCTCAGCTGTTCTTGGTGAGTTTTTCTCGAGATTCTCTTCAAAAGCTCTACTTTTCTCCGAGACAAACGTTGAAGCTCTTGCTTCTGCTCTGGTATGTACTTCACCACTCTCGCTACCGTCATTGGAATGCTCAGCTTCCTCTGCATAGTCACAGATATATATATCCATTAATTTCTAGATTACAAAATCTTTATATATGTATAAAAAGAAAGAAAAAAAAAAAGATTACAAAACCTAATCTTGATCCGGTTTTTAATTAGTAGGGTTTTTTTAAAAAAAAACAGTTTAAAAGCAGAAACCTTTTGATCAGCGGGAGGCAAGAGGGCACGAAGTGAAGAGTACAAGGCGTTAAGCTTTCTACGGCGGTCTCGTTCGCTTGCGTTGTGATTCAGTTTCTTCTCCAAAAGTGTTCCTCTATCTTCTTCTTGATCATTGTTACTGTTACTGTTAGTACCATTGCTGTGACTAAGACTCATGTTGATGTTATGATAGTTCTTGGATTCATCTGATTGGGTGAAAGAAGGATAAAGGAGAGAAGGAAGATATTGGAGAGTAGGAGGGAAGGAATACTCTTGATGAGACTGCAACCATGGATTCTCCATTGTTGAAGCAGAGTACCATTCTTGTCGCTTACTTGTTGGAAATATTGGTGTTAAGGCACACATCTTATTTTTGTCTTCTTATGCGTGAGAAGGATAGTACCGAATAAAGAGGGAGAGAGAGAGAGAGCCTTTGATGGTGAAGATGAAGGAGGAGGAAGAAGATGATAAGAACGAATAAAGAGATGGAATCTATGCAATGTAGTTTTGTGTCCCCAAGTAGTAAGTATTTATAGCTCCATGATTAAGGGAAGTTTCTTTAAGCATTTCTTCACTCCACACGCAGTCTCGTGCTGGAACGAGTAGGGCACGAGCTTTTCGTACAACATTTTCTATTTCTTATTCCTCTCTATATCGTACCAAATAACTCGGATCGAGGTTTAATCCAAACTATATATATATCCTTCTTTTTCTTTAGAGGATCAATGTATTTATACATTAGTTAATTATATATTTCGAAACGTAATAATAATGTTCTTAAAATAAGTAGCTTAACCTTCTTTAGAAGTATAAACAAGTCAGTTTTTTCTTTCTCTCTTACTATTGTTTTTATTTTGAATGTGAACACAGTTTTGATGAGGGTATCTGCAGAATATAAACCTTTCACTATCACAAAGTTAATTAACATATATATATATATATATTCATATACAGTTATGCATACATCATATGAGATTTCTTCTAGATTTACATCAATGTATTTAACATATTCTCACCTGAAATTGTCTGCATGGTCTTTAGTAATTTCTCACGCATCCAATTAAAATAGATATATCATTCAAAAGAACCGTCAAAGTTATATGTTTTTCTCATATGAAATTTTAAGTATTATTATGTGTGATTCATTCTGTTGTGTTTTTTTTTTGTCTTCTTTCCGGTATAATTAATTTTCATGTTTCTTAATTTGATTTTGTCATCGATCTAACTATATATCTAAGCATATACCATTCACATCCGATCCATATGTAATTTTAAAATGTACTATATATTACTATATAGTTTCTAGTTAACGTTTCTCTATTTTCTTACAAAGTTATAATAAAGGAAGTGAATTAACAAATAAGAATAAGGTTGAAAGTAATGACAATGACAAATATATTCAGATGTACATATGATCTAATCGATGACGCTTTTTTTAGGTTTTTGTTTTGTCATCACTCATTTCATATATATTTATTTCACTTAAAGTAGAGAGGTATATATTTATTTCATATATATTTATTTACGTATATCAAAAGCAATTACTATATCATTTATACACATATATATATATATATATATATATTAATTATATCCATAAAACTGATCATAATTTAACTTATTGTAGCTATATTTTTTTTTATGATTACATACTATAATTAAGCTTATGATTTTTTTTCTTTATTTTGGGTTTATTTTCTTCTTTTTTTAATTACTAGAGTCTAGTAGTTATGATCAGAATATCACAATCGATTTTTAAAGGTCTTAAAAATAAAATAAAATAAAAATTGTAAATGAATTAAAAAAAAAAACGTGAGGTTAACAAATATAAAGTTAGGTTACAGGTCTGTTTAGTGTTGAGTACAAATAAATTATAAAATATAATTAAATTATACTATATGACTACAGTAAAACCTCTATAAATTAATACTCGATAAATTAATAATCTCTATAAATTAATAAATTTCTTTGGTCCCAAGTTGGAACCAGTGTAATTTTAGACATATTTCGATAAATTAATAAGATAATATTTTTTTTGAAAATCCTTTGTAAATATATGGTCCCAATAATATTATAAATTAATAATTAGGTAAAATTTTCAAAATATATGTATATATAGACACATTAGTTTTTGTTAGAGTTTATTTCTAATATTTTACTATGTCAAAAATTGTTAGCATTCTCTTTCAAGACATAATAATTATTATTTTTTTGTAATTGATTATATAAATACTAATTATCATGATTAAATTTCATTTTTAAATATTTTTCTGAAAAAAACTTTCAAATTAGGAAAATCTCTCTATATCGATAAATTAATACCTCTATAAATTAATAGATTTTCATGGTCCCAACATTATTAATTTATAGAGGTTTTACTGTATATGAGTGTTTATTTGAGGTGGTTAATTTGTTTCAAATCTATGATATATACCCATCTTCTATAAACGGTAAATCCCCTTCACATAAATGTCATATTCAAAACCCATATCTTTGTTAAGTACAAATATTTTATAAAATATCAGCGACAGAAAATATTTAACTATTCACTTATTCCATGTAACTTTGATTAGAGAAAAAAAAAACTTTTATGCTTTTTTTTTTTCAGCAAAATCAAATTTTCATTAATTTCAAAGAGTTATTACAAAGACATTATACAAAATTAATGTAACACAATTATTACATACATATATATGTATCATACACTAAGAAAAATACAGCAGAAGGGAGATTGACGATGCTTTCTGAAGAGTAGTCTTACTCGCTAACCGATCGCAAAATCGGTTATTGTCCAACTTCATATTTGATTTTTCTTTGTTACGATTTGCATGCAGCAACTTGTCGCTGAACTTTCTTTTTGCTAACCGTAGCGATAAACCCGATGTGTCCAAACATAACTCTGGAATGTAGACATAGTGGTACCAAAACTTCCGCACCAAAGTCTTTTTAAAATATTTTGACTTTGTAATTTTCTTAAACATAATCACAAATAATTTTTTGCCAGATTTCAACAAATCTCTTAGAACTTTCCAGGGAGGACCATAGACCTTTAAGCAGTAACATGTACATTGAAAAAACAAGTTGTGATGTGTTTGGTCCCACGCAACACACTCACCATCATCATCACCAACAAACCACGGCAGAAAGTATTTGGGATTCTCATTTCTTAGTGCTTCCCACCATTGTTTCTTATAAACCATTCACGATGAGACATGCCGAAGACCACAAAATAATTGGCCAAGTGAAAAACTTTTATGCTAAATAGAGATTAATACACATGACATGTGACATACAACTATACAAGTGAAAGAAAGAAAAAAGAAAGAGAGGGTAAAAACGCACACGCCCTGGGGTCAGCGGCACGTGTCGGCCGTAGCGTCGAACCTAAAAAGCACATTTCAATTTACACATCATCAAACTCGGTCCACTGCAACTAAACTCACACACAAATCCGAACGTCAAGTTACAAATTACATACATTCCTAAATTTTTACATAATAAATACACATTACTCAAAATTAGTAAAATATATTTTGGTGGACTACTATTCATTCTTCTCTTCTTTTTCTTTTACTTCATCTACCAAATTAAACAAGCAGTTTGAGTTTTTTTTTGGTAGACTTGTAGTACCGATAAAAATCCATATGCTTAGATATGGTAACCCTAAAAACCCGATTAAAAATGTGAAAACCCTAAAATGTGAGTACACTTGCCTTTACATTAGTAAAAATAATCTATTTTGGGAGGTACTATTAAATGCAATTTTATACCAAACAAAGATAATCATTGTTTTAAGCATGTAGTAGGCTTTACCTAAGGAAGGTCTTGCCTACGTTGACATATTATAATAGGGACTAAACTGTTTCGTAAAGGTAAAAACAAAAGTGAGAAAAACGAATCCATTTCTTAACTTCTTTTTATTAATCACTTTAGGGTTTCTTTTAGCTAGCCTTAGAGTACTCTCTAATTTGTCTATAACCAGAGCATGGTTAAAATCTTCGGTGTTGATTGAGCTACAAACATTAATTAAGATCGTTATTTTTCTTTTCGATTTATCTGTTTCTTTTCTCATATTTCAAATGCTCTACGTTATAATGGAAAACCAGTAAATATGTTTTGAGGATAGAAGAGGCTATATATCAAATATTCTCATTGAAACTTCATAGTCCAAAAATGAATGAGCTAATTAATTAACTCTATAAGTTACAGGTTTAATTTGATTGAGAAGTATTAATTTGCATCTTTTCATATCAAATATATATAACAAATTTGATATGTGAAATATTACAATTATGGGAAAGAAAAGAAAATAGTGCAAATGTACATGAGATTTCGTAATATTCCTAACATTATTAAAACAACAAATCCATCCGATCCCATACAATTGCATTTGTTTTTTTCTAAAACAATCATTGTCAGCATATAATTAAGCGTGACCTAATAAGGTCTCGCCTACGTTGACATACTAACCAAAAAAATGTTTCAGAAAGTAAACTAGATGAGAAAATGGATTAGTTAATTAAAATTCTTTTGGTTTGTATTATATACAAGAACATAAGAAAAAGTTTAGAAGAAAAAAAAAGAAGAATCTTCTTTATTCGTTTTTTTCCTCTCTACTTTTGTTAATCATTAATGATTCTTTTCTAGAAGAACGTTATTTAAAAACTATAAGACTATCTTGATCCCCTTAAAAAAAAAAAATATTACACAGCAGCTTAGTTTTTGATTATGGTTCGCACGTCGGCGATAAGCCAGCAAATATATTCTCCTCATATGCATAAAATGTAAATCAAACACTAAAACGTTTGCTATTGTTGGTAAGCCGGCCATTTATTATTTATCAACAATAGAGTTATTTATACAATATGCTTTTTCGAAGCTACTTTAGGATTCGTCTAATCCAGAACAAATTTTGATTACTATAGTTTTCTATAATACTTTTCGAGCATATATATACAGTATTTTTACGTTTATATATGTAGATCATTTTACATGCTATACTATATTATTGTACCAATTTACTAATAAAAATATAAAAATAATGTTTTCGTGTTTTCGTTCACAATCTATAAAGAACGCAAAACAACAAAAAAACAATTTTGGTTTGGGTTTGAAGGATAAAAATGTAATTGGACAACCTAAAAATGTAATTGGACAACCTGATCGTAAGCTGGAGACTTGATGCTATATAATTAATTAATATGTTAAATTAACCAAAATGGAATCTCATCCTGGAAACAGAAGAGTGATAATCTCTCACCATGGAATCTAACATTGTCCAATGCAATATTACATACTAATAAAGTGCGTATATATATGATAGTTACAAAAAATCACTACTGATGAGATATTCTCATCTCTTAAATCCCCAAAAACTTCAGGTCCTAATAGAGGAGTCTTGAACAGAAGAAGTAACAAACATAGAGAAGCTATGTTTGTTACTTGCCAAAGGTCTGTAAGCTCATCTAAATCTGCGTTTTGTCTCTCCATAAGCAACCACCCCAAGGACGGTTATGGAGTACCCGCCAATTCCCATAACCGTAACCGGGTTTTGAAAGATCAAGATCGAAATCACCACTGCAACTGCTCCTTTAGCATTTCCAAGAACCTTCACGATGCAGAACACACTCAACATTGTCAGTCTTGTTATCTCCAAGATTGAGCTCTCGGGTGAGAAAAGTACATAGAGAAAGAGAGAGAGAGAGGCAAGTCGATTTACCTGGAGGGTGAGGGCGCTTGTGTGTTTGGTAACCAGGAAATTCAACAAATTGGCTGAATAAGCCATCACCGAGTTAACAAGAAGAAGTATCCACATGTACTGATGTTGTTTTGCAAGGGTCAAGGTCACGCTGATCACGTCTGGTTCCATAAATAGCGTGACAGGAAGAAGAGCTACCACAGCTATTGGGGACATATACAACATCAAATTCATCGAATTCAATTTCTCCCTGCAGCAGGAGAAATAAAAAAAAGGAACGAAGAGAGATATTACTATATATAGATGTTGGTATATATGGAGATGAAACATCTTTAGCTGGTAACAATTTAATTCTACGAGTTAATATCTTAAACTGATAATGATAATAGATTGCAACATTCTACCAAACCAACAACTTATGAGATTTCTTAATTGGGTAACAAAAGTTTCCTGATTTGCAGAAAATGAAGGAGTGATATTTATTTACCCCTCTGAAGAAAGCAAAATGCCTTGAAGAACGGATTTAAAGGCTCTTGCCGCCGTAGCACTAATGCACATAATGAACCCAAACCAGTGAAATCCTGGCTCACCCTGCAAGACCAAAACTGGTGCTTAGATTAAGATCATACCCCAAAAATTAATAACACCAAGATCGTCTCTTCACAACGATATAACCACTTTATAAAGCTTATAAAGATATATATCACCTTGCAGGAGAAATAAGGAAGGTTAGATCCCAAAATGATGTTCTACCAAATTCTACACCTGATGATTAAACCATCAAAGTCTGAACTTTTTAGATAATATAACACTCCCTGATTTCAAAGTTTAGGCCTTTGTCCAAGTTTAGATATTTCACATTAACATATACAACAATGTTCTTCAGGATTAACATCTAACTACAGATCATTCATCTAAATCCAAACTTGGACCCTCCAGAAAATCAATAATCCAGATCAAAAATTTCGAATCAAGGAAGGTTCAGAAACCTAAAATTCATATAAAAACAACATTGGCATTGGTAAGTGGTAACAGAATCGAAAACAGAGTGATAAAAGATGATTACCCCACTGGCGATGACGACTCCGGCAACGACGGGGACAAGAGCACCATAAGTAACCCAAGCTTCTCTCTTAAAGGTCATAAGATAAGCGAAGAGAGCAGTGAAAAAGGGAGTCGTGGCACCGACGGCCTGATTGAAAGAGACGGGAAGGTAACGGAGCGAAATGTTACCGCCGACGACGGAAGCACAAAAGACGATGCTGAGAGTGGCAACCTTAAGGAATTGGGATCGAGATTTGAGGTGTTGGAGAGGAACAAGCTTGAGGAAGACGATGGAGATGTAGCTAAGGATAGCGCAAGCGGACATGTGACACATTGTGAGAAAAATGGGGAATTTGAAGCCATAGTTGGAGAGGAGGAACTTGTTGAGGAGAAGAACACCGATGTTGGAAGAGTACCATGAGATGATTAGTGTCGATATGAAAAGGGTTTGTTTCTTCGACGACGAAGACATTGTTTTCGTCTGTTTGTTTTTCTTTTCTGATCTGGGTTTCTTCTTCTTCCTCGTCCAGATCGAGATTCGAATGAAGAGAAGAAAGAAAGAAAGAGAGAGAGAGAGAGAGAAAGAGGAAACGAGAGAAATCAGGTCCTTGCTTCGAGCATGGAACGGCAAAGGACAAAAAGCTTCCTTTTGATGAAAATAAAAATTAAGCCTTTTTCGCTTTTACTTGTATTGATGGTGCTGTGTAACCCTTGTTTTTATTTCTCTAACGTTTTATTTGTTTGTTAATTAATTTTATAAGATCATTGAAGATAATATCATATCTATATTTGTATTTATCAACAAGTAAAGAAATATATTATTAAACTACAGTATATGGATTTGGTTTTAACAGAATATTTATACCCAAAAAAAAAAAGTTAACCTATATTATTAAACTATATATATTTCGTTATAAAATATTTATAGGTTTTCAAGTGAAAAATTAGATTCACTTTTAGTTTGTTAAACCGAAGTCCAAAAGTAACACAACTCTAATTTGTAGTGTCGGTTAGATCCACAATGGCATTATTTGTAAATAGATTGAAATCAGAGATAAAATTCCTAAAGAGTGTCCTTTCTTTCTGAACACAGCTTGATGAGGTCAACTTAAAATCACATTCATTGACAAAAATATAAAATCTCAAAACTTTAAGATCTCTTCAAAGTTTCGATTTTTTTTGTTTTTGTTTCTATTTGCTTATAATTGTTAAAACGTTACAGCGATGTCAGGGTACCCTCCGACGAGCCAAGGTTACGGTTACGGATACGGCGGCGGAAATCAACCACCACCACCTCAACCTCCTTACTCATCCGCCGGAAACAATCCTCCTTACGGATCATCGACCTCCTCAGCTCCTTACGCAGTTCCCTACGGCGCTCCGTCGGCACCGAAACCATCTTCGTCCTCTTCCGCGCCTCCGTACGGATCTTCGCCTCAATCTTCGTCATACGGAGCTCCGTCAGCTCCGTACGCGCCTTCTGACTACAATAAGCCGCCAAAGGAGAAACCTTACGGAGGCGGCTACGGAGCTCCTCCACCGCCTGGACCTTCTGATTACGGGAGTTACGGTGCTGGGCCTCGTCCGTCTCCGCCTCCCGGTCACGGTGGAGGATACGGAGCTACTCCACCGCCTGGGATTTCTGAATACGGGGGTTACGGTGGTCCACCTCGTCCAGCGTCGTCTGCTCACAGCGGCGGCGGATATGGAGGTTATCCTCCCCAAGCCTCTTATGGAAGTCCCTTTGCTTCTCTGATTCCGTCAGGTTTTGCTCCGGGAACGGATCCGAATATAGTGGCTTGCTTTCAAGCTGCGGATCAGGATGGTAGTGGCTTCATTGATGATAAGGAGCTTCAAGGAGCTCTCTCCTCTTATCAACAGAGATTCAGTATGAGAACTGTTCATCTTCTTATGTATCTTTTCACCAACAGCAATGCCATGAAGATCGGTGAGCTTTCGAGATTCTTTGAATTGTTCAAGATTGTTACTTTTCTGTTGTTAATCTGTCTCTATGATTCTTGTTCACTATCGTTATTATGTTCTGTATCTCTGCATTTCATTATCCATCTAAGATGGAAGTCTCAAAGATTCATACTTTGGGTCATATCGTCAGGTTTTTCTATTGCCATGTTGCCAAATTAACAATATTTGTAGACTTTTCAATGAATTACGTGCTACCCCACTGTCTCTCTATCATCTTGTTGAATCTCTTGGTTTCGTTATTTTAGTTCTAGTTGAATTTATGTATTAATCATTCTAGTTACAGTCATTTCTCTTGTTAGCCTGGTTTTGAATCGGTCTCCTGAACTAACTTGAGAAATCTCAATGTTGCAGGACCTAAAGAGTTTACCGCACTTTTCTACAGTCTTCAGAACTGGAGGGTAAGTTTAAATGTTCTCAATGGTTTCATGAAATGTATTGGGTTTGTGTTAGTGATATAGCATAGCAAGATTCGCTCATATGGTTTGTTTTGGAATGGTTCAGTCTATTTTTGAGAGGTCTGATAAGGACAGAAGCGGCAGAATAGATGTGAATGAGCTGAGAGATGCGCTTTTGAGCCTTGGGTTTTCGGTTTCCCCGGTGATTTTGGATCTGCTGGTTTCCAAGTTTGACAAAAGCGGAGGCAAGAACAGGGCCATCGAATATGACAATTTCATTGAGTACGTTATTCTTTCCGTGCTCTCTTTTCTTCTTATTGCTGTGATCGTTGCTTATTTATTAACAGTATCTGTTTTGCCTTGATGCAGGTGTTGTCTCACTGTTAAGGTACGCTCTCATTTTACTCTGTTTGTTTCTCATACAGCTCCTAGATAAGTGGTCTAGGTCAAATGAGATACAAATCTTAGTAGTTATAGAAATTATTCCTGGAACCCGATTATCGAACTCCATAGTCTCCATTATACTGATTGCATCTGAGAGCTCAATAGTTCATAATTGTTCTTGTTGTAATGTTGGTGATCCGAGTGTGGTAATTGGGAGTTAGTAATCTGATTTGTAATATGATGGAAACTGCAGGGGCTGACAGAGAAGTTCAAGGAGAAGGACACAGCCTACTCAGGCTCAGCTACTTTCTCCTACGAAACCTTCATGCTCACCGTCCTTCCCTTCCTCATCGCTTAAGTTTTTATAATGGTAACCTGTCTGTGCATCCTGAGTTTTTATTTTTGTATGTTCTTCGTTGTTTGAATGCTATTGTGAATGGAACTACAAGAAGCTTTTCCTGTGTACTTGGACGTAAGAGTTAAAAATGTGAAAATGTAAAGATCTTGTGTTATAAAATAATCAGACAACTCATTATGGTTGGATATTACATCTTGTTTATTGGAATACATGTATAGAAGATAGAAAACGTTATGCATATAGAATACTGCATAGATTCAACTTTTAATAAAAAAAAGAATAATAAAAAAATTTAGTTACGGCCCCCAATTTACTTCCAACAAATTCTTTATCGAACTTTCTTTGTATGGAAATTAGGGCTCGGAGTTGTCTTGTCCTATAAGACTGTCTCAGTACTGACCAACTCGTGGTATATTTAGTGTTGGACTTGGAGTGGACTGCTCATTTAAATAAACCAGACGTCCGTTCAGCGGCTGAGGCGGTCTTGCATTCATCTCATAACCCTAGGTATTAACAAAACATGTTTGATTAAAAAAGCAGAAATCCAAATGAGTTCCTAGTAAACGCTTATGTGAGAGTGTATAGTTCTTACACCGCGACGAGCATCGGTCAGCATATCAATTTGCTGACTTGAAACAGTCCCCACCTGCATTTTTTGAATAGGCAGTCAAATTTGAGTACTCGGGGCATTGTAGATTCTTGAAATTCAAGAATTCATTTACAGTATGGTTTTTAAGTTTGCTAGAATTATTTTACCTTGTTGATGATGGTCCACATGACATCTTCTGTGCAAGGAGGGGTGGTGAGCGAACCTCTGTATTCATAAAATTTTGTAAGATCCCATCCAAATTCTCTTGGATCTATCTTTCCAATGCTGACCTCTCCATCTTGTATGTCTGCGATCTTATTGATCTTGTCCATTATCTATTGAAATTTGTAAGGAAGACAATAGCAAACAATAAGCAGAGAGTTTCAAGGAAGGGATATAACGGTATCCTAAATACAATATGCGGTAAAAGTTACCCGTGAAATGAAAGCATTTGGTGCACCTTCTCTGAAGAGAACCCCTATAACTGCCAAGTGTCCTTCTGCACTTTTGTGTACCATGTGAAGTTCCATGGCAAATCTGAAAGGTTTGATATTTTATTAGCTCCTACTATATAATCTGAAACGATGTCAATCTTTTGTTTTTGTTTTCCCTTACTTCTCTCCATTCAGAAAATGCTCTGAAGGTGCGTGCCAGTGGCTTTGAATCAATTTATAGTCAGTATTATTGATCACGATCTTCCCTGCGTCGTCTTCCCATTTAACCTGATGCGCAACATATCAAATCTTGCAGACTAATTGGTATATAAAAAAAAAAAACATCTCTTAGGGCTCGTTTAGTTTACCTTCATGTCGAATCCACGGTTCTTAAGAATAGCCTCCACTGGTTTGTAATATGTCTGAAGAATCTCTGTAGAGTTGTGGATAATGCGTGCTATTTTTGGAGAAAGATCGATTGGCGATTGCTTCTTCCCTGTCCCACAAATTTTCCATTCAGGCTTGATAGTGCCCCATTTCGAGGGATCGGCTAACTCACCGGGTTTGTAATGAAATTCAGTATCTGTCTCATCTGCAAAACGACCAGGAGAACCAAGAGTCAAAACACTTGTCAGAGCTTAGCATTACGTTGCAATACTTATCAAACTATACGTTGCATGCGTTCCAAAGATCAACACAACTAATATTGCATCTTATGATGGACTGTCAACGTAAAATCATCCTTTCAATATGTAAAGTTCTATATATCTTGTTCTCATCAATTCGTAGGAATCACAATGGTAACATATAACTTCCAAGTAAAGAACAAAAATTGTGATTTTACCTGCTAGATATGAAGAAGAAAGAGCAAGAAATGTTACAAAAAGGATAATGGTCTTCATCTTTCTTTTGTTTTTCCTTCTTCTCTCAGAATAAATGTATTCTACCTTCGTCAACTTTTACTATGTTTATATAGAAATTTAGTTTAGCCAAATTTAGGAGGCTGTCTGAAAACCTCAATTGTTCTATTTTAATATGTGATAGTCTATTAATCAAAGAAACTTTTTAATGGTTAAATTGGGTTGTGATTCTATTACCTCTCTTAACAGGCCTATTATTGAGCAAATGAGGTATAATTTAAGTCAAACTTGCACTTCAATTTTAAAAAATGTTTTGAGTCTGGATTAATATTTTACTTGAGAGAAAGAGAACATTCTCTAAAAGCTTTAAATAGTAGAGTTCTACAATTTGGAGAGACACCAATTGCTCTATAGTCTATATACCAAATAAGTTCTTACGCACATTGAAAATGAAGAAGTTAAAGTAGAAAACACCACAGAAATGACATCCAATGAACCCTAGTCATGTTCGGAGCATTTGTCCGTTAAATGTCAAAATAGAATGCATTGTAACAAAATATGGACCCAATATATTATGCACAATGATGATTCTTATCCTCTCTTTTGATCTGTCTCTTGTCGAATAGGAAGTAATCACTATTAAGATTTTGTCACCTTCTTTTGAGTTATCTTTGTCCTCTTGCTTAAAAGCATCGTAAAGAAGAACATAATAATGGAGAAGCCACATGGTTCGACTATGGCCGAGGGAAACCATCACGTTACCAGATTTGGAGATAGGGTGCAACAAAACTTTATGTTTCTTCTCATCTTTGAGATTACGACTTGGATACTGGTTAGTCTATTCTGGGTCGGGTTTTTTTCATTGTTGTGGGATCTTTTTGATATATACAACTCGAAAATTTGTTCTTATAATTAGATAATTGTGAATTCTTTGTCTAAACATGAGCACTGATTAAGGATTATGGCATATCCACACAATGTATATCATACAAGTCAAGATTCATCAGTATTATTAGCCTTTGAAGTAGAATTTTAAGTAACTAAACCTAGAAAACTTAATTTTTACGTGTAAGAACGTCATCATGACATTTTAACGAGGTAGATAGAACTTTCTCAGACATAACTAACTCATGACAGACGTTTCTCTCAAGTCTCACGTATATATATGTACACAAAGAGCGAGACTTGAGGCAGAACACTGAACTAACAACTTGCAACTCTGTTTTTTTTTTCAACTTCTACGAGAGAAAAAGAACCAAAAGATACTGTAATGGCGCAGACTACTGTAACTGTAGTGGCAACCAAACGCCATGCTCTTGATCCGTACATCAAGATTCTTCAGAATCGATCAGATGGTATTGATGTCTCCTTTTCCTCGTACCTCAAGCCTGACAACAACGAACAACGACAAAAGGAGCATGAGGATACTGAGCTAAGTATCTTCGAAGCTAAGAGTTACTTTAGCGAAACCGGAAGCGACGAGAAATGCCAGACGAGGAATCTTAGTGGTCCAAGATTCTCTTCGGTTTCATCTGCAAAAGTGTCTTCTTTTACCGTAGGTCACACGGCATCCTCTGAAGCTAGTTGGAACAGCCAAACCGGTTTGCTCTGTAACAAAAACCGCCAAGGATCGGACCGAGATGGACGTGGAAGCAGCAAGAAAGGACCCAGATGGTTTTTTAGACGCAGGACTTGTCCTTGTTCTAGCTCCAAATCGGTTCAGGTCCAAGAATCCAAACCAAGAATCGCAGTGCCCAAAACCGGTTCTGACCGAGTCGTGTCTAACCGAATCGTTCATCATCATCAGACGATATCTTCGCCTGAGCCAATAAGATTAACGATCCCTTCAAACACGGTGACTCGGTCCATCGAGTACACCGAAAACAGAGAAGCTAGAGCTCCAGTTAGTAATTTTAGCTTCCCAACTCTAACCGAAACTTCAAATTCATCAGAGAACCCCAAGAATCCGGTTATGAATACAATTAAACCGGTTTTAGTTGAACCTGTTCTGCATCCGATTAAACCGGTTCTGAATCAGACGAGTCCCAAGGGAGCCACCACAGACGAAGAAGCCACGAGCGACGCTAGCTCCGATCTTTTTGAGATAGAGAGCTTCTCTACTCAACACGCAGCCCGTCCGTGGGCACCATCCGCATCCAGGGACTCGATAGACGAGACCATGTCTGAGTTTGGATACGAGCCGAGTGAAGCAAGTGTTACATGGAGCGTTATGACCGCGGAGCCAGCCTCGGCGGTTGCGGCTAGCTTCTCAAGAATTGGCTTGTCGCCGTCTTCGTCGCTGGTCGTTACCGGCTTCGATAAGAAGAGAACCGGGTCGTTGAGCTGTCGTTATGAGAAAGCCGTTATGGTTAGCGGCGGTCAACGTTTGGTGCAACCTCTTAAGAGCGTTAGCTTTCAGAAAGATGTCGCGGAAAAGGTGTTTTGCAACAATGGCAGTTCGAAACAATGTGTGACAAGTCGAGATATGCTAGATACCAAATCTTCCTTCTTGGTTTAGGTCCAGGTTACTCCATTATCTTGTATTTTTTTTTGTGCTTCTCTTGTAAATTTGCTCTGTTTTTTTACTTTCTGTTGGGTTAAACAATGTGTAATGAAGACTGTGGTTTGTGAGGTAAACAAAGTCAATGTGTCCTGTAAAATGAGACATTAATTTATCAAATTGATAATGTTTTATTAATAACCGGGGTATATTTCGTATTGAAACCCACACTAATCCTCAAATTTGATAAACAGCTCTAGTAAACACTTTAATTTGAATGAATTTTATATTTTGTTAAAAGGGTTAAATATCAAGTATGAAGTCATGTGTTAGGCTCTCGTAGAGTCGTAGGTGAAGTGAAGATGATGGCATAGTTCGACTCTAAAGACTTTGCCGTTGCGTGCACGAAGGTGAAGTGAAGATGATGGCAGAGTCCTTTGGGATCAAGACAAGTTAGTTTGGTCAATTGACATTACTTTTTCAACAATGTACACTAGTTATATAATTATACAGAACAATTAGATATCTGGATGGATTAGGTCCAAATCTTTGAGAAAATGACTTTACTTTTGGCGTTATGTATATATCCAAGTTAACCAAAGTGAATCATTAACAATAACATTATAATCCTTTGTTTGTTTTATGTTATAAACTTCAAGAAAAGAAAGCAAGGATGCTTAATTTAAACACCATTTAATGACTTAGGATGTAATTATATCTATCTCAAAAGTCTGAATTAAAAGGTATAGTTTCTTGCTTGAAAGCAATAATATTAAAGTCATTAAAAAATGTTCCATAGCTTAAAAGCAAACTAGACATGAAAATATATTTATATTACTATACTGTATGTAACTTCACCTTCACTACAAGAAACCTCAATCATAAATACACATTAGCTCCAAAACCACAACACTGCACATAAAAAACATACGCACATAAGGAATCAAATCAAGAAACTCAATGAATCCACAACGAATGACCAAGAAAAGACTAGCCGTGCTCGTCGGATGCAACTACCCTAACACAAGTAACGAGCTTCACGGTTGCATCAATGATGTTTTAGCAATGAAAGAAACTCTTTTGACCCGTTTCGGATTCAAACAAGAGGACATTGAGGTGCTAACGGACGAGGCAGAATCAAAAGTGAAGCCGACAGGTGCCAACATCAAGGCTGCTTTACGTAGGATGATGGATAAAGCTCAACCTGGAACTGGAGATGTCTTGTTGTTCCACTACAGTGGCCATGGAACTCGTATTCCTTCGGTTAAACCTGCCCACCCTTTTAAACAAGACGAAGCTATTGTTCCTTGCGATTTCAATCTCATCACAGATGTTGATTTCAGAGAACTGGTCAATCAACTTCCTAAAGGAACAAGCTTTACCATGATCTCCGATTCTTGCCACAGTGGTGGTCTCATCGACAAGGAGAAAGAACAGATCGGACCTTATTCCGTCTCCAGCAACATGTCTCCGGCCATTGAGACAACAAATAAGACTATGGCATCACGTGCCTTACCCTTCAAGGCAGTCCTTGACCACTTGAGTTCTCTCACTGGAATCTCAACTTCCGATATCGGGACACACCTACTTGAGCTCTTTGGTGGCGATGCTGGCCTTAAATTCCGGTTACCGGCGATGGATCTAATGGATCTTTTGGAGACTATGACGGCCCGTGAAAGACACGTGGATTCCGGGATATTGCTTAGCGGGTGTCAGGCGGATGAGACGTCTGCTGACGTCGGCGTTGGCAATGGGAAAGCGTACGGAGCGTTTAGCAACGCGATTCAGACGGTGTTGAAGGAAAATGAAGGTGACTTGAAGAACAAGCAACTAGTGATGATGGCTAGGGATGTGCTTGAGAGACTAGGGTTTCATCAACACCCTTGTCTCTACTGCAGCGACCAGAACGCCAACGCCACGTTCTTATCTCAAACTTGATTTGATGCGACCGATTCGATTTTAGTTCATCAACTGAACCGTTTTCCTTGTTTTCTTATATTTGTTTAATCACGTTTGCGTTTGGGGTTGTTGTAAATTGTTAACTGGAAAAAAAAAATTGTTTTACTGGAATTTTTAATTTTCACTGTTATGGTCCAAAAAGATAAATTTAAGGACGAATAAAATGTTTATTTAACAAAAATAAAATAAATGTTTTAGTTCGAAAAATGTATAAATTTTAAGGTGGTTTTAAATGGCAAAAATAATTGGAGGTTTTAGCTAAAAAATTATGCTAATTTCTAAGGTTTTTTAAGAAAATTTCCCAAATTATAAAAAATAGGCAATATTCTAATTTTAATTATACAAAAGCAAAAAACTCCCAGTTGCTTTTTTTTTTTTCTTCCAAGTGTCGATCTTTTTGTTCTTCCGACTCATCACACATTGCATCAAATGGTTCCCAAAATCTTAGGTTTAAAGAGTTCACTAATAAACATGGTTTTACCTTTCAGGTCCAAGCTTTCCCAGCCACTTATGGTAACTTAACTTAACTAGTCTTTTACCAAACTAACTTAACTAAAACGATTTGGGCCTAAATAGAACTATGGCCCATAAGCCTTTTAATCCCAAACCAAAAAGGCAAAAACAGCAACCACGCTTCAGCATCTTCTTCTATTTGTTGTTATTCGCAGGCTTAATTGAGGAGCTCAATCTCAACAAAAGATTAAGGACGAATAAAAGGTTTAAGATATATATCTCAAGCTACCACAATCTTTATTTCCTCTTCTTTTGTTTTCTTTTCCTTTTCTCTGTCTCGTCCTATAAAAAAACCCTAGAATTGTAATCTTCGCTCAAATTCTCTTCGATAACCGCGGTTTCTCCCAGTGTTTTCTATATTTTAATTTCTCTCTTCTTCTTTTTTTTTTTTCCTTAAAATCTGCTCGACAATGAAGCAGAAGCTTGACCTAGTTAGGGAGAATCTATACCTAGGTGATATACTCGCCGCTGCTGAGATTCTCAAGAATGGTAGCTCTGAGATTTCTCACCTTCTTACAGTTTTTCACTGCCCTCACATATCTGAACTCTACCCCAAGTGGCGCAACGCCAAACTAGTCTCAAAAGGAATCAAGGAAGTGTATGTTGGTGGTGATGATCAAGAGTCGTCATCACAAGGCATGGAGTTTGCCAGAGAGAGCGCGTTGCCATCAGGCAATCTTTTATATTCTCTAGAGCATACTGGTAAAGATCTCAAGTTTACAAGAATGGTTGTCTTTGCTCACGATAAAGAGTGGGAGAATCTCCTTGATTTTTTCGACCTTTGCTTGGATTTTATTGATGCTGGCCGCAAAGAGAAGGGTGTTTTAGTTCATTGCTTTGCAGGAACATCTCGAAGGTGAGGCTTTTTTTTTCTTCTTTACATTAATTATGTTTGAAGCTTGCTTTCTCTTTATAATTAAGTATTGCGTTTTTTTTTGTTTCTTCAGTGCTTCTGTGGTCATTGCGTATCTGATGAGGACCGAAAAGCTTTCTTCGGAAGGTATACATGAATTACGATTTTTATAACTATGACATGCATATATCTGGTGATTACCTTAAACTGGTGTGTATTGTTTTGTTTTTACAGATGCTCTGGCATCACTCAAACAAAGCGCTCACGCTAGTCCCAATCTTGGCTTCTTAAAACAGGTGAAGACTATATAGATAGCTCTAGTTATGTTATGTTTACGGCGTAAGTTTATTTTCATAATAACAAGTAATGTTTTCACATCTTGCAGTTAGATTTGTTTGAGAGAATGATCTTTAAAGTCGACCGTTCCAGCCCTATCTACAAGCACTTTCGTCTAAAAGCTTTAGGTTTTTATTTCTTTCACCATGTAGTTTTTTGGTTTATGCGTTTCCAGTTGGTCATGGATCTGATCGAATTTGTTTTTCGCCTATACCAGGTTATTTATATAGCAAGGATAAAAAATTTGACAGATTAAAGTTAAGGGCTGATCCGGGATTGATGAATGAGACCAGTGGTAGTACGTACCAGTGCAAGAAATGCAGCAGAGTACTGTCTTTTCAGGAGCAGGTAATAGAGCATACTCCAGGTGAGGCTGATTCAGAGCTTGATGACATGTTTAAAAACATGGTCGGAGAGGTTCGCGACAAGAATACCGGTGATCAGAAACCATGTACTTCTATATTCATAGAGCCTCTCAATTGGATGAATGAAGGTACATGTACTAACTATCTATATTGTATACTCTTCACACGCATTATCTATCTACGTGTTGGTTTCTTGATTGGTCTTAATCATCTCTCTTGCTATATTAATATGTTATTGTCAGCTATGGAAGATGATGTGTCGGAAGGGAAGTTATTGTGTCCAAAATGTCAAGCTATGGTTGGAAGCTTTAACTGGTCGGGAAGTTATTGTAGCTGTGGAAGCAAGATTGTTCCGGCGTTTCAACTTCAGATGAGTCGAGTCGATGTCATCATTGTGAAGGATGAGGTGAAGAAGCATGATGAGGATAAAATAGTCTAGGCTTTCATCTTTTAAATAAGTGAAGAAAGAGTGCTACTTCATTTTTGTGCAGCCAGCTTCTGCATCAAATCATATATATTTGCCAACCAAAACCCATTGTATTAAGTCCAGATCATGAAACTCTCTTTTAGGAAGAACCTTTATTCACGTATCTTAACCATCATTATCAAGAGGCTCTTTCAATGCTCTTACTTATATGTGTAAAAAAAAAGTTAGAAAATCAGGAGTAAATTTTAGAACCCGGCCACAAAGATAACAAACAAAGCGGCTAAAAACTATGCCAAAGCCTAAACCAAGTCACTATCTTTTCAAAGGATCAGCTACAAATCTTTTGCAAAACTTGGAAGCACACAGATAAACGTACTTTTGTTGTTCTCTTGCAAAAAAAATCAATTGTTGGGCTTTTGAAGCCCAGTTATCTTTTTTTTTTTTTGTGTGTCTTCAGAAGCCCAGTAATCTATCCAAGTGATTAGACGATTCAGCTAGTGACACGTGGGCGTCGATCGTTGCCCGATTTGCATTTTCCTCAACGACGAAGGAAACTCAAGAGGAGCTCAACTTGAAGGTGAAGAGTAAGAAGGAGTAAGGAGGAAGAAGAAGAGTGGTATTCTCCGTAATTAAAGTCTAATTCTTTGTCCAATTAATCGAAAGACAAGCAATGAGTGACGCGTTTTGTTCAGACTGTAAGAGGCACACGGAGGTTGTGTTCGATCACTCTGCTGGAGACACGGTCTGCTCTGAGTGTGGACTTGTGCTTGAGTCTCACTCCATTGATGAGACCTCTGAGTGGAGAACTTTCGCTAATGAGTCTGGTGACAATGATCCCGTCCGTGTTGGTGGACCAACTAATCCTCTTCTCGCTGATGGTGGTCTCACCACCGTCATCTCTAAGCCTAATGGCTCCTCCGGCGACTTTCTCTCCTCTTCTCTTGGTCGTTGGCAGAATCGTGGATCTAACCCTGATCGTGGTCTCATTGTTGCTTTCAAGACCATTGCCACCATGGCTGATAGGTATTTGTTCTGTTTTGTTTTATGCCCTGCTCTTACAAGGTTTTCAATTTTGGGGGGGTTTTGGTCTATGGAAAGCACTAATTGGAGGAGATTGCTGCACATTTCTGTTTTTTTTATCTGACATTGTTACCTCCAAATTCAAATTCTGTTTTGTAGTCTGAGAAGTGTGAGGATTAGGTTTCAGTTTTCCCATCTTGTGAAATGATCTATTAGTGAGCTTAAGCAGACTCAAGCTTTGCACTAACTGGAAAAATGAAAGCTTGATCTTTTCTCTTGGAATGCATCTTTCTTAGGCATAGAGAAACTACTCTCGTTATTAGGCATAGAGAATGTGTTTTGTTTTTTGGCATGTTCTTTAGAGAAACTTGTTTTTAGTTAGAAGGTTTTTGATTAGGGGTTTGGTCTATGGTAAGGTCTAATTCGAGGAGATTAGCAGTCAAGTTCTGTTTTTGAGCTGACATTGTTTTGTAATTGAGAAGTGTGAGAATTGATTTTAGTTTTCCCATCTTGTGAAATCAATTCGTGAGTGTAAGCAGTTGTATTGTGTCCACTAGAAAGCAGACACAAGCGTTTCACTATTTAGGAAAATGAAAGCTTAGATATTTTCTCTTGAAATGCTATCTTTTTCATGGATTGAAACAACTAAGTTATTAGGCATATAGATATGTTTCTTTCTTTGACATTTTCCTTAGAGATGCTCGTTTTATTGGTAAACTATTAATTGGTTAACATAGGCCCTTACTAATTTGACGAACATTTTATTCCAGGTTAGGCCTTGTTGCAACCATCAAGGTATGTGTTATTTTGCTTACCAATCTTATCTTTGACATACTTACACCAGACCTTCATCTTCTCCCGTTTCATCGATACACATCAATATTCATGGTTTTCTTAGTGTTACTCTTTACTCTAGCCGCAGCCCTACAGAAAAATGAATTATTTTTGCAGATGCTTCGTTGAACAGAATCAATATACCACTCTCTTGACCTGATTAAATGCCTGCGCTTGATCCTTGCTTTTTTTTTTTGTATTCTTCGTATAAACGTTGTGTCATGTCCTTTGTCATTCTTTTAAAGGATCGAGCAAACGAGATATATAAAAGAGTGGAGGATCAGAAGTCGAGTAGAGGAAGAAATCAGGATGCTCTTTTGGCTGCATGTCTGTATATTGCTTGCCGGCAAGAGGACAAGCCACGAACTGTGAAGGGTACAGATACAGCTATAAGAATCATCTTAAGCATCCATCATTCCCTTCTTCAATGGCATCGTGCCTCTAATACTCTCGATTTGGTATAGAAATATGTTCTGTTGCCAATGGAGCCACAAAGAAAGAGATTGGCCGTGCAAAAGAGTACATAATCAAACAGTTGGGGTTGGAAACAGGGCAGTCAGTAGAAATGGGGACTATACATGCCGGTGACTTTATGGCGAGTTTTCAAAATTAATATCATCATTTGTCATTCTTCATTATCTCGTTTCGCCTTAATTAACTGATATTGATTCTTACTGTTCAGAGACGGTTTTGCTCCAATCTTGGCATGGGAAACCAAACCGTTAAAGCAGCTCAAGAATCTGTACAGAAGTCGGAGGAGTTTGATATTAGGTAAGTAGATCATAACCATGTCTCCGTGACCCTATTGTTCTTATTTTCTGAATCTATTGTTGTGTGGTTTATGCATTGCACTCGTGTAAACTTCTACAGGAGGAGTCCCATATCAATCGCAGCAGCTGTTATCTACATCATAACCCAGCTTTCCGATGACAAGAAACTACTTCGAGGTCAGTTTCATGCGGATTCCCTTTCACAAAACAAGAAAATACTCTTTCTAACTGTGAAATTGAGCCTGCAGATATATCAGTAGCAACCGGAGTTGCAGAAGGCACAATAAGAAACTCATACAAGGATCTATATCCTCACCTTCCTAAGATCATACCAGCTTGGTACGCCAAAGAGGAAGACCTCAAGAACCTCCAAAGCCCTTAAGTCTCGTTTAATACCTTTTCCTGTCTCTGTATGAAACACTTAACCACTCATCTAATATGTACGTCTAATTCCAATTGATTTAGATAAATGACACGAAATAATATAATAAAACCCCCACTTAAACAAAAATTCATGTGATCAGTTTGTTAACTAGTTGTCCAACGGATCTCAATGTGAATAATGCCGTTTCTGGAATTGATAAGATGGTATTTCTGGTTGATCCTTCCATTGACAACAACATCGTCCAGATTTATGTCTACATGTCCTAGTTCCTCCTGCACAGAGATCAAGCAAAGTTATAAGTTGACATCGGTTTGTCTGCTCGAAAGCCGATTTACAGCCAACATCAATGTTCAACCGAGTTATCTTCAGGGGATCAGGGAGTAATACCTTGGATCGAAAGTGAAAGCCAGTTCCTTTACTCATGACTTCAACGCGTACACTCTCTTTAACTGGCGGCTCCTCTAGTGTAAACTCGAATTCCTCATTCCATCTAGGGTCTCGTGTTTTCCTCAGCATCTGATCAAGCAAAGGTAGTCATGATGCATTTGTGCTTAGTCTCATCATGACCCAAACAGTTCTTAAGTAGCTTATGAGAAAAATGCAGGTTAAGAATGTACCTTTGTTTTCTTCTTTTCTCCTCTGAAGAGAACAACAGCATAAGGGTTCGAGTGACTCTTCTTGCCCTCGACGTCTTTGGCTGATTGGATTGCAACTGAGAGTAGACCTGCATGACTGAGAAAATCATCGTCTTCTGATGGTTTCTCGTTTCTGCTTACTTTTCTCTGGTACTCATCCTGTTTTCCGTGTCTACTCTTAAGGCTTTCTTCTCTGAATGGCACATACCTGAGATCCAACTCCAATCTTCCTCTTTTTTTCTTGTCCACAGAATCCATAACAACATTTGAGTTCTTAATCAGATCCAGATTAAACACCTTCTTCTCACCCGGGCTAATCTCTTGCAAGGGGATCATCTGCATTCCCAATCTGTCGTGCCCTCCGACCTGTGGAGACAAAGAGAGCATCTTTAGTAATAATAACAAAAAATGTTCAACTAGAGAAAAAACTGGAGCATGGCATGCATATAAAATGAAATGAGATGCTGAAACCTTGTCCCAGTCAAAAACTTCTAGTTGAAGGACTTGTGATTTTGGATCCTTCACGATGAGCTTGAAGTGTTCGTTCCATTCTGGGTTTAAGTTTCTCTTCTTTATGGTGGTTTTCTTTGCTGGAAGCTTTTCTCCAGTCAAGCTAAGTTTGACATAAGGGTCGGATGTTCCCAACAAATCCTTCTTGAGGAGATTATGTGCTCTAATAATGTTCACATGTAGTAATCCAACAGGCTTCTTTACAGCCGCTCTACATCAGAAGTAAACTTATACATCAGAGGAAAGAAACAGAAGGATCTCATGCTTTCTAGTTATATTGTTCAAAAATTTGATGGACACTTACGTTGAAGCATCAAGAATAGGTATCTCAAGTACTTGTGGCCAATGGTACATGCTTGAAACTTGCCTTTTAATAGTTTCCTGCAAAATCATGAGAGAAAGATAAGTTTTTTTTGAAAAGATACTGATGGAGGAGCATCTCATTTGACTAGATAAACAGCATAATCCAACTCCTACCGATAGGAGGATCATCAATGCAGCACCTGAACATATCTGTAGAGACCCGGAATGGACATGACATCTCCACCAAGAACTTTCAATCCAAAATCAACATGTGGCTGCATAGAGAATCATGCTGATCAATTTCCCTCCCCAATGATTGGTAAAGCAAGTAACTTTTAAATCTACACTGAGTCACTTTTATGTGAGATGTAGCTACCTTTTCCATTAATGAAACTACAACCGTTCCAAAACAAGGGAAGGTCGGCAGAAGAGGCTTCAGCGCTACACGCATTGTAGCAAAAAACTGGAGATCTACGAGCTGCAAAGGTGAAGATGCTAAAACTTCGTGTTTATGGAACTAAGAGTGGTAAAGTTTTGCATTGCTTGTGTTCCATTATCTGACAGTTTCACTCATACTGACCTGGACTCTAATTCGTAAAGACATCACCTTTAGCACCAAAACAATGTTGGGATTGCCTGCCCACTTGATTGATGGTTCTACCAGAAGTTCCTTCTCATTGGTATCATAAAACTTAACACCTGCAGGAGATTAGACAGAATGTCATTAACCATTAGCACATTGAACACAACGGTAAGAGATCACAAGAGCTAAATGGGACAAGAATTTGCCGTGAATTGTTGGTGGAAGCGATCCAAGACTCAATTTCTCGAACTCTATGGATTCTATACAGAACGTCCCAACATAATCTGCAAATATAGGTTGAGCAGAACTCCGGATGATCCCACAAATAGCCTATACAAGAAAAGTAAACTAAAACTTCAACACAGAAAGCCAAATTTGATATAAGCAAATAAGAAAAAGAAGTAGAAAGAACCTTATCGAGGTGAGGCCACATGTATGAGAGAAATCTATTAAACCAGTCCACCTAGATGTAAACAATAGAAAGCACCATCAGCCAAGTAAGTAATAGAGCTTTAGATGCTAAAAAAACGTGACTTACTCTTTCATAATCTGGATTCTTAATCCACAATGGAATGTCTGGTAAGAGATCAAGAAGGACACTGATGCTAGTCTCAACTAGTGGCCTCGCAGGTGGATACTGCAATGTGTTAATTGAAACAGTAAATCATTAACCCTCAGATTCATAAACTAATAAGTAGATAAGCACTAAACCAGCAAAACAAATGACACAGTAAACCAAAGGCTCAATATTGATGGTAGCTAGATACAAAAGGAACATGCTTTTAGATTCACCATATTGAAACCGAACACATGGCGTATGTCAAAATTAAAAATCAACCAGTGAAATCGATGGACCAGAAAGTTTAAGCTTAACCCAGATGATGAAACAAACAGATACAAGACTCAAACATGACGAAAGATGAAAGCTTTTACCTCTTGGTGTGTAGGCTTAGAATAAATCAAGACGAAGAAACCAGTGATGAGTCCAATAGGGATTCCGATTACGAAACCAAGGATCCCCAACACACTTGTCAAAATACCCATTTTTTTTTGGTTTTTCTTCTTTGTATAGTTTCTATCGAAAACTAAAGAAAGGAAAAAGTCAGTGCGTAAGAATGGCAACGAAGGAGAAGGAATCGGGTCCAAAACGGTAACGAAGAAGAAGAGAGCCTTTCTCTTTCAAACCGCCAAATATATTTTTCCGAGTTGTACTAATTTATTCTACTCTGTTTTTTTTTTTTTTTAATTTGTAGGATCAATAAAAGAGAAAGCATCACGAGATGTTATTTACGTCGCCGACGTGAAAGTGAAACTTTTAATTAGCCTTTTCTTGTATACTTGCGGAGTTGCGTGGCTGTGTTTTTGTTTGTTGGTTGGTCTAATCAACTTGGATATTATTATTTTCTTTTAGCTTTCTTTGGATAATAATAAATAAAAGAAGTTCTTCACAATTTTAATTGGTCCCAACAACAATTTGTTCGACTACAATTGGAACTTACAAATAAATATCCGATTTTGATCGAGTGCGTTATTATGATACTACCTTTTTAAGGTTTTTTTTGACAGCCGATGATATTGTTTAAAATCAAAGGATAGATTTAATTTAATTTCCAAAATTCTTAAATTTTTCGTCAGGGAGTAGAAATTTGTACTTAAATCGTTATCTCTTTAAAATTTAAACCATGTTTTTTGTAGTAATTTCATAATTATTATTTTAAGTAATGTTAAATACATTATTATGATAAAATATTTGCACTATTATCGTCTAATATAACCTCTCTTTTAGTTTTAATACAATTTAGACATAATAGGTAATTTCGTAATTGGTTAAATTGTAGATTTAAGGTAGTACTTTTATTGTTATCTCTACCTTGAGAAAATCCCAAATATTTCTATTTGTTTTCTTTTTGTGTTTTTTTTAGGACTGTTTGTATAATAGTTGTGTTTAGATATTTATAATTTAATATTGTTTACTTGTGAAAATTAAGATTAATCAAGGTTGAAATATATATATATATTAAAATGCATTCAGTTTTGAAATCAACATCACAAATGTGAACCAAGACCCAACCCGGACCAGACCCTGTTTAATCAATCATATAATAGCGTGTGTTTATTATTATATCTGCTTGCATTGACCCTTGATTAAATAGGACAATGACAAATATGGTTATCTTAATTCTTGTTTCTAACCAAACTAAAAACGTTTGTTTTGGTTAGTGAACAAAATGCTTAAAAACTGAAGTCTGTCGTTACGAAGAAGAAGAATACGCAAACACGTACGAGACTTATATTTTTGGAATTAATCACACACAAGACCTCGAGACGTTTGACATCACAGTCGTTATAAATTCCAATAAAAATGTGTTTCCTTTGAATTGATCCATACGTCATTTTCATTCCACACACGCCAATCGTAATATTTCAAATTTTGGACATAAAATTATAATATTTTTGGTCGAACATCTAAAATTCTATCAACAGAACCATCTATTTGACCAAGAAAATACAAAATCTCCCGAACCTTATCGCTCTACGTGTTTTTTAGTAACCATGCATATTCGTTGTACGTATATAATGGTGTTCTCTCTCGAATTAGTCCATTGTATAATCCTTCTACCATGGGCCATAAAGTAGTGGGCTTTCAAATACGAAAAACAAAATCCAAAAGTCTCATTGGTCCGGTCCACCAACAGCCCGCAACGCTGGTTTGTGTTATCTGACACCGCGCGCACATTGGTAAGAGTTTAGTTATTCCACACTAACATGCACCAACTGCTAATCGTTAATATAATTTAGGAAATTTTCAAGATTTAACATTCCTTTTTTTTTTTGTTTACACATAGTTTCTCTCTCTTGCTTCTCCTTCTCCGTCTCTCCGTCGTTGCGCAACCGCACAGTTCATATCGTTTATATTCTCTTTCCTCCTTCTCTTTCTTCTTCTTATGGAGATTCCGCTGCTTCATCCGTTGTTCCTGATCGTGTCAGTACGTACTATTTCATTGTGTTGATTTGGTCTCTATTTGAAGAAGCCAAGAATATACATCTTCCTCTCCAAATTAGTATCGGAATTTTCGAATCTAGGGTTTTAGAGTGCTTGTTTTCTTCACTAGGTTTCTGTTCTTGATCTTGCTAATGGTGGGTTGCATCTGATTTTGGTTTTACGGAGTTTAGAAATTGAGATGGGTAGTGTTGAGATTCCCAATTGGCTAAAAGCCTTGCCTTTAGCACCTGTGTTTAGACCTACAGACACTGAATTTGCAGATCCTATTGCGTATATATCCAAAATCGAGAAGGAAGCTAGTGCCTTTGGGATTTGCAAGATCATTCCTCCTTTACCCAAGCCATCCAAAAAGTATGTTTTCCATAACTTGAACAAGTCTCTATTGAAGTGTCCAGAGTTGGTTTCGGATGTTGACATTTCGAGAGAGGATAGAGCTGTATTCACCACTAGGCAGCAAGAGTTAGGCCAGACTGTGAAAAAAAACAAAGGAGAGAAGAGTAAGAGTATTTCTCAAAGGACTGGTGTTAAGCAGGTATGGCAAAGTGGAGGCGTCTATACATTGGAGCAGTTTGAAGCTAAGTCGAAAACTTTCTACAAAAGCCAGTTAGGAACGGTTAAAGAAGTGTCACCTGTTGTGGTTGAGGCATTGTTCTGGAAAGCGGCTTCACAGAAGCCTATATATATAGAGTATGCTAATGATGTCCCTGGCTCTGCTTTCGGTGAGCCAGAGGGTCATTTCAGGCATTTCCGGCAGAGGAAGCGGAGGGGCAGGGGATTTTATCAGAGGAAGACAGAAATCAATGATCCATCAGATAAGATCGGTGAAAACTCATCGCCTGAGGTAGAAAAAGCACCCCTTGCTTCGACGAGTTTATCACCTCAGGATTCTTCCAAGCAGAAGAACATGGATATTGTTGATGAAATGGAAGGTACTGCAGGCTGGAAGCTCTCCAACAGTTCCTGGAACCTTCAGACGATTGCACGTTCACCTGGTTCTGTTACACGTTTCATGCCGGATGACATCCCTGGTGTTACATCTCCCATGGTTTATATCGGTATGTTGTTCAGCTGGTTTGCCTGGCACGTTGAGGATCATGAGCTTCACAGTATGAATTATCTTCACACTGGCTCACCCAAGACTTGGTACGCTGTCCCTTGTGATTATGCGCTTGAATTTGAAGAGGTTATTCGCAAAAATTCTTATGGCAAGAACATTGACCAACTGGGTACGTTGTTTTTGAAAATTACTGCTAAAGATGTTATACTGATTCTGTATTTATAGAGATGTGCTGTTGTTATAATGCATGTGAAAATTGAGATTGCATAGAATGATTACTGTTTCCTAGAATGACTACCGCATCAGATTTTTCTTTAATAATACCATTTTCCTACTTTTGAAGAGAAAATGTGGCTAACATTGACAATGTAATGATGAGATTTTCTTACTCGTGGTCCAATGTCTTAGGTCTTAATGATAGAAGACACTGTAACACTTCTTAGAAAATGCATTGCCCTTTTATTTCTCATTAAATCTGATCTGCTCGTTGTCACTGCAGCTGCTCTCACCCAACTAGGCGAAAAGACAACTCTTGTATCACCTGAGGTGATAGTTGCATCTCGCATTCCCTGCTGTAGGTAGGCCTTTATTTTATTCTAATTTTTACTTCTGTTATGTGGATATGTGAGGCAGTATATGTTTCCTTATAACTACTTCCATGCTCTGCTGCTATGTTTATTTATGTTTTCTTTGCCTACGTAGGTTGGTACAAAATCATGGTGAATTTGTTGTGACGTTTCCGAGGTCTTATCATGTAGGATTCAGCCACGGTAAAATGCCTTTTTTTTTCTTCCAAACATTCTTTCAAGTCTTAGTGATTCTATTCATTCCATTTTGTACTCTCCAAAGTGGTTGAGAAAATGTGAAAATTGAATAAAGCTATGGAGAAAAAGGGTGTTTATCGACTTAGCACTGAGGTGAGGATTGATCTTCTAATCAGAAGAATGAAGAATCATATTTCTATTAAGTAGTCTGTCAGTCGCATAGTAAAAGTGGATAGGTTGGCTTAGATCAGTAATACGAATCACAAACTTTTCAAAACCCATAAGTAAGCAAAATTTTATCTAACGTTTCTAGGTTTTAACTGTGGGGAAGCTGCTAATTTTGGAACTCCACAGTGGCTTAACGTAGCTAAGGAAGCTGCTGTGCGTCGGGCAGCCATGAATTATCTTCCCATGCTGTCCCATCAGCAGCTGCTGTATCTCTTGACCATGTCTTTTGTTTCGAGGTAGGTTTCCATGATCTCTTTTTACATATAACCTTTAAGTTTTGATGGACCATGTCATTCTCATATTCTTGAATTAAATTTTCCAGAGTGCCTCGATCATTCCTACCAGGTGGTCGTAGCTCCCGACTGAGAGATCGACAGAGAGAGGAAAGAGAGTTCCTTGTGAAAAAAGCTTTTGTTGAAGATATATTGAACGAAAATAAGAATTTATCTGTTCTTCTTCGAGAACCAGGCTCTCGTTTGGTGATGTGGGACCCTGATTTACTTCCGCGCCATAGCGCACTGGCTCTTGCAGCTGTTGGGGGTGCTGCTACTTCTGCTGTTTTACCTCCATCAGTGGCAAAAAATATACCTGAGGAGGGTCATTCTGAATTGCAGAATAAAGAGAAGACTACTCTTTTAGAGGAATTGAGTTTGTTTATGGAGAAGTTGAATGATGTATACTATGATGATGATGATGGCCTGCTTAACGATTTCCAAGTTGATTCTGGAACCTTGCCATGTGTGGCATGTGGCGTTCTTGGCTTCCCTTTTATGTCTGTGGTACAGCCTTCTGAAAAAGCATTAAAAGATCTCTTAGAGGGACAAGGAAAGATAGGTAACAGACCAATTTTTAAATCTAAGCTGTGAACTGCATATCCATGTTAGCGTTTTAAAGCCTGTTAATTGTGTTTCTATTAACTGTACAGATGCTCAGGAAATTATGACACTGTCATCAGAAAAGTCTCACTGCGAATGGAAAACATCATCTAGATATATAAGGCCTCGCATTTTCTGCCTTGAACACACTATTGAACTTCAGAGGCTTCTGCAATCAAAAGATGGAATGAAGTTCCTTATAATTTGCCATAAAGGTAAGTCTACATCATTTACTATATTCGCCAAAGCGATGTGTAGGAGAAATTATGAGTTTTAAACCCACATGAAAAACAAAATTATGTAAATTTTGTTGAATGGTGATCATTCTACTGTAACCCTTTGGAATTTTTGCAGACTTTCAAAAATTTAAGGCACATGCGGCTACTGTGGCAGAGGAGGTCAAAGTCCCTTTCAGCTATGATGATGTCCTGTTAGAGGGTGCATCTCAAGAAGAGTTGAGTCTAATTGACCTTGCAATTGAAGATGAAGAAAACTACAAACACGCCATAGACTGGACCTCAGAACTTGGCATCAACTTACGGTACTGTGTTAAAGTGAGGAAAAATTCCTCTACTAAGAAAATTCAGCACGCACTGTCACTAGGTGGCTTGTTCTCTGATAGAAGCCACATGCTAGATTTTTCAACTATCAGATGGCTGCAGAGAAAATCACGCTCAAAAGCTAAACCCAGTTCTACCTCAAGTTTCACACATCGTGAACAGCTCGAAGTAAAAGTAGATGGAAAATTAGGGGAGAATTTGGATTCTCAAACCGAAAAAAAGGAAAAAAAGATCATCCAGTACTCGAGAAAGAAAAAGTTGAATTCCAAGCCATCTGTAGAACAAGGTCAGGAGCTAGCTCCCTTGGCTGAATCAAGAGAATTTGGTAAGACATGCAATAAATTGGCCAATATGTCACATCTGGATAGTTCAATTCGTTTTGATGGGGCACATGATCAAGAACATCCCGAGATCACTATCAAGTTTGGTTCAGCTTTAGATGGGAATGTCACAAATAGTGTTAGTATGGTGAATGGATACTCTGCGGACCTATCTTCCGTATCTAGAGAGCAGCAGGGACACTCTATGACCAGCAATAATAATGGGTCCAACGCAGGTAGTCATGTTGTGGCAAGTCAGACCGTACTTATTTCTACAGGTGATAATCATGTTAGACCAAGAAAATTTTCTGGTGATTATGTCTGCAGTGATGTGTCTGTACGTGATCTTCAGGAAGTGGTTGAAATGAGTGACCAAGAGTTTGGAGGACCTAGGTCTACTGTCACTAATATCGAGGATGAACAGCAATCACAGATGGTGCAACCAACCAAAAGAGAAGCTGTATCTGGTGATCACGGACAGATGGAGGGAGCAGAAGCTGTGTGTACCAGAGAAATCTTGTGCTCTGATATTATACTGCAGACTGAGCATTCTTCAGCACAAGTGGGTATGGAAATTCCTGAAATAAACACGGCCAGTGAGAACATGGTTGTCGACATGACACATGATGGTGAACCTTTGGAAAGTAGTGATATATTAAGTTCGAGCAACGGTGATCAAGCTTCTTCAAATGGATTGCAAGTTCCAGATGATGAGCTTAGCATGGAGAGTGAAGTTTCAAGCTCAGAAAACACCGAGGTTATCGAGGCTCCCAATTCAACGGGAGAAGCAAAGAAGAAGATGAAGATAGATTCAGAGTTTGAGACAAATGATAATCTAGAGAGTAGCATTGGTTTCATAAGGAGTCCTTGTGAAGGGTTGAGGTCAAGGGGCAAGAGGAAATCGAGATCTGAAACTTGGCTGAAGCTCACTGAAACGAGTGGTGAAGCGAAGAGACCCATTGCAAAAAGGGGTAAGAAAACTCCCAAGGCTCGCTCAGGTAGTCTTCAACAAGAAGATCCCACAACAACTCACCCCAACCGTTGTTACCTAGAGGGATGTAAGATGACTTTCGATAGTAAAGCGAAATTACAGACTCACAAGAGAAACTGTTGCACGCACGAAGGGTGTGGAAAGAAATTCAGGGCCCACAAATATCTGGTACTTCATCAACGTGTTCATAACGATGATAGACCCTTTGAATGCTCTTGGGAAGGATGTTCCATGACTTTCAAATGGCAATGGGCGAGAACTGAGCATTTGCGTCTGCACACGGGAGAACGACCATACAAATGCAAGGTAGAGGGATGCGAGTTGTCGTTCAGGTTTGTGTCGGATTATAGTCGCCACAGACGGAAAACCGGGCATTATGTCGCATAGAGAAACGGACATTGAATGCTGCAACAGTGTTGATGTCGGCCTAGAAAAAGTGAAAGGGGCCTCTCCTCGATTTGTGGAGTTGTTGTAAAATCTAATGTCTGGTTGGGTTTTTAGTTGTTGTCTAGTGTTTTAGACCCGTTGTTATGTCCCTTGTTGTAGAAGTGGCTTCTCTCCACATTTGAGAAGGAACAACACTCACGTTTTCTTTGTTGGTGAACACGTAACTATTGGCTTCAAGTTGTTAATATGCACTATTCACCCTTTAAATCCCAGACTGACATCTTGGTAGGTTCATTGCTGTGAGCCAGGAAATAGCAGCATTTTCCAATTTTCAATGTTTTTTCTTTTCTTGATATGTGTCGACGGTGGTGCCAAGAAACTATATGTCTATATCTGAATCCAACATCGAAACCCATTTTAGTGTGTTGTTGGACCAACCCCAACCTTAAAATCTGGAGACAAGGTGTTCTACGAGAAGTATGAGGCGTGCATATGTCTTTTACGGAATTGTATTTTTAATTGGAAACATAACTTTGTGAGTTTTTTTGGGTTTGGATACGTGAGAAGAATAATGGAGCTGCTGTGTCATTTGGAATTGACAAACACGTGTGTGTAGAAGAGAAACACTTGGAATCTATGTCAGACGTTGTTACGTACACGTGAGTTCATCATTATCTAACTATATATCAATTACGTATCTTAAAATCACAATAGAATGCTAGCAAGCAAGTCTCGGGAATTTGGACAAGATGAGTCGAAGTAATGAAAAAAATTAAACAGCTAAAGGTAACTAATTAATAATTAATGATTGTATCATCTAGTAAACCCACCTCGTACCTCAGCGTGACAGCGACGACGACGACAAATACCAAATACGATAACACACACAATGTATATGTGCAACCTTTGTAAGTAACAATATACAACCCACCCAAGAGAAATTCTCTTGAATATAATCATTTTAGTTTTTTTTCAACAATATCTCAATTTATTACTTTAAAAATCAAATTAGAATAGGAAAAGAAAAATATTATTTGGTGATTAAAAGTAATTTTATAGGTATTACTGTATTAGTAAAAGGATAAAAGAAAGAATGGTTTAAAAAGACACGTGGACAAATCAGAAGGGGTTATTGGAAATAGCGGGGTTTTAGGATTGTCTTTAGCAACCGACCTCTCCGATTACTCCAACGGCGGTGTGTGTGTGTGAAACGGCGTTAATGTTTTATATCTCTCTGCCGGCTTTTTATCTCTCTCTTTTGTTTTTTTTTTCAACGGCTGCGATTTATTTTTCTTCTCTGTGACCAAACCCATCTTCAAAGGTTTTCTCTTTCTTCACTCTTTTTTTTTTTTTCTTCTTTTTCCTTTTTGTTTGTCGTTCCCAGAATTTTCATCAAAGTTTCTCCGATCTCCAGGTTTCCAAGGTTGGTGGTTTTACCAAATTCTCTATTTTTTTCTTCTTTCCATATGTTGGTGAAAAGGTCAAAAGGAAACGTTTATTAAGTATTTATTTTGTTGTTGGATTTGTTGAGGCTCTTTGTTGAATTTGGTTCTGGGTTGGTTGGTCTCCAGATTGATGATGATTTAGATTTCAAGTTTCACGAATTGCAAGTAAATTTCGTTTTTATATTTTATTTTATATGAGATGCGCAAAAACTATTGAAACAATCTGTTTCTACTGCTTGATTATTTTCACACCACATGCGTTTTCCTTTTCCAGAGAGAGAGAGAGAGAGAGGTTAATGATCATGCGTTTCTTGTTTCCATCTTTTGCAGGAAACTCAATTTTAGACGCAAGAGCAAACTCCAAAACTCAAATTTTGTTGTTTTTTTTTATCATAAAGTTTTGATATTTATTCTTTATTTGAGTAAATAAATGGGATATGAGCTTGATCGAGATGTTGTTCGGTGGGGTCTTCATGATCTGGAGGTTTGTACGCTTACCAATGCTGGTTCTTCCACTAGTGTAACACGGTATGAGCCAGATGCTGGTACTCAAGGCTATGTTACAGAAGGTTACAATCAGCCTGTGACTGCTGGTTATGTAGACAATGATGCTGTCATTGCTCAGTTTTATCAAGACGAGTTGTCTAGACTTGCTCAAGCCGAAGCATCCGGGATCAATAATCCTAATCGGAACTCTGTTGTTGAACAAGAGTGGCCTCACTCTCATCAAGGTGTGATTTGTTAAAGCTTTGGCTTTTATGCATTTCTCTACTAAATCACTATTTGATCCATCATTTGGAACCAGATTTCAGTTTTTGATTATTTTCTGCAGTGAAGGACCATCAAGGGGAAGGTGTTGATATTTACCAGGAAAGTGATATTCTTCATAATCACAACAGTGACATGGATGATAAGAATGCTGCAATGTGGAACCAAGGAGGGCAAAGTTCCCCATCTCATGATGATGACTCAGTTTGTTCTGTAGAAATAGAAGAAGAGTCTTGGTCAGAGTTTGGGAAGCGACTGAACGAAATGATACCTATTGCTGTAAGTACCTCTTCTATGTGTGGTTTTTGATCAGCTTATGAGAAGCTTATATAAGTTCAATATCCCTGAATCTACTTGGTGTGATGCAGCACGTGCCGAAAATTAATGGTGAATTACCGTCAGAGGATGAGCAGGTTTCTGATCATGAACGGCTATTTCAGAGGTATGTTATAGATGTAGTATCTAAATACAAGCTAGAGAACAATTGCAATTGCTTGTCACAATTTCCATGGATTTGGTTGGTTTAAATTTTGCTAGAACTTAGAAGGCAATCAGATGTCTAGCCTCAAGTCGCATGGTTAATTGGTACATCGATTGTCTTGAACAAATTGAGCTGCTTTAGATGAATTAGATAAGGGTCCAGTGGATGTTTTAACTTGGCAATCAATCTTAGATTTAGAAACTTTATTTGAATTGGTATTTAGAAATCTCTTCTTCTGTTTGTCAATTATACACCTACAGATTACAGCTTTATGGCTTGGTGGAGAACAAGATTGAAGGAGATGGAAACTGCCAGGTTTGTTTTCTCCTTTCCTTTTCTCAATTCTAGTTAAGGTTCTGTAAAATAATCCGTAGCTGTCTCTCACTGCTTTACATATTTTCGCAGTTTCGGTCACTATCAGATCAGCTTTATCGCTCTCCAGAACACCATCATTTTGTCAGAGAACAAGTTGTTAATCAGGTTGAGATATACCAAGAAAAGAATCTTCCAATTCAGTCTAACATACTTTTCGCTTTGATGATTTAACATTATCATATATTTGTATTCCAGCTTGCATATAATCGAGAGATGTATGAAGGTTATGTTCCAATGGCGTTCAATGACTATCTTAAAACAATGAAACGGTCTGAAACTTATGTCTTTCAATTTTTCTCCACTGGAATATATTGCTCTAACTTATCACTAATAGTGAGTTTTTCTCAATATTTTGGGAACATAGGAATGGAGAATGGGGTGATCATGTTACACTTCAGGCTGCTGCTGATTGGGTACTTACAAATCCTAAGCTTTTTGTCTACTGTAAATGAATTTGTGTTTAAGAAGGTTTAATCTTTAGGGATGTTGGAAGTGAGGAAAGATTTAGCCACTGAGTTGCTTATGTTTCTTTTTTTGCTGTTATTACAGTTTGGTGTTCGGATGTTTGTGATAACTTCATTTAAGGATACATGTTACATTGAGATCTTGCCGCATTTTCAGAAGTCTAATCGCCGTAAGTTACCTACACTTGCAAATATTCTCTCCTTTGACCGGAAAATCTCAGATACAATTAATTCATGTATTCGCTTTTGATCAGTTATATGTTTAAGCTTCTGGGCTGAGGTTCATTACAATTCAATCTATCCTGAAGGAGGTATGTCTTATCATGGATTCTGTTAAATCATGGTAGATTAACTAAGTTTTGACTTTTTGAGCTTTCTTCTTCCTATGTTCTTGGAATTGAAAAGAGCTGCCTATACCGGAAAGCAAGAAGAAGAAGAAATTTTGGGTTTTCTGAGCTCTCTTCCTTCCTTTTGATGGTGGAACCAAGCTGGTGAAGTCTGCATATTATTATGTTTATTCTTTTGACTAACTTAGAATTTTTAGTTGTAGAGAGCAATTTGCTCTTGTATATAGTGAACATAATCCAATTAACTATAGCCTTAGTTCATTTTTTAAATAAAAGTCTCTTATTTCCATTTGTGGAAACAACCGATAAAAGAAGGCTACAATTCTTGCTAGATCAAAGCCTCAATGCATAATATTGCCAGTGAATAAGGGTCGTGTGAATGTTTTACTAAGTGCATTTTACTATACATATTACGTACTCCAGTTACAAAACTGATCAAAACAAGACCAAACTTCCATCAAGAGAAGAGAATAGTCACGTGACTGGACGTTCTATAAGGGACCCAAAAAACTAAGAACAATCAGAGGAAAAGAGAGCAGAGTCTTGAGACTGTGAATATCAACTGACTGAATCGTTCTCTATCATCTCCCGTACTTCGTTAACCACAAAATGCGCTTTATGGCCGCCGATAATTTCAGCTTGTTTCTGGCCATCTCTCCATAGCTGCAGAGTGTATAAGACACAGAATCAGAAACTGTTTCTAAGAGGTTTTTCAGAGTCTAGATCCAAACTGAAAGTTTCTTTGAAGATACGGGAACGGATTAAAACTAGACCTGTATTGTTGGCATTTTCTGCGTCCCCCCACCAGTGTTCCAAACAATAGAATAAGTAGTTGTTAAATCAACAACCCAAGGTTTTGACTAAACTGATTAAAATAGAGTTGGTAGCAAAATGAAAAGATTCATACAATAAGCTTACCGTAACTCCTGCACGAGAAACAAGTCTGTATGGCACAGCGTTGACATCAACATGATAAAACCGCAGTCTGGAAGAAACATTTCCAATCAGAAAACAACAAGTAAGATATATATGGGAGCTTGTTAGAATGAATGAAACTCACAGTCAAGATCCAAATCCGTTACATTGAACATTCAATGGAAAACAAGAATAGGAAGTTACTCAAAAACCTTGGATAGAATTCAGCAGCAAGCTTTTCGAGTTTGGGTTTTAAGTAAATACATTTCCTGCACCAAGCTGCCATCCTACAAAATCCATGTAGCTAATCTTTACCAACCAGAAAGATACAATCAACTACATAAGAGCAAATGCTTGAGATGTTTGAAGAAAATGATTAATTGGCAACTTTAGGAGAATAAACAGTGAAACACCATGAGATATCCAAGAACCTGGGAAGAATTTGAGTGCAAGTATTCTTTTTTTCATCGGATTCATATTACCATTAGATCGAGAAACCAATTCTATATCGTTTTGACCTAAAATCTTATGGATTTAAATAGAAAATCAGGGGAAAAAAATACAAACTCTTAACCTAGAAACTCACCAGACGATTACAACTGATTCACCAAGCTTATGAGCTTCCTCCATCACCTGATCGAAGTGGCTCTCGCCACAGATTGGTCCGAGCTCAACAGACACCGGAGAGTCATCGAGCTCTTGCAAGCCACCGTCCTGCTTCAGGGCATCGACTGCTGGGATTCTCTCCGCTACCAAACAGATTTTCTCGGGAAAGGAATGAAATTTGAATTCCCTCGGTTGAGAGAAAGAGCTCGAGATTTGACGAGGGAGGTATGGAGGAACTAAAGCTGAGATCTTTGGGTTTAAAGATCTCAGGGATGATGACAAATTTACAATTTCTGACATCCTCTTTCACTGAAACGGTCTCACAGACTCTCAAACAAGATTAGCAATAATGCTTTAACTTCCGTAGTCAAATATACCAATAAAAGAAACTCTTTTAGTTTTGGGAATTGCCTCCATATTTTGATGGTTATATAAGATTAAAGCCTCTACTTTTATATGAAACAATGAAACCCAACATTTAGATGATCTTCAAATCAAAAACCATACTTCATTATCTTACAAAACTGTTACATTATAAATGTCAACCTTGTTTAGCTCTGTTTCCTTTCTACTGTCTCAGGCAAAAACTGAAAGACAGGATCGCTTTGTGCTTCTGAGCTCAGAAGAAATGTACAAGTGTTTGATTGAATTGTTGGGCATTTTCTACCCATATCCGAGCTGAAACTGTCACCGGAGACTGGCGACTGAATTTTTTAGCTAGCTATCTCTCGATGCAGAGAAGCTAATACCATCTTCTGGATTCCTGTTAACCGTGGGGCATAGCCATTTGATCATGTTATGGCCTAACACCTGAGAAAAGGATGAAATGATTAATGGTCAACTTCTTGATCTGAGGATGAAAAACCTGATTTCCAAAGACACAACAGCATGGAAGTGACTCTAAAGTTGACATTGTGATCGACGCAAAAGATAGAGGTCAATGTAGAGAAAGGTACCGAGGTGATGTTTTTGTAAACGCCAACATCGAATTGATGCCTATAGCTTTGTCCTGATTTTTTAGCTAACCATAAGGCCCGCTTTGAATCATAATGCTGGACAGAAAGAAAAAAAAGCAATGCCGAGTAACACACTGTCAATTAATTTGCAAGAAAAGCTTTACACGTTGTGCTCGAAGACTGTAGATGAAAATAGAATATATACCTCGATGGTGGTCATATTGTGTGCGATGAGGTAGATATGCCAACAAAGGAGAGTCCCAAGTGTTATGCTCAGTCCGACCATGAAGATCCCACATGAAACCTAAACCATAAACAAAAGACAGAAAATTGTAACTTACTTTCTTTACCAACAAACTACTCATCTCTAGTTTTTCATTCTTCAGAAAATGATGAAGTAAATCTGCTTGAAGCGATAGACAAGTAACCATGTTTCCGAGAGCGTGCAGCCATAATTTGAGACTATTGAATATCAATTAATTGCTAAAGATGAAGAAGCTAGAAAATATTTTCCGGACTAAACCATACTTACAATGAAAGTTTTGAGTGGAACATTTCCTGCATAGGAATCTCCATTCTTGAATACGCAGCAAACCAGCAACACCTAAAATAACAATCATACACATAAGATGAAAGTCTCACCAAAAACAAAAATCAGATTAGAAATCGAGAATGACATTTACATACTGTGGAGTAAATGGAAGCCACTGTTGCATAAAACACAAGAATGAAGAAAGCTTTGTAGTTTGCATAACCAACACAGTTATTGATCCAAAGGCAATGGTGGTCCTGTCACATGTACATAGAAAAACCGTTTACAAACAAATCCCAGTACACAAAGTTCTGGTAAAGCTTTGACACAAAAGTTCTTAAATTATACCTACCATCTTCAAGACACATCTTCTGCAAACTCGGCAATGGTGAGTCCGGGGAGGCTTATGTGCAAAGCACTTATCACATTTCCTTGTTTCTGTAGCCTGATAGATTAAATCAAATACACCGGAAACTCATATCAGAGAAATTATACAACTCTATGCCAACTTTCCAATCTCAATTATTCAGGAGGAGGCAAATCCAGACAGCATCAATGATTAATCCATTCATCCTAAGCTTAACACCAACATTTTGAAACCCTTGCTTTTATAACACCAGATCGAAAGAAGATAAAGGCATTGAATTTCACCAATTGAGCCTCTTCAGGATCAAAAGGACTAATCTTCTCCAACTAACATATAAGAATCCATTACCAATTCCGAATACAATTCAATAGAGGCAAAAGGATAAGACTTTTCCAAGTAACCTATAAGAATCTGTACTCCCGACTCAATCATAAAGACCCTTGTCTTATCATATTCTAAAACCTCAATCGAACAGACATTTCAGTGAAACTCGAGTACAAACCAAATTAAAAAAAAAATCACCAAATGCGTCAAATTCAAAGGAAAACAAGGAGCTCACGTTACTATTGGACCAACCAGAATCCTCAACATCAGGAGAATAAGTTGCAGGAACACGACCTGGATCTACAAGAACGCAAACTGAAAGCGAGAAGAGACACAGAGATGCAAAGAAGCTGAAGAGGAAGGCGTTTAATTTCCCAGCTGAGCTTTGTAAACCAACCCAGTCATTGATGAAAACGAAGAGTGTGACGTAGTACACGAAACCCATCACCAGAATCACCGAAAGAACCGGGATCGAGAAGAATCTCCGGCAACTCATCGCCAAGATCTCTCCGTGGCTCTCGAAATCACGACCGGTTTAATTCCTCCCCCGCCCAAATTTGATGGTAACCGAATCGAAATTTCCCAAAATTGAAAGAAAAAACCAAAAGTCAAATTTTCGAGAACAACACGTGACGATATGCTATTCGCTATGTACTTTACTTGAAAATACGAAACAGGCTTACTTTAAATGGGCTCTGTTGTGACTTATTGGGCTTGGGGTATGGTCGTGAAATGTGAGAAATTGAGGAAGAAATTCTTTAACATTTACTTCATAAAGTATTGGCTATAATTTTTTATTGGATCTTGAAAATTTGATTAATTTTCTAAAATAAATATATAAAGTAAAAATTAATTTACTAGCTAAATAGAAATATATTGAGTTTGTGAGGTGTTCATCATTGGCATTATATTATCCATGGCAACAGTTGTAAGTTGGCCGTCGATGTAATATACATATGTAAACTAATTACTCTAACACGGACTTTTCTTTTGGCTTTCCATAGTTAAATGTTATGCGTTGTTTTGTGAAATAGTCACAATCAAATTAGTACGTCAGAAAAAATCAAAATAAACATATATACAAACACAATGTATATATTATGACATATAAATAGTACACTAACATAATATCAAGATTGTACTATGAATGCATAGCTACCATAAGTTTAATATCTACCATGTGATTCGTGTCCCTTGTATTTATTGGTACAACACCCTTCTACGTGTCTGATTCTATTTCACTTTCGTCGTTTTTGATAATATATGCTATACTTAAAATTTTCTATATGATTAATCTATCACCAAAATATTATATCATCTATCTATACCAAACTCGTATCATTGAATAAAGACATTACAGTGTATGCTAGCTACAGTTCGTATTCGTCAAAGATTAATTTCATAATCGATTACACGTACATTTCTAGGAATTTAATATATAAAATCAAAGGAGATTTTTAGAATATACAAGACTACAAGAGCATTTGTTTTGTAAATAAAAAATTGGATCAAGTGGAAATAAAACCCTAGACATCACTCAGTTAGCTAGAGCTAGTTAGTGTACGTAAACCATACATATATAACTTTAACGTGTAGGGCGGTGCACACACACATACATGGCTAATCGATAAAGCAATTGGTAGAAAATCAAATTATTGTCCTTCACATATATAAGAATGAAAATCAAACTTATTGCGATATTTTACACCAGCGAGTAGTCTTGTGTCATGATGTAAATTTCAAAATCAGAATCACATATACAGACAGATAACGAACGAAATAATTCTAACTTTAGATATAGGATGCGACTAACTCCTACTTCTTTCTCTTGACTTGTTTTATAACCTAGCTAATGAATGTATATAGAGAAACATGTATAGGTTGATCAATCAGTTAAAGCGTCTACAGTAGTCAATGAGGAGATGATTGTGAAATCCCAACCTAGATTCATATACAGGATTTTCGTTATTATAATTATTTAATTTAATTAAAACATCTTATGACTTTTTTATTTATTATGAAATGAAAGTATACATTAATTGTGCATTATACAGTTTTAATAAGACAGAGAGGCTTGTCGATCATTGACAGATTTTTTTTTTTTTGAATGTAATGTTAAATTATATTCAAAGAAAAATAACGTTTTTACAACTTGTGCAACATGAGATTTGAAAAAGAAAGCTAATAAAAAGTTTAAACAATTTTTGACAAAAAATTGAAGCTAAACAAAAGTAAACTAAAACGTAAAAGAATTAAGGAAACTAATCGATGAGTATACATAATATATTAATATTTATCGCTCGGAATTTGCTAATTTTGTGTAAAATAATTAAGGAAATAAAAAATGAGGGTTATGAAAATACAGTACCATTGTTATATATACTTTTTATATAAAAAAAGTGGCCCTAAAAAAAGAAAGGGATGGTGGTCCGAATACTTTGTTTATTCCGATTGTCCTCTCGAGAACTTGTTGTTTACTAAGTGTGAATTGATATGTAACTGATATCAATATTACTGTGAATACGTGATGATCCCAAAATCACCACCTTTGCTTTGTAATTTGCCTTTCATCAGTTATGCTAAATTAAGGACAAAACAACTCAAAGATGTCCTTAATTGCAAAGCCCCTTACCTGACACAATATCTTTAGATTCTCCCATCTCCATCAGTCCATGCATCTCTCCAATGGCTTTTTGTGGGGCAAACAACTCGCACTTAATTTCTTTTTGATATCATACGGCAGTTTTTCTATATATATAATTAAGTTTATAAATTTTATTTCTATAAAGTTTATGCAATATCTTATATATCGTTTATGTTTATATCAATGCAACAGCCAACAATGAGATCAATCAAATAAAAATAAAAATCCAAAGTCGTAAATTCAAATATCGGTGCAGAAATAACACTTGTTTAGTTTGTTTTTGATTCACATCTAAGATATCCTTTGGAATCTCAGTTAAGCTCATCAAACTGGAAGGGACAGCTTATAAACATCTTTGACAAGAATCAAACTGCATACGTCGTTGCATTAATATGCAAGTAGTGATGTATATGTGTGTGTATGCGTGGGATTGCATGCATCAGCCATTGTAATGATGTAATTTGGACTAACCTTTTGATTTTAATTGTAATAGAGCGTATCATTTATGGCATGCACACATAACATTTCTGCACCTACCTCTCTTGTATCATGACTAGCTATACCAACATTAACGTACTAATTATTAACTTGATTCCTTCTTTTTTTCCTAAAATTATTTGGGTTACAGAATGTGTCCAAATCTTTTCTTATATTTGTTTGAACAAATTTATTTAAATTGAAAGTGAAAGAGACAAATATTTCACAAGTTGAGCCACATGAAAACAAAGGTTCTAGTACAATGTACAACACACCATCATGTTTGATTTGATTTGGCATGAAAACCAAATTTCTAATATTACAAAATTAGAAGAATAAGAAAAATGTAAGACCAAGTAATAACCCATAAATAGAAAGTGACACACTAATCAACAAATCTTACTACACAAGACTGCAGTCGTAGAACTGGAACTGGAACTACAAAAAGTCTGTACTCTGAACCAACTTTATATATTTATTATAAGAACATAACATAATTAATGACCCAACTATAATATCTGTTTTCACGATCTTCTTGTTATTCATGAATCTTGATCATATAGCCTATTGTAAGGACCCGATCTGAATGAAGACAAAACAAAATTATATGATCCTGAAAGATACAGTTAAGATATAGGTAACAGGTTACATAACTTTATACATCCATTCATCAATACACAAGGCAAAATCAAAGACAATATAGTTTTGTCAATTCATTGTAATTAACGCCCTAATCCGTCATTTACCCTACATTAAGAAAAAATTAGCACCAGATGTGTATAGAAAAAAAAAATGTGATTCTGAAAACTAATCAAGAGAGAGACTTACCAAAGATCTAGACTTATGTGAATATATATCTTCAAGTTTCTTTATTCGGCTTTAGGTATTTTGTAGCCGTCGGTTGTTGATGCAGCATCATCAAGATTCTCATATGTACATATCAAAACCCTAATTTAGGAGTTTTTTCAATTCTCATGTGAATCTTGATGGTGCTGCACCTACAAACAACGGCTGATGAGCTTTCTTCCATGGATCCGCCGAGAAGAGTTGTTAAAGATTTTACACACACAACCAAAGAGAAGGAGTCTATATATATATATATATATATAGTACTCTACAAAATAATGGAACTGTGATTCAAGAAGCGAAATAAAATAACTTCGAGGTAGAAGAAAATAGATCTAAGCTTCTCGATCTCTCTCTCTCTTTTATTTGAGAAGAAGAAGAAGAAGAAGAATGAGAAAAGTAGTCGGAGATGAGGAAAGTAAGATAGGTGAAGTAGAGAAAAAACCTCAAGAGTCCAAGGGCTGACGTGTCTACTTATAAGTGGTCCTTTTACGTCATAAGAAAAATTATGGAATATTCTGTTTTTAGAACGTAAGAAACAAAAAATTTTCACATTCTATAGGAAACAGATTGAAAATAATTGTTTGAAATATATAAGCGATGTAATAGGTCGAGTATATAATACTAGTTGATATGATAATATCCTATATATATATATATACTGATCGGTTAGTTGAATTTTTCGATCTGTCGATCCAACAAAACGTCTCAGGGGTAGTACAAACCAATCTCGCAACTTTTCATATGATAAATGCAGCTAACAAAACTATTATTTACGAGACGAGAGTACGTACACACACATATATGGTTTTGCGTGTATGTATACGCACACAAGACTCGTTAAGGGAGAAGAGAGTGAGAAAGGTGCAAGTGAAGGAGAGGGTGAAGTGAGGTATTTATAGAGTCGAGCAGTGACTTTAGGTAAACTGAACCAGATCGGACCAAACCATATTTATGGTTCATTGTCTGTAAACCGATCGAACACTTTGGATCTGAATCCTACAAGTCCTTAATACCAAATATTAATCATTTAATTAATTGATATGGTAGTAACTAGTAATATCAATATCAATAGTAAAATTGTTTTCTGCCAATGCATATTACATTTATGCTCGAACATATAGACATAAACAAAAGTATATAAACTGGTTGACCAACAAAAGAGATAATATATATGTTTGTTTTGATAAAATAATCACATAACTAATTTGAATTTATCAAATTCTTATAAATTAAGTTTTTATGAGATAGCCATTAAACTAAACTTATTAGTTTTCTGGTGGGTTTTAACTTATCGTCGAATCTCATCAGCTCATCTATATACCAAGAGGTCAGGTCATTAGTGTTATAATATTAAAATAGATCCACCAATTAGATAAGATAATAAGGGATTAGATAACATAATATACATATAATATTGGATTAATACAGTAGATATCTGTTGACTTGGAAGTGAGTGTGTATACACGTAAAGTGCCTGAGCAAGTTGATAAACATAGTACACATCAAGAAGAAAGAGAGATTCCTTGTCTCCCACACTTTCACCTGAAGATCATCAAAAGCCACAAGCCTATATAAAATTAGAAATCTAACCCACTATGCATTTTTTACTAAGTATATATTAGTTTTCCTTCTTTTTATTATATACACGTAACAAAATTTTGATCGCCTTTAAAACTAACAAAATATTCGTACACACACACACACACAACAAAAAAGAGTGTTTCTTTCATTCTCATGGATACTACTTTTTCTTTATTTTTCTTTTGCCAGTAGTGAAACTGTGAAAGTGATGTGTTTTCTCCTAAAGTTGAAATATATTATTCAACTATTTTTACGTCTTTATTTTATAGTGATGTGTAAAATTCTTTCTTTTAAATATTAATAACGAATCAAAAACGAAACCAATTAATACAAGAATAGTAAAAACAGTGGCAGTACTAACCAGATAAGATATCCGGCGAATTCGGATCTTAGAATGAATATTATGTGACGTCAAAAAAGAAAGCAAATGAACGAGAACATGAGTCCGTGGAGAGAGATGGTCATCGCGTTACAACTTACACGAATGTGGCAATTACGATTATATAACTTTTTGCTTCATATATTAAACTTTCCAGTTTTTATCATAGCCACCAAACTGAAAACGGGAAAAAAACTGGGAGATATAGAAGAAAAAAAACACTGTTTGTTTCAACATTGTGACGTAAGTTTTGTTCCAAACGTTATCAAAAACGTCATGATGACGCAGCGATACACTAGCTAAATGATAACCCAAAGATTCATCAAGGATCCATCACCATGCATATACATAGTGGTTCAAAGATTTATTATTAAGCTCGGAGAAGTAACTTGGATTATGATCATGATCATTTAGCCACTTATGTAAAAATGTTTTTTTAACAAAATACTTAATCATAAACTCATGTAATTAATCAAAGTTTTTAAAATGCGGTTTAATGCACCACCAATTTTTAAAAGTCGGGATATTTATTAATCAGAGCATACGACTGTCTTGAAATCCTAGCATCTCGAGTATAATATATAGTTTGTAAAATATTCAAAATTGTTACAAGTATTCGAAATTTTTATTTAAATATATAAAAATAATTGTCAATAGTGAAAAGCTTCACAGACAATTATTTTGTTTGGGGAGATGAGTTATCTTACCCATATCATGGCAGACAACCTGGTACCTTTGCATCGGTCCACATTTTCATAGATTATATATATATTTGGTTTTATATTCCATGTCTCCGTATTTTTCTACTTTACACAAAATTAGTGTAGTATTTTTATTTTATTTTTGTTTCTTTAGATATAACTTTTTGATGACATTAAATAGATGGTATATTAGGTTAAGTCTCAAGAGGCATCACAATGTAAAAGTGTATACTATAATAGATAAATATCATGAAGTACTACTTCTATTGGAATCTCTCGGAATGTACAAAAGAATATTATGTTAGGTTTAAAAAAATGTTTAAGCGCCTATAGATATATATATATATATATATATTCAATAATCCAAGTGGTATTGAGATACTAATTTTACAACTAATAATCTTTGATAAAATTACTTTCTCTCTTTGTCCAAAAAAAAAAGTTACTTTCTCTCCAATCTTGAAAACATATATAGTAATTCTAAATAAAATTCAGTTTAAAAGATTTTTATTTTTGTTAGATGTGCAAGATGACGATTTCTACAAATTATAACTGAATTTACATCAAAATATTTCAAAGGTTTTAATTTGTCTTCTTGAATTTTATAGATGTAGATTTTGTTTTTTTTTTTTTTAGATATAAGCCTAACATTATTTTGTTTCAAATTTAACTAATAGTCAACTGAATTATTAGATCCTAAAATTTTTATGTGAAACAAAATATTTATAGCAATCTTCCTACCATCTCGCTTAGTTAATAATCGTAAGGTCAAGTACATCTGTCCACATGGGAACATGGTTATACCTAATCCACATGCTTTATTTAAATTTGAATTTCGTAGTTTTTCAGCAACGGTATAATTTTATATATAATCTAAATCCACACATGCAAGACCTGAAAGATAAAATGTGATATATTTACCTGCATTTTAGAGTTTACGATTGATCGACTATTAAAATCTACATGTATATTAATTTATGGAAAACAAAATTTATATATAATTAGTAAAATCCCTACTAGATTGAGAGAAGCTATCATATGTATTTAAAAAGAGTAAAAAATAGACACAATTACTTCATGTTGTTAACACTACTATTTTCTTCACTCCAAAATATTATTTTTAAATAGGAATATGTACTATGATAGTAGGAAATAAGATATAAGAAATTCAAATCCCCTAGATTGTATTGCTCCAAACCTGTGGGCTGGTTAAAGTTTGTTTATTGATTAATGCGTGATTAGGTCATCTAAACATTGTGACTTGGATATCACGTGGAATCGAGCTTCTGGTGTCTTGTTTTATTGTAAATTCTAACACTAATATTTTATCAACTAGAAATATTCGCAAGTATTTAACCCATTTATTTATAGGCTTGGTTAAGTCATAAAAGTAAAAGCTGGTCAGAGATCTTAATGCGAAAAAACCTTAATTTATTTTAGATTAAGCTTAGGCTGGTTTTACAGAAGCAACACATTATGGAATTGACAAAGTCGATAAGAAAAACCCTAATTCGATACGAAGAAGTATAGAAAAATAATTAGAGTGATGAATGACTGATGAATGATCACTCTTAATTAGAACATATATATGTACATGTACTGACGGCTTATATTTGTTAGAACAATTTGGAATAAAAATGTGGCTATATGTAATATGTTTGTAACAGAATATTAGAAGTAATTAAGTGTTTAAATGACCTCATTAGCATGAATATGTTTTGATATGGAAAGTGGTAGATTCGATACATCGGCTAAATAGACTCTTGTAATGATCCAAGTTCTATTTGTTATCGGATTACTCACATGACTCTTTTTTCCAAGTTTCAAAGATGTTTGATTACATGGAATTATTGTATTTATAAGAATCTTTGGTTTAAAAAAAAAACAGAAAACAAAAAAAACAAAAAAACAAAAAAGAATTTTTGGTTTTAGCCCAAGAGGCTAGTGGGAGGGGAGCTTGGAGGAAATGTGCAACTCCCACAACCTGGGTTCAATTCTCCACTTTGCTGTTAACACCATCTTTGTGGGAAGTCTGTTAGTTGGGCTTAGCTCCAATTGGTTTACCTGTTAATCAGAAATGCAGGCGGCCTGATTACCCTCGGGCATTAGTCGGAAAGCATTAATCTGGATTCAGGCGATGTGGTAGCCCAACACCTAAGTATTAGCGACGAGTCCACATTGTAACACTTCGGTGTGATCCTTCCATAGCTGACCGGATCAGACGATCGGGTTTATCAAAAAAAAAAAAAAAAAAAAAAAAATCTTTGGTTTTAGGTTCACAAAAAAATATGTATATACATTTGGTTTTCAGTACGTGGCGTGAGATCGCTTATTGGGCCTCTAAAGGAAACCTTGGCCTGGTCTTACTAATGGGCCTCTCTATGGTTGATATTTTAGCCCTTTATGCTTTAGGCACTTATAATGTTGTTTATCTTTCTCGTGAGTGGCGTAGCAACTCAACCACCGTTAGGGTTTCGTCTTGCCATTAATATTCTGAGAGGCGAAGAAAACAGATACAATTCAGATAATTATTTCCAGAAAATTCACAGTTTTGTCAACAAGAGGAAGAGAGAGGTAAGATGATTCTGATTCGTATAGTTCTCAGATATTTTACAGAGAATCGTTGGATTTTTCTTTTGTTTTTTTCTGTTCGTTCACCTGAATCCTGCTTTTTGTTTTCCGTGTATAGACGAGTTATAAAAATGGCTGCGAAAGAAGGTAGTAGGATTTTTGTCGGTGGTTTATCGCCGGAGGTGACAGAGAGAGACCTTGAACGAGCTTTTACTCGCTTCGGAGACATTCTCGATTGTCAGGTACGATCTCCTCTTTGTTCTCTCTCTGTGTTTATTTTTAGATAATTGAAGCTTTCTGGAACTTATTGGTAAACTATTAAGGTCTAATTGAATTGAACATTTGCTGATTGTGAATAGTTCAAAGATCACACTATAAACAACAGAGATGTTTGGGGATTAGTTAAAAGACTTTACTTAATATTATTCCTTTTTTCACCTATTGATTTTTCTTTTTCTTTTCTTGGATGCTGGTATTGTATCACTGAAACACTGTAGAGTGATGAATTAGGGATGATATTGATCAGAGCTTCATGGGTCAAGTTGAGAAACTGCTCTGTGAATAGAGAATTTTAGGAATTACAGTTATGTTTTAGTCTCTCAGCAAAAATGATTCACAGTTTTGGGATTTGGTTCACGACGTTGGGGCTGTCGTAACAGTTTTTTTCTATCATGAAGGAAGTTCTTTATTTTGATCTGGGAGGGAAGGCTGTTTTTTTGTTACTCAATGATTGAGCTGTGTAATTCGTGAGTTCTCTAAGTATGCCGACACTGGGTTATGGTTTCCTTCCTGACAATGTTCCTTGTTATTGCTCTTACATTCTCTGTGAAGATCCTGAAATAAGCACCTTTAGGAAGAAAGGCTAGTATCTAAATGCTCTTTAGCTGTCCCGGAATGGGATGCCTGGTTTGGTTTTGAGTGGTCAGTTTGAGATGCTACCCAGTTAGGCTAGGTCACCGTTCTCCTTCAGCTGGTAAAGATATTTAGTTACCCAGTGCAGTTTACTGACTGGCTAAACGCACTCTTTTTGCTTCAGTAATTACGTTTGTGTAGTCATAGTTCTGGATAAGCCCAAAGGCCTCAGACTTCAGCTGTTTTGCTGCAAGATTTCATTTCCTCCTGATACCCTGAACGTCAGTGCTAGCAGTTTTAGGTACTTCAGAAAAGTATGACATGCCGAATGGAAAACGACACTCAGTTGAAGCAGACATCTCAAGGTTTCTATGATCATTTGGGACTGACGACCTCTCCTTTTCCTATCCCAGATTTCTTACTTATCTTTCTTGTGGGCTGTATGCTTTACCATCCCCTCGCTTCTCATGCCTGTGTGGTTCGTAGGAGTGTTTGATATTTATCCTTTCTTTGTGTTTCTTCTCCAGCCTAACAAATTTCCCAATTCACAAATGCAAGCCGATTATATGATTCTTGTGTCTGAGCCACACATTTTCTAGATCCACCTACCCCAGTTTTCTGCGCTTATCTTTTCCGAAAGCTTCTGAACCTGATAATGTTCTTTGTGTAAGATGGAATTCTGTATTTCTGATCTGTGGGCCATCGTGCTATGTAAAGAGTTGCTAGCTCCAGTGGATCTGAGTGACTTTGGCTGAATATGATTTCTGCATATCGAGAAGAAACAGATGTTTGATCAGGAAATGAGTACAGATAGCTAATTCACTGACTTCCTTCTGTCTGTAAACCTTCCTCTCTTTAATTTTGTAACTATGTCACCTAGCTATTAACGTGTATACTGTTTAAGGGCATTACTCGAGGAAGTTGTCCTTTGAACTGAGAAAAAGTTTAGTGGTTTCTGAGAAAAAGTTTAGTGCTTGAGATTGTAGACTTGCTTTAAAGCTGCTTCAGTTTCTGGGGATCTGTATTGTGTTTTGCTCTGAAGTTGAGGTTGATTGAGAATTTACTACACAAAGCAGGGTCACAGTGTTATGCAGTGAACCTTAAAACAGATGGGTGTTTGTTGATGTCACATGGTTTTGATTTGATCTTTGAGATTTTGCAATCGTTTCATTTTACTACTGCCCTTCTGCTCAGTATTAGCTACACGTATGCATATACATCTTTGGGAAATCAGCTTTTATGGTGTGTTGTGTATAGATCATGCTGGAAAGAGATAGCGGTCGTTCACGGGGGTTCGGGTTTATCACCTTTGCGGATCGTCGTGCTATGGATGAATCCATCAGAGAGATGCATGGAAGAGACTTTGGTGACCGGGTCATCTCAGTGAACAGAGCTGAACCAAAACTGGGGAGAGATGATGGTGAGAGTCATGGTTCTAGAGGTGGGAGAGACAGTGGCTATTCATTTGCTGGAAAAGGAAGCTTTGGTGGAGGTGGAGGTGGCCGTGTTGCTGAAGATGAATGCTTCAAATGTGGGCGGGTTGGGCATTGGGCCCGTGATTGCCCGTCTGCTTCTAGTGGTCGTGGTGGACCTGTTGGTGGTTATTCTTCACGTGCTCCTGCCTTTGGAGGATCTGATGGACGTGCTGACCGTTATGCTGACCGTGACCGGTATGTGGATCGTGAACGCTATATAGATGATCGATATGATGGTGCTGCACGCTTTGGTGCGAGAGACAGGTTTGACAGTAGAGAAGCCTACATACCCCGTGATCGATACGGCAGTGACAGGTTGGATTTTAGTTGTTAAAGCAACTCAATGACTGTATGTATAAGGTTTCCAAATTGACTTGCTTTCTGACAGAACTTAAAAAATCTATGATTTGACAGGTATGGAGCGCCGGCTGATAGGTTTGCAGGGGGTGATAGATACAGCCGTGGGTCAGACCGGTATCCTCCAGCGAGCTATGACAAAGCCCGGTCCTTTGAGAGAGATATAGTCCCACCAAGTGCAGGCAGTGACAGGTACAGTGGTTGTAGAGCGGGTGGGCCCATACGTGGAGGAGATGAGGGAAGAGGGTTTAGAAGCAGAGCCGGTGCTCCTTATGAGAGGGCGAGCCGAAGTAGTGGTGGTGGTGGAGGAGCTTATCCTTCGTCATCTACATTTGACCGTTACTAAAAGTCATTTGATGCTTTGTTAGTGTTTTATACACTCCGTCGTCTGTGTGTAATGAATATCTTTGTAAGCGTTCTAGGTTAAAAAACTTTTCTCATATGTTAGTTTGGAAAATTGTTTAGCTTTGTATTTTGGTTTGTTTTGGAAAACATTACATGACTTTGAGCTTGGAGTTTTATGTTACTTTTAAAACCGTGCAGACTTCATAATTTGCTTGATGACAGAAAAATAAAATAAAATAAGACTTCATAATTTGCCTATTTAGGTTCTGAGCTGTATTTCTGAGGTATACGCTGGTTTTTCCTAGAAAGTTATAATCTATTGACATTGAGTTATTGACTTTTATGAATTTGACTCACAATTGTTTTTATAGTTTTGGAAGATGATGCTTCACTGATTCATATTTTCTTTTGGATAAAATAAAAAGGCCGACAAGTAACAACACAATAAAGAGAGTCCAATAAGCCTTGGATAAAATAAAAAGGCCCAAAAGAGTTATTTAAGAAAAGAAAGAAAAAAGAACCCAGTCAAAAAGTCGCAGAACAATTGCATCACGCTCAAAGCGTTTCTTCACTCTCTCTGCCAAAGTCTGCTTCTTCTCTCTCAGAAAATGCAATCGTGAAAGCCCTAAACTCACCGTGAAAGAAGATGGATCGCAAGGGAAAGGGTAAACAGGTCGCCGGAAGTGAATCTTCTTCCGGCGGAAAGAAGAGGAAAAACACCGTCGAGTTCAGAGATGAAGGTTTGAGGATTAAGAAGCGGAAAACCCCTGGTGTTCTTCAGTTCTTCGAGGAATCCGCTGAAGTTGGCTACTACGGAGGCAGCTCCGACGAGGATGATGACGGATTAGGTTTCCTCAACGGTAATTTATCTCCTCTGGTTTCGTTGATTTTCTTCTTGCATGTGTTCTTTGCTTCGTTTCCTCTTTTGTGAGGACTCCTATTCTTTTACATTTGATGGGTTATGTCTCTTTTTTGCTTCTACTAAGTGTTTTACCTGGTAAAGTCGCGATTTTTAGGTCATCTCCGTGGAATGTAGGGTGTTTGTTGAAATTTTGGAGCTGTTTTGTCTAGTTTTAAGGTCTGCGTACTATTAAAGGTTGAACATTTCAGAACTTTCCCATCTTTATCTGACTACTCTTTTGAAGCAGATATGGAAGAAGAACCTGAGGTTGAAGAGAGTGGTAAGTCTGGCAAGGGAGAAAAGGGCAAATCGTCCTTTGTTTTTCCTAAGGAAGAGGATATAAACGAGGAAGAATTTGATAGAATTATGGAAGAAAGGTACAAGCCAGGTTCCGGTTTTCTTAGATATGCTGATGATGATGTGAAAGATTCCATTGAGATGGATGCTCTTGCTCCAACTTCCAAGGATCCTCCAATTTGGAAAGTCAAGTGTGCGGTATGTTAAGCTAAAGTTTTATTTATGCTTTAAGCCAGTTTGTTCCTACTTCTGTTGACTCCATTTGGTTTGCTCCTGTAGATTGGACGAGAGAAGCATTCGGTTTTCTGTCTCATGCACAAATTTGTTGAGATGAAGAAGATAGGCACCAAATTGCAGATCATATCTGTTTTCTTTGTTGACCATGTCAAGGGTTTTATTTTCATAGAAGCTGACAAGGAACATGATGTTCTCGAGGTATTGAACATTTAGCATACCTATGTTGGAATATTGTCGAACTTATCTGACAGTTTAGAGGATGCTGCTTGGGGGTAATTATTATGTGTATGACATTCTGATTTGTCTTATTTTCCTAGGCATGCAAAAATTTAACCGGTATATACGCTACTCGGATGGTGTTAGTTTCTAAAGCCGAAACTCCAAATCTGCTAACTGTCCAGAGAAAAACTAGAAAAGTTATTGAGGGAACATGGGCTCGTGTTAAGAATGGCATATACAAAGGAGATCTTGCTCAGGTATTTAAAAAGTTGCTGTATATGTTTCTTTTTCAGCTTATTAGTAAGGCTAACTAAGCTGATTATGTTCTATGTCCTTGTAGATTGTGGCTGTGAGTGACACTCGGAGAAAAGCGTTAATAAAGTTAATTCCGAGGATTGATATTCAAGCCTTGACTCAAAAATATGTAGCTACACTGTCTTCCCGCTCATTTATTTGTCCATGTCACTAATTATTGTTGTTGTTTATGTCATCTTACTGTTTGCTATGTGCTTTGTCGTTAACTTTTGCGCAGGGTGGGGGGGTTACTATTAAAAAAGGCCAGACTCCAGCTCCAAGATTGATCAGTTCAAGCGAGCTCGAGTAAACTGCTTGATCTTTTCTTCTCGTTTGGTAAATAATTACCAACTTTCTAAACTCTTTTGTCCCCTCTTTCGTCACAGGGAGTTCAGACCTCTCATTCAAGTGAGGCGAGATCGTGATACTGGAATAACGTTTGAGCATCTTGATAGCCTGATGCTGAAAGATGGGTATCTCTATAAGAAAGTATCCTTAGATTCATTATCTTCCTGGGGGGTTATACCATTGAAGGAGGAGTTACTAAAGTTTACACCTGTAGACCGAAAAGAAACTGGTGATGTAGAGTGGATTTCAGAAATTTATGGTGAAGAAAAGAAGAAAAAGTTTCTTCCAACCGGGAGAGGGAACGGGAAAGGAGAAGGATCAGGGGGTGGAAAAGGAGAAGGGTCATCAGAATCTAAGTCAGAATGTAGCTATGAGTTATATAATCTAGTTTGTTTCAGGTATGGAGCGTCCATAACTATACTTTTATGTAAGTCTTGGTTGTAATTTCATATGTTAAGCACTTCGTATCTTTCCCTTTGTAGTCGAAAAGACTTTGGTCTGATTGTGGGTGTGGATGACAAAGGTGACGGTTACAAGGTATGTAGTTATTCACCATCTCATAATACCCTATGGCCTTTCTCTGTCTGATGAGCTATTCATCATCTCATCATACCGTATGGCCTGTCTCTGTCTGATTATCTATTCATCATCTCATCATACCCTATGGCCTGTCTCTGATGAGTTGCAAAATATTCCAGGTTCTGAAAGAAGGTTTAGATGGACCTGTTGTAGTCACTGTTGGAAAAAAGGAAATGCAGAATGGACCATTTGATTCAAAATTTACTGCCTTGGATACGAATAGCAAACAAATATCAATTAATGATGTTGTGAAGATTTCCAAAGGCCCATCTGAGGTGTGATTATTAACTTCTTAGTCTTATTTGTTTTTGTTGCACTTTTTCACATAATTAGGTGAACAATTTTGTGTAAAAACTTCGTACTGATTCAGGGTAAACAAGGAGTTGTAAGGCAAGTATACAGAGGGATCATATTTCTTTATGATGAGAAAGAGGAAGAGAATGGTGGATATTTCTGCTGCAAATCACAATCGTGTGAGAAAGTTAAACTCTTTGCAGAAGATTCCAATGAGAAGGTAAGATAGCACAGTTCTCGCAGCTATCCTTTGATATCTTTGTGTTCTGATGACATTCTGTTTTTTTTTTTTTGCAGACTGGTGGATTTGATTCTTCAGCTTTTGGAGATTCTGGATCCTCCCCAAAATCGCCGCTATCACCTGAAAAAGAATGGCAGCCCAGGGAAAGATACAGTAACTGTATGTATGGATTGTTATTATTATCTAGCTTCTTTTTACTATGTTAGGCTTCTCACTAATGATTATCAAATGCAGCCAACCAAGGAGACAGAGGTGGCATGTATTCTATTGGGCAAAAGCTGAGGATACGTGTTGGTCCGTTGAAGGGATATCTCTGTCGTGTAATAGCTTTACGCTATTCTGATGTTACAGTCAAGCTTGATTCCCAGCATAAACATCTAACAGGTTTGTTTTTATGCTTTACTCCTTTGATTCAGTACTCTTCTGCTGCGCTTCTGAATATTTTTATTGATGCACTTCAGTTAAAAGTGAGCATCTTGCTGAGGTTCGTGACAGAAACACTGCGTTAAGTACAAGGTAAGTTCACATGAATCTCTTGGGACTCTTGACATTTTCCTTGCATATTTCCATTGTCCTTTCTGCCAACTGCCAACTTCTCTAACACGCTGTTTGTTTGTTATATAAGTGGGGATCCGAGTATTGGTTCCTTTCAACCTTTTGACATGCTTGGAACAGAAGGCAGCTCTGGAGGTTGGTGTTTCTTGTGCACATTCAGAATCTTTTCAATTTGTAGCATTGTGGTTAAATGACCTGAAGTATTTGAACATTTGCAAGTCACCTATCCCATTACCTCATAATTATTCTCCTTTTTCATATGGTAGACTGGGGGAAAGGAGCAGGCACGTCAGATGAGGGTGGTAACTGGAATATAGGGGCCCCATCGACTGATTTGTAAGTCTAATCTCCCAAAATTAGATATGGTTTCCTTGGTTTAAATTGGATATTTCTCGAATTTGGATCTAGTTCCTTCAGTTTTAATAGCTGGGACCTAAACAAATTATAGGTGTGATATGTGTTGGTTCCTTCTCTGGTTGGTTTTGTTAATTTGTTGGATTCTGTCCGTCGATATTAAGATTACAAGGCTGGAGAGACTCAATATTGAACGTATCATGGTTTAAATGTTAAATAATAATATGAATTTCTTACTGAGCTGATTTATTGAAATCGCTGTTACAAAATTCTGATCTCATGTCCTTCTTACAGGAACTCATGGGGCAGTAAGCCTACGTCTGACATTTCAGTAAGTCTTGAACTTAATATTTTAATGTTGTTACTCCTCTTTTTAGCTTCAAGGGGAACAATAAACTTGCATATTCTAGATGTCTCAAGGTTTCTTACTTTGCAGTCTCAGCAGCAGACAGTTCCAGATGATAATACTTCAATGTGGACCAATGCAGCAGCTGAGAACAAACCTTCCTCCGTTAGTGATCAACCTGGTGGTTGGAATTCCTGGGGTAAAACACCTGCTTCTGAAGCTGGCACTGTTGGTGGGTGGGGAGATGCAGCTGCTTCAAAAGCTGAGAACCAACCTTCCTCGGCTAGTGATCAACCTGGTGGTTGGAATCCCTGGGGTAAAACACCTGCTTCTGAAGCTGGCACTGTTGGTGGTTGGGGAGATGGAGGTGCTTCAAAAGTTGAAGCTTCTCCGTGGGAAAAACAAGGAGCTTCTACTTCCAATGTTGCAGATTTAGGTTCCTGGGGCACGCATGGTGGAAGCTCTGATGGTAATAAGCAAGAAGATGGCTCAGTATGGGGTAAACTATGTGAAGCTTCTGAATCTGGTTTGGAAAAGGGAAATGGAGAATCTAGTTGGGGTAACAAAGATGGAAATTCCAGCGCAAGTAACAAAGAGGGAGTTTCCTGGGGACTTCAGGATAAAGGCTCTGACGGGAGCAAGGGAGGATCTGCATGGGGAACTCAGGGTGCAGGTTTTGTTTCAGGGGAGAGAAAAGATGATTCTTTTGGCTGGAACAAGTCATCAGAAGATTCCAATGTCAATAGTAAGGGAGCTCCTGGCTGGGGTAAACCAGATGATGGGCCTTCATGGGGTAATCAGGATAAAGGAGGGTCCACGTTTGTGGCATCATGGGGTAAAAAGGATGATGGAGGATCATCATGGGGTAAGAAAGATGATGGCCATAAGGATGACGGAGGATCTTCATGGGGTAAAAAAGATGACGGAGGATCATCATGGGTTAAGAAAGATGACGGTCATAAGGATGATGGAGTATTGTCATGGGGTAAAAAGGATGATGGAGGATCATCATGGGGTAAGAAAGATGACGGTCATAAGGATGACAGAGGATCGTCATGGGGTATAAAGGTTGATGGAGGATCTTCTTGGGGGAAAAAGGATGATGGAGGATCATCATGGGCTAAGAAGGATGATGGTGGATCTTCTTGGGGGAAAAAGGATGATGGACCATCATCTTGGGGGAAAAAGGATGATGGAGGACCATCATGGGCTAAGAAGGCTGATGGTGGAGCTTCTTGGGGGAAAATGGATGATGGAGGATCTTCTTGGGGAAAAAAGGATGATGGTGGATCATCTTGGGGTAAGAAGGACGATGGAGGATCTTCTTGGGGCAAAAAGGACGATGGAGGATCTTCTTGGGGCAAAAAGGATGATGGAGGATCTTCATGGGGTAAGAAGGACGATGGAGGATCTTCTTGGGGCAAAAAGGACGATGGAGGATCGTCGTGGGATAACAACGATGATGGAGGGTACACGGAACAAACATATGACAGGGGAGGACGTGGGTTTGGTGGGAGAAGAGGAGGAGGTCGTCGAGGTGGCTGGGATCAGTCTGGGAGGGGTAGATCCTTGAGTAATTCTGAGGTTAGTTTGAGAAGAAACTTTTTAATTTTGATTTTGATTTTGTAGGCTTTGTTGATGTCTCTCATATTGTAAATTTCAATGGTTGTAGGATTTGGGTCCATGGAATAAACCAAGTGGCGGATCTAACTGGGGGAGTGGTTCAGCATGGGGTCAGCAGAACGATGGTGGTGGTGGATCAAGCTGGGGCAGGCAGAACGATAATGGTCGTAAACCTTGGAATGAACACGGTAATGGTGGTCGTGGTTTTGGTGGAGGGGGGTTCCGAGGAGGTTTCCGTGGAGGTAGAAACCAATCAGGTAGAGAAGGAGGAAGGTCGTTTGATGGTGATCAATCATCTAGCTGGAAAACAGACAATCAAGAAAATACTTGGAAGAGCGACCAAAGTGGTGGATCAGACTGGAAAAAAGCTTGGGGGGAGGAGTCAAACCATACCAAGCCATCAGGTTTGTCCTCTGGTGGTGTTGCCGCAAACTGGCCTAGCTGGGATGCTAACTCAAAGAAAGATACCAATGACAAACCGGGAAACGAGAGCAAATCAGCTTGGGGAACCAGTAACGATCAGGCGAGTACTGATAACAACACTGACAGTCGGAACAAGTGGGGAACAAGTAACGATCGGGCGAATACTGATAACAACACTGACAGTTGGAACAAGAAGCCGAACAATGACGCCGGAACGAGTGGAGAAGCTGATAACGCATGGGGTGGCAAAACAAATGCAGTTGCGTCTTCACCAAGTGGCTCGGCAGCATGGGGAACCGGTGACAAAAAATCTGGATGGTAAAAAGAAATCCCGGATTGACTTGTAATTAAACTTTCACTCCTCTATCTCTCTATCTAAGTCTCAACTCTAAGCACTCTAGTCAAACACCATGAGGTGTGTCTTTCTTTAGTCTCTGGACATTCTATTTTGGCCCCTTATGGTTCGGTTTGTTTATGGCGTGGCTAAGGCTAATCAAGGACCGATTTTTGTAGCTGTTTATAGCCTTTTAGAGTTATTGCAGTCTTTCTTTTTCCGTAAGGCTCTTTACTAGACTAGTGACGCAATACCACTTAAAAAACTAGCTTGACAAAGTCTAAACTGAAGCAGCATTATTGTTTGTGTATGATTAAACATGACAAAAATAACATAAAAAGGAAGCTGGGAGCTTCTTGAAGTGGACTTGTTACCAAACTTAAGTTGGTCATCACTCCCATCAAACTCTCAGTTCCCACTTTTTAATAATAGTAGAAAATTAGAACAATAATTGAGTTAACAGTTAACAATGAAGAAAAAAAAAACAAATTAGAAGTATTTCATATGTTGTGTTCCACAAAAAAAAAAAAAGGAGGTATTTCATATTATTATATCTCTCTACTCTTTTTTCTCCCCTTTAAAGCCAAAACAATATGAAATATTCCTCCAGCCAATTGATAACCCCGATTTGGACCAAAAAAAGTTTAGGCATCAAACAAGAAGAACAAAAATACTTTATATATAGTTTCCCATATTTTACAACTTGCAAGTGCCTTTGTACCTATAAATAAAAATACGTATATTCTGTGTTTTTCATTTTCTTTTGTACCTATGAATAAAAATAAAAATAAACCCTTTGTAACCAACCAATAATAATTCATTATCATCTCGTATGGTATGGAATAAACCAATATAAAATGATAATAAATAGAATCGACCAGACTTGTCCTGGCCTTGGAGCCACCGCACCGCTATTGTTACCGAATATCACTGAGAAAATGCCGTCATCACTGTCGCTGCCGCCGCCGCCGCCACCGCCGGGTCCACTTTTACTGTAACCGCGTGTGATGGTCCCACCACCGTCCGTGATTCCGGGAAAGCTTCCTCCTTGGCCGTTTCTTCCACTACAACCACCGAACCATATTATCATTCAACAACCATAATCATCAATCATCATCATAAATAATAATAATATTACAAATAACACTAATTCGTTGTTAGTGAGCTTTGTCAAAAGAGACTAGCTAACAGTAACATGAGTCGGACGAATCAATGTAAAAGTTCAAAAGTGAGGGTAATGAAGAAAGACGAAAATAACAAGTTGCTCCATCACATGCATCCTTAATATATTAGAGTTTATGTCTTTATGACTTTATATTTAAGTTTATATATTTGTGTAAGTAAGGTTGAAACTGGCGATTCAAACTAAGTTTGCCAAGTTAAAACCGCCTCCAGTGGTGATAATTGGTTAAATCAGGGGAAAACTAAAGTAGGTTGACAAAAGAATATCAAACTTTTGAAAGCAAGACGGCTAAGAGAATCCTCCATATCCTTCTAACATACTTTAATTTTTGCAAAAAAGATGGTCAGAAATTGTTAAATTCTAACAACTTCGTTTCTGAAAACGATAAAATGCAAAACCATGTAGGTCACGGGAGACGCATATTATATATATATATATATATATAGTGACTGTTTATTCCACCCTAGCTACATCTAAATAGATCGAATCTATATAATATATAGTCTTCGAAAAGGTCCCACTAGGTATTGTTTTTTGCTGGAAAGCAGATGATCGAATAAGGGAATATAACTAATATATTAACCCTTCTTTTATATGCCTTATCACTAATCCATTTAATTAAGGCAATTTTATTGGTCCATTCGATCCTACAATGATAATCAGTACCTAATTATGATTAAATGTGTGTTTTCACACCTTAAATGTTATAAAGAACTACTTCACAAGGAAATGAATCTTTTGTTATCTTGAGAAAAAAACTGTCTGAGGGTTTGGAGATATACCAAGTTGCTAAACTACTAAACCCTAAATTGATGAAGAACTTGCTAATAAGGACATGAATCTTTTTATTTTAATTAGTGTTTGTTTTTCGTAGTTGGGATATAAAGATATTCCATATCGTCCAACAAAGAAAACCACTAAACCCTAATTTGGTGAGAAGAAATTGTAATAAAGAAATGAATAATTTTTTTTGAAAATAGCTTTCGTTTCTATTTGCATGTCGATGAGGAAATACGATGAAAAGCATCAGGAAAAGCATATAGACACTATAGGAAGGCTTTTTGTTTATTTTAAAAATCTTTTAGAAGTTTAGATCTCCGATCCACACGCTTCGCACGTGGGAGATAAATATGAAAAAAGTGAAAAAGAGACTAGCTTTTCTGAACATGACGATAAAAATAAAAGGAGAAAGAAAAGCTTTATGCATGTTCATCTTAACGTTCATGGTTCTTTTTTATAGCCATTTCGTAAATATCTTTGACACTTAAGTGTGCAACTCCCCTAAACTCCGAAACATCCAACTATCCAAGACATGCATAAGTATGCTACAATTTATATATATCATGCATGTTTCTATTTCTTGAAAGTTGAAAAGACATGTATTTACACTTTACGTCCCAAATATATAATTTTGGAAAAAAGTGTACTGGTAGAAATTAATATTTATCAATTTTGTAAAAATGATGATTAATTATAGTGAAGAACCTAGTTTATCTTCAGATTTTTCAAAAGTCTCAGTTTTTTTTTTTGTATAGGAAGTCTCAGGTAGGCAAAGCAAAAACAAAGAAAGATCACAATATATAAGACAAACCAATATTAAATATAGAATTAGCAAAATCATCTTTGCAATTAATTACTAAAAAATTCCACCTAATTGTTAAAAAATTCTCAAGAATAAGCAAAAAAATATATATGTATATATATGTTTGTAAGAATGATATAATATAGGTAGGAAAAAAAATGTTGGGATGATAGTGTCAATAAATAAAAATAATTAAAAGAATGGAATAAAGAATAGGGGCAAAACCGTATAGAAAAAGATGCTAGTTTTGGTGGAGGAAGCAATATTGGAGTAGATAATATCAATATCGTACCTGGGGTCGCCGAAAACGCCGGCGTTGACCGTGAGCTGGTCAATGACTGCGGCGGCTTTAGGCTGAACACTGGTGGCTTTGGCATACGCTGGGCTCACTCCGTCTCCTGACGGCACGAAAAACGCTCCGTTAACCATCACGTCACCTTCCGTCCTCCAGTTCCATCCCGACCAATGTTTCTCGTTAGAGTCCACGCGCTTCGTCACCTTGACGAACAAGACACAACATGTCAAGTGTCAACGTCAACATGAATGTGACTGTGTCGTCAAAGCATCAACATCATAGACGACACAAATTAATGTAACCGGCAAATAAGACTCGGGCGGCGCGTAGGGTTACGTCCAAGTGGCACAATAATGCATGACACGTAGGAAAATAAAAAAGCACACAGACCCCAAAATATATATACTTATCCAGTTTTCAAAGAGACCTTTTGATGATTTGTTAAAGAATGAATATATACTTGTACCTCTTTGGCATTAGGATCAACTGGTGCGGTGTAACGGTTACCCTGACTGTTGATGGTAGGGCTAGCACTTCCGCCGATTGCATACATTTCCCATGCCGTGAAATCGTTGTTCACTACGTGGATGTAACCGTGTCTACACCGCGGCATCCTCTGCACCAGCCCTTCACCGAAATGGTTGAATGCAATTGTTACTTGCATCCCCTTGTCAGCTGTGTACCTTTTATCAATTACAATGCCATGATGAAAAACCACAAACGTGGGTTAAATTGATAAATCCGAATACTTTAATGTTTTAGTTTGATAACTAATGAAGTTAAGGGGCTTTAATGGAATAAAAAGGATATATTACCGGTCGTCGTGACCTAAGAGCATAACCTCGTCGTGGTGAGAGAAGTAGTTGTTGGAAATTGTGACGGCGGTGGAAGCGAGGATGACGTCGATGAGTCCGTCAGAACAGTACCCGAGAGAGCAGTGATCGATCCAAATGTGATGCGAAGCTGAAACTGAGATTCCGTCCCCGTCAGAGACTCCTCGGAACCCGACGTGTGTAGGCGACGAAGCGACCAGTGTGTTCCCCGAGGGTTTACAATGGTGAATGTGGACGTTGTGGATGATGACGTGGCTCACCTGCTGGATCGTGAGGCAACCATGTCCAGTGATTTGGATGTTCGTGCCTCGTCCATCGATTGTCTTGTAGCTTCCGATGATGAGCTCGTGTTTGAGGTTGATTCCCATGTCGCCTGAGAAGATGATCCAGAGTGGTTCCGTCTGGATCACGGCGTGTCGAAGTGTTCCGGGAAGTGGGTTCGCCGCGTCGTTGTCGGAGGAATCGGTTACGAGGTAAAAGCGACCGCCTTTTCCTCCGAGTGTCCCTTGTCCGAAACCAATTGAGCAATCGGCTAGTTGTTGGCGATTTGCCGACCAGTTTGGATCGCAGCGCCAACAATCATCGATTGGGTTTCCGGTGATGCAAGAAGGTATTGGCGACGACGCCGTCGTACCGTCGTCTTGTTGGTAAGTTAGAAGCTGTCTTCTTGATAGTGAATTGTTGAGTTTTCTGCATTGAGAAACAGAGAATGTTAAAACATTGGGAAAGAAACAGAGGATATTGCTCTGTTTTCTGATTAAAAAAACAGAGGTTTCAAAGATTTAAAGTTTTTTTCAAATTATAAGTTCGAATACTTGATGATAAGAAAGACCAGGTGATAAAACATGAAAAGAATGATACCCTCAAATGAAACAAAATAATATGTAAGAAAAGTTATACCTTTGGACATTAAGAACAACATGTTCAGGGAATGGGTGTTGGTGAGGGAGAGATAGATTGAAGATTGATGATGGTGATGGTGATGACGATGCTCTTCCATGTTGAGAGAGAGAAAGCAAGAGGCAAAACCAGATAATGCAAATGTACGTTGGTTTTTGAAGATTATGGATCCTCTCCTCATGAGCCAACATTATAAAACCTCTAGCCTTTCTTCTCTCTCCTATAATTATCCCTTCTGAAAAGACCAGCAGAATTAGAAAACTGAAGTTTCTTAAATATCGGTTTTTATGGGGAATTGTGCAAATTGGGTAAATATAATGTAAACTATAGGGTCAAAAAGAATTTTATTTGTATGTTCTCCTCCCTATCTCTCTAAATAATCTCTCTAGTTTGTTTCAAGTAGAAGAAAAGAAATTGAGAGAGGGAGTGTGTGAAAGGAGAGAGAATCCTTAAAGTGCTTAATCAAAACTATTTCTCTCACCTTTCTCCAATCTGATTCTTACTTTTGTAAGAGTGACTCAGTTTTATAACTTGCATTACCTAATCATCTACACATCCTTCTCTCCAAAACAAATCTTTCTATATAGGTTTAGCCGCCTTTACATGTCATTAGTTACGGGACAATAACATATGCTTGTTTGTTCCTTTTTATGGTTTACGTATAAGAACGACACTTACCTCGAAAAATACTCAGAACGCAGCGACGCAAGAGCTGAACTCTCTTTGTAGAAGATTCTATGTCTCGATTTTGACCAGCAACAAAGAGAAAAACCCTTCTTCTAAAGATATGTCAACAACACTCAAAATTAATGACAGAGTCGTTTTGTAAAGACGATCTTCATCCACATATTTAAATTTCCATATACAGCTTGATCTTATTAATGGGATATTTATCACACAGGAAACTTTTGTATTCGCAATCTCGCAGATGGGAACCTAACATTAGCGAATGTTTTAGAGAATATATGGAAATTTCCGTTTTAGTTAATGAAACTTTAAAAGGGTTTAAGATAAAGCTTTTGATGAGGAGGTTAAAAACTTAAAACAAAAAGATTGAGTTTTCTTACATAAAGGAAACGTTTGAGGAGGATTCCTTTTACGAAAAAAAACTATAGCGTGCAGATTATATATTATTCTATCGGTGTAGATTGTACGTACTACGTAGGAGAAGGTAAAACGAGTTTGAATTTTATAAGTTTTTTCAATTATTCCAAGTATAAAACAAAATCAATACAAAAAATGCTATGGAAAATAATTGTCTGCATTTACCAAATTATTAGTATATAGCTTTTGACACAATCCCTAATATAAAATACCTGACCAAGAAAGGAATGTAGTTGTTATTAATTATTAATGAAAATGTGGCATAAGGTAAACACAAGACGATCTTGCAAAATGAACCATGGAACAGAATCATCTTCCCCCATAGCAAAATGCCTCGACGGCTATCTAGAGATATGTTTCTGCTTAACGAACCCTCTTGGGTAATGATTAAGAAGAATAGGACTATTCTATGGGCGGCCTGAACTAAAAATACAAGGCCCAACAGTTTGTTCGTACCTATTTTTTTTTTTTTTTTTTTTTTTTGTCCCAAACCAGAATAAATAAGAAGAATTACCAAAAACAAAAACCAAAAATAAAATAAAAATATATATATATATATCCAAACGTAAATCCCTAAATCTGAATTTATTTTTTGGAACCCTAGACGTCGGTCGCTCTTGTCAACGTACCACCATGGACGAATCCGCCATCAAAGTAATATTCTTCTTCTTACTCGCTCTTTTTGATTAATTAACCTCTGCATGTCCTTCTCTATTGATCAATGGGGAAGAAAAGTATTATATATATATATATATATGAGGAGAGTAGAATTGCTGACTAGATCTTTTGTACCTTTAGGGTCTGGATTTGAGCGACAGTGGTGCAGACGCTCCACGGTAAATTTGTATTTACTTTGGTTTGGTCTGTGTTGATAATACGTATTATATCTCTCCTGCAGCTGCACTCATAATCAAATTGTTGAATTTTAGCATATTCTCCACGATTTCCGTCGAGGGATATGACACTTGGCTTCCAAAGTATTATATCGAGCTCGCCTTGGAAAAACATTTCTCCTCATGTGGAGAGATCATACTTATTTATGTCCCCACAGACTTTGAAATGCGTCTCCTCAAGAGGTACCTTTATTATTATTTGTGGCTTCTTCTCCCAGGCTCTCTTTTAATAATGCTTCTCGTTTTATTTTACAGTGTTGCATTCGTTAGGTTCGAGGGAGGAGCTGCCGAAGAAGAGGCATTGAAACTTAATGGAACTGACGCGGGAGGATGGACTGCAACAGTTAAGCCTGCTCCCTCGCAGACACAATTCGGGGATGATCCTTGGTGTGTTGATCCTAATTGTGCTGATCCTTTGTGTCCCGATTTTTGGTGTCCTTCTCCCTTGAACGACAAAAAACATGAGTAAATTTTTCTCCTCCTTTTTGCATGTTTTCTAGCAGCCTTGTCATGTTTATAATATTTCTTTCTCTCCTCTATAGGATCTGCGTTACTGGATTTGATGCTTCGCTTCCTAAGATAGATCTCCAGATGGCGCTCTGTAAACATTTCTCTTCATGTGGAGAGGTCTGGGAAGTTAATGTGCTCCCTTGGTTTGTGTGGCTTCTCTCTTCCTACCATTTTAACAAACTCTCAAAAAGTTTGTTAGTGAATTCTAATCAAAGTCTGTTGAATTTTACAGTTCAGCTTACCTTCATCTTAGAGGACAAGGATCTGTACGCAAGGCGCTGAAACTAAGTGGATGTAACATGGGTAATATGACTCTCGTTGTTGGACGTCTTGTGACCGGACCCCCAAAAAGAAGGGGGTGCACCAGTTCTATCGGCAAGCCGGACCCAAGTACCATAAATTTGCTCTTGCTTCTTTTATTCTTGTTTACAAGTTAAAACCTCTCAATAGTTTCGTTTTTTATTCTATTAGGGTTTTTACTTGAATCTTGTAATAAGAAGAAGAAGATGGGGACTGAGTCTGAGACGTCTGGGTCTGACACGTCTGAGTCTGAGTCTGAGATGTAGACCGCAAAGATGAAGAAGACGATGGCGATGGAGATGATGATGAAGAAGAAGAAGAAGAAGATGGAGAAGACGAAGATGGAGATGAGGAAGTCGCAAATGGAGAGGAGGAAGAGTCGGACATAGACGGAGATTGAGACGGAGAAGTAGAAGGCTCTCTCTTAGGAGAAGACGAACCTCGTTGGTGCTTTTAACTGTGGTACAAATAATGCAACCTTTGTTTTCTCTTATCACTTCGGTTTTTTCTTGTGTGTTTGTCTCCATGTTAAAAGTATTAAGTAAGCTCAATAATCAATATCTGCTTTCATGCATGTATATGTATATAATGATATGCCTTTCTTTCTCTGGATGTTAAAAATAATGATACTAATTAAGCTCAATAATCGTTACCCACCTTGGCTGTTACAATGCAACCTTTGTGTTTCTAATTTCTATGACGTCTCGGTTTTTCCTTGAGATCATATACCCGATGTTATCAAGACAAGACAAAAAGATAAAACTTCTTTACGCAACATTAAAGGTATTTCCTTGACCTGTAAACTACCTTGAATACCTTTGACGTGTAAACTACAACTACATGTCCAGCTAATATAATGATGTACGGCCGAGGTAATATTCATTTCCCATAGGAATTTATGTATTGAATTGATGGTATTTCCATAAACCTACAATTAAATTGGTTAACATAGTTACAATTTTTAGCGTTATGGGTTATTGCCAGTTTATTTGAAGCCCAAAATAAAGAAAAGGGTTAAGAGATAACCATGACTTGAACCAGCCCAATAAGAGGGCGACTGAATTTTCAATTTTGTAATCAATAACTGAACCGGTTATACACATTAAACTTTGATAAACCATCCCGGGTGAAATTATTTGTAATTTGGTAAACTTGGTTTGGCGCCGAACCAACCGTATCTTTCACTTTCAGATTTCAGTCTTCTTCGCTAGAGAGAATCTAGGGTTTGTGGAGAAACGAGCAGTCATTTTCGCCGGATTTCCACAACAACATTAGTGTGACATTCAGAAGCGGAGCGACGGCAGTGAGTCTCTGAAATCTTGAATTCACTTTCTTCGATTTGTTTGAGAAGATAATCGAAGAGATTCCGGCGAAATCACGAATTCTGAAAGCTAGGAGGGAGTCGATTCTCACTATCGTGTCACTGGTAAAGTTAATTCGTTGTCAAATTGCGTTCCCAGATTGTTTAGCTTTCACTGGAATCGAAGTATGAGTGAGGTTTTGATTCATGTTTCCCAATTTCAGAGCAAGGGAGGGAGTCCCCTGTTGATTTGAGGGATATTTGCTGGGTAAGCCTCTTTATTATCTGGTAAATGTCTTATGTTGAGTATCTTTCTGCTTTGTTACCATTGTTCCACCATTCATACTTTTCCTTTGTCTCTGTAATGATGATAGTTGAGAAGTGAGCTCGAAGACATACTTGTGCGTCTAGTTTAGCAGCCGGGAGTCTCCAGTTTCCGAGAAACCAGAGGTCGGCGAGGGTGGTAGCCAGATGAAAGGATGGTGCTAACTGAAATGAGCCTTGACTACTCAAATAGGGTTTTAGTTTCCCAAAATGTGAACAATTTTCAGACCTGAACCAACACTCCTCTCCATTCCCCCACTGCTGTTACTAATCGATAGCAACTTGCAGGATCATGTTAAACAAATGGACAGAGACGAGATGCAGCAGAAAGAAAATATATTATTCTCTTCACAGGAATTTGCTCAAAAGCTTCAAAAGGCATTGCCTTTCACTTTGTTCTTGTTGAATCGTGGCATACTGTATTATTCTTTCTTTCTTCGGTTTCTGTATTGATTTATTTTTCTTGTGCAGGAAAACATGACACTCATGAAAGCCCTTGCACACCGAAAGTATATATCCTCTTTTCGTTAGAATGTGTAGGCTTTTGAGTTTAATGATCGTTATTTTAATTGGTAACCTTTGTTTTATGTTTTATTCTGTTGATACAGTAAAATTGTCGAGTTGAGTGGCATTGAGTTTCAGAAAATGCGGATCAACTTACGGAGTGTGCAAGAAAAGAATTTGCAGCTTGCGCAGGCAAACAGTCAGATGTTGGCGGTGTGTCCCATCTTTCTATGGTTTGATTTTGAGATGATTTTGAGATTATTTGAAACTGTATGATTAAATATGGTTTCATTGTCCTTTTTCTTGTTTTCCCTGCCAGGAACTCAATACAAATAGAGACAGAGTGAGCTTTTCTAGAACTGATGTCTCTCAAACTGAGGCTTTCTTGATTTGTCATAGTAAACTAGTTCTTTAGTCAACTGACATTGTATGTAATTTTTTCAGCTCAAGGAACTCCAGCATGAGCTTGGCTGCAAGAATGCATTGCTTAAGGTCAAGAAACAGCTTGAGGCATGTCCCTTGTTATGTAAATTTTCCAGTGACTATAGTTACGTGAGAAAAAGTAAAAATCTTGAGACTTTGTTATTTAATTTCGTCCAGGAGCAAACACTTTCGCGTGCAGATGATGCATCGAAAGACAAGGTGCTTACTTGATTTGTCCTTGGTGACATTCTCAGAAATAGGAAATTATCACCTTTTGTTCTACATCGTTTTCACACTATTTGGCTTTGTTGGTGACATCAAGATTTCAGTAAAAACGTTTCTGATGGGGATTGCAAAATCTTTCAGGTGCATGACATGAATCAAAAAGATACCAAGAGAAAGCGGACATCGAGGATTAAACGTAAGCTGTTTAGCTTAGATTCATTGTTGATCCTTGAAACCGTTGCACATCCTTACTCTATATTGTTTCATCTTCAGCTTCAAGAAGTGCCGACATCAAGCCAATACACGTGAATGAGAAAGCTAAAAGTAAAAGGTCCTAATCTGCTTAATGATTCTTCCATGTTTTTCTGTGAAAGCTTTTGGCAATCTTGTAAACCTGAATCCTTATGTTTCTTTTGTAGGAGAGTTTCTGGAGTAATTGATACCACTGATATCCCTGAAGAGACCTGTCAGACTGTAGATGACATTGAAAAGGAGGTTGTCTCCGTCAACAATAAGTTTGCTCTTGATCAAGCAAACTCGGGAAAAGACTGTGTGCCTCGCAAGAGGTTCTTATATTCAGTCCAAGAATTACATTTTTACGTCACAGACTACAAGAGTATCTTATTTGTGCGAATACAAATGTATCTTATTTGTGCTTTTATTCTTTTTTGTTTCTGGTTGTTTTATTGTAGGCAATGCACACGAAGGCAATCTACCAGGTTTGATGTTCAAGAAACTGAACAAACTGAAAAATTGCTTGTGGTGGATGGTCCCAAAGAAACTAGTGAAACCGCAAGGTTTGTTAGCGTGTTTTTCCGTCCTTTTATCTACTTTAATAATAGACATTGATGTAAACTCTGAATGGACAATAGTGTATTGCAATGACACTTTCTCTGTTTCGAACAGGCTCTCTTTGAGAAGACGGTCTGCGCGGTTAAGGCCTGAAGAAGCTGAACCATGTCAAAGCTTCAATGAGGGAAACAATGTCATAGAGACGACCAAGAGGAGAAGGTTTGTAAGAGCCTAGATTACGTTGTATTATACTTAGCAGATGTTACTAAAAGTGTGTTTGAATTCACTAATTTCTTGTACTACTGAACAGACTCTCTTCAATACTACGGTCTGCAAGGTTTGATATCCAAGTACCAGAAGTGACTGAAACCTTGAATGCTGATGATGCAAGGTTTGTTAAAATCTTATCTTTTTTAATTTTTCTCAATCCCGTCAACTGAAAACAGAGAAATCAAAATATAGCTATTACATTTTCTCTCATGGATAAAATTTCAGAAGTTTAGTAATCGAAGAGTCTCTTGGATCAAGATCTGAAGTTGTGGAGGAACCATCTGAAAGCAGAGGTGACACAAAAGAGGCAAGCCAAAAACACAGGTTTGTTAGTGACAGTGAATTTTGTGCATATACCCTTTCCACTGATGAATATCAAGTATCAATGATGTAATGTTGACTATTATCTCTGTGGTGTACTCGTCAGAGTCTCAACGAGAAGACAATCAGCAATGGGTAAATCTCAAACCGATGAAGCAACTAAAGAAATAGCGACAGACCCAGCATTGGACAACAACATAGTTGAAGAGTGTGAGCACGAAACAGAATCAAAAGATAAGCCTAAAGATGATGAAAACGAAGTCATGATAAGAAGATCATCTGTGGGAAGACCATCGAGACATGCCGCAGAGAAAGTCCAATCATACAGAGAAGTCTCACTTAAAGTGAAGATGCGACGAAAATGCTAAATCTCCAGCATTGTCTTGGGCTTATATATTCGTAATCTGCAAAAATTATTGTTCAAAAGCTTACTTCATGCTCTTGTATGACTTCGCCGCCTACTTAAACAACGATAGTCTAAGCTATATCTTCGGTTTTGTATTTTGTCGTTAGTCTCTTCTATGCTTATTTTTCTTGAATTACTCATAACTAAAGTCGTTTAATTATTTGGTACTGTTTTGATTTCTTGTTAATGTGGTAGGTAACATTTTTTTCCTTCAGTAAAATTTTTAAAATTTCAACTTGAACTTTAGTTTGGAAGGTAAGAAAATTCCATAAACAACAACAATGAATTAAAAGAAAAATTATAATTTGAAGGAAAAACAAAACATCTATTATACAAGAAAGAATCATTTTTCAATGAAGAAGAAGATTTAATCAATATTCGAAAATGGTATATATGTACAGTAGTAAAAACAAATTCCTATAGTAAGAAAGATACTCCCTAGGAAGAGGTAGGTTTGAGTTTCTTCGCCGGCATGGGACTCATCACCTCGTCTTCTCCGTTGACCATCGAGAATTCCGGTATCGGCGGGATGTTTAGGTCAAACCCACGGTGGCCGCTGCTGACGTGGCTTGTAGATCCCACACCTTCCGAATTCGACACGCTACTACTCGCGCCGCCACCTCCGGTCTTTCCTTCGTAGTGGCACCGTTTGTGACCGCCGAGAGCTTGACCGGTGGCGAACGACTTGTTACAGATGGAGCAAACGTGCGACTTCACGCTTCCTCCCCCGCCACCGCCGGATGTGCTTATGGTTATGGCCGAAGACGTAGATGGCTCATCCCCTCCTCCGGAAAAGTTTTTACGGTGACTTGCCTTGTGTCCACCAAGGGCCTGGTACGAAGAAAACGCCTTGTCACAGACGGTACACTTGTAGATCGGAGTAGGAGGAAGAAGCAGAGCCGGTGGAGGAGAAGAAGAAGAAGAAGGAAGGGTAACGTCATGGCTTCGATCGCCGCCGTCACGAGCAAGAAGCATGAGACACAAAGCGATATATTCATCCTCCGTGAGGCTGTGACGGTCGAATTCGGATCTTGACCTCTTAGATCGCTTGCCTTTACTCCCATGAAACCCTACTCCTGAATCTTGAAACAGAGCCGGCATCGGAGAGGCTAATCTTGGAGAGTTGAGAGCTTCAAGTGCCATTATCTTTTTGAGTTTTTTTTTTTTGATAAGATCGAACGACTTACTAAGTTGAGAAGACTTATTTGTTGGTAAAAGAAAAGAGTTGTTGATTTGAAGAAACAAGAAACTGAAGGTGTGTGTGTATATATAGTGAAGTCGCAGAAGAGGAAGTTGCGTGTCGAGAGGTGAGAAAGTGTGGAAGAAGAGTGAAGAAGTCGATAAAATCACTTTGATATTTATTTTATTTTATTTAAAGATTGTATGTATATGTTTGGTGTGTGGACTAAAAGATAAAAACGAAAGTATCTAAAAAGTTTGGTTCGGGCACATTTGGTTTGACTTGGTACACGTGTTTGTACAAGTCGGCTGAGAAGACTTGTTCTCATTTCTTTCTATAGTTGTAGTTAGAAGAAGTAGTAGTAGAAGCAATGCCGCCTTCTTTTAATTCTTATCAGTTAAGAATATTCTAGAGAGAGAGCTCACTTTAGGTGTCTTGCTGACCAACCAAGTGGAGATATGAAAAATGCCAAATTAAGTCGGCTACTAAAACCACTCGTACTGTCTTTTCAGGCTTTATTCAATTAATATCTACTTGTAGTACTATTTAATGTCCAAATACTCCAAACTACTGTATATCGCTACCAACTTACCCTGTTTTTTTCCTTAATATCTCTGGCCTTACTTTAGAGACCATATTATATAAACGGATTACAAAGGCGAACTAGCTAGCCACCCAACGTAAGACAGAACGTTATCTTTCACGATTTTAATTTTTAATTTTGATTTTGATTTTTTTTTTACTATATACCTAAGAATATACGAAGACTACTGACTAGACAATAATTTTAGATTTTACTCTATATTTTGTTTTCAAGAGATTTTCTCTCAATTTTTGTTCTGAATCCATTTACAAAATTTCATGGTTGAAAATATTTCCTTGAAGAAACTTAGAAAAATTGGCAACTTGAACGTAATTGAAAAATCTTGACCATGCATCTCGATCGAGCCATTTCTAATTTTAATCTTCTTAAAATTAGCATCATTCCTAGCTACAAACTCATTAAAAATGAATAGAAAACAGATCTTGACGCATAACCTCCAAAAAAAAAACACACGAAAAGTTATATAAACACATCAAAATCAAAATCCTTAAAAAAAAAAGAAAAAACAAACAAGAACAATAGTATTCTTCTAACAATATCCCCAGAAAAAGAAAAAAGAAAAAAAAAATGAAACGACTCATAATTGCTCTCATTGTTTTAGTGTTATGCATTGGAGATGCGTATGGGAAAAACGTATTGATGATAGTAAACAAGTTAAAGGAAAATGCAACCCTGAGAGTCCACTGCTCTACCAAGGACGACGATTTCAAAGTCATATACTTGCATGGCAACCAACCAACACAAAGCTGGCGTTTCAACGATGCTTTTTTCCATGAGACACTCATAACTTGCGGTCTAAAACACGGATACCATGGCATCCATCACCGCGAGTTTACAGCTTACAAGTCAAGTATGAACCACTCAAAGAGAAATAACGCAAATGCTACATGGTACGCTGGGGAAAGAGGACTCTACTTGTCCTTTAACCATAACACTCCTCAATTTCGGTATCCCTGGTTTTAAAACCAGTTGCAGTTGCTGCCGACAAAACCATGCATCACTTGTTCAGTTTTGTGTTCAACCTGATCTTCGTTTGATATATGTCAATACCACAAAAATCCATGTTTATTTCAATATACAGGATAAATACCCCAAAATGTATCGGAGACTCATCAAAAACATGCATATGATATTTTACATTAACTAGATCGTATATATTTGGATTAAAAAAGTATATGTTTATATGTAATTGCATAGTGAAGTGAACCTGGCCTCCTCCTATTATATCACAACCACCTCTTTCTCTTCCATCATAATCATGCCATGCGCCTCTTAATCAATGAGCATTGCGGATAATGAAAGTTGAGTCCAAAGAAATGTACACTAATATACAGAAAATAAAATTATGAAAAACATTACAACATCGGAAGGATAAAACATGATTCAGAAGAAATGTACACTGATTTCTTTCCTAGTTCTTTTTCTTCTTCTATATATATAAAGACGCACTTCTTAAAAAAAAAAACATTTTAACTAAAATAAGGTAAGAACAAGTTTAAGTTTGGTAACCTTTTTCCAATTTTGTTATAAGTAGTCAACTCGGAGAAAATAATAATAAAGAACAGAAGAGATTTGTTAAAACTTAAACAAAAACAAAACACACAGAAAATGAAGAATCTCTTCAGCATTGTGATTCTTCTTGGTGTATGTATTGGGAATACAATCGGAATAAATACACTCTTGGTCAAGAACGAGCTGAAAAACAAAGTCGTCGGTGTTCGTTGCAGATCCAAGAACGACAACCTTGGTCAATCATATTTTAAAGATTGGTCAAATGACAAAGAATAACTTTGATGATAACGTTTGGACCAGGAGAACGCTTTTCTGGATCGGAGTAATTTGTGGAAAGGACCTGATTTTAAGATCCACATAGCGTTTGATCATCAATTTTTGATACATACAGACTAAATGATACAGATCTAAGTGGAAAGCTGATTATGATTTGGCCAAAGCCAAAGGCCTTGTAATTTCCCGTGGATTAATTAGGGTTTCATATTCTTCGTTCAACTAGGTTTGGTTTGATGAAAGAACGTGCTTAATTGCCTTTTTTTTTTTTTTTAAATTTTTTTTTTTTTTAATTTGAATAAAATTGGCCTACACATGTCTCAATAGAAATCTAATGTGTAACGCTTGGCGGTTGCGCTTAAACTTACATTACAATCCATATTTTATTTTATTTTTGTGTGTGTTTCCTTTTTATTGATATTGATTTTATTTTATTTTTGTGTCTGTTTCCTTTTTATTGATATTGATGGATAGTAATTAGAAAAAAAAAGAAAAAGATAAGCAATACATATGTAGGCCAAGTGATAAGAATGGCTTCAATTTACAATCCATCTAAAAAGGAATAATATCTCAAACAATATACAATCAAATCAAATATTTATATTCAACCTCAGATTACGTTTTAATTCCATAAATTAACATAAGCAAAATCAAAATTTAGATCCAACAGTGTTTCCATTTTAGTTAAAATATCATTTCATATTGTGTCAAATTTCCTTTCTTTTTTTGTTTGGCACAAATTAATAACATCAAAAATCTATTTTATGAAAGAAAATGTGAATATATATACTCCATCCAAAGAGATTTAAGTCTATTAGTATTATATCTCCCAAATTAAATTATCACAAGAAAATATAATGAACAGTCTCTTGATACTATCGATTCTTGTAGGCCTATGCATCGGCTTAAGCAATGCTTTTCACATGATAGGAGAAAGCAAAGTCGTGGTAAGCAACCAACTGGAACACAGCAAACTCCTCAAAGTTCATTGCCGCTCCAAAGACGACGATCTTGGAGAACATATCCTTAGAATCGGCCAGGACTACGAGTTCACTTTTGCTGATAACATATGGCAAACGACTTGTTTCTCGTGTAAAATGGATCAGGGTCCTAATTTTAAGCACCACCAGAACTTTGTGGCGTACGAGTCTTCGTGGAGCAAAGTTCTAGAGGCTTCATCTAAGTGGATAGCTAGAGAAAATGGAATCTATCTTTCTCAAGATGGAAACCCTCCACCTCAAGTACCAATGGGATGGTACTCACTGATACCTTTGGGTTTTGTATTTCTTTAGAGTTTATCTTTGATAATGATTTTATTATATAAAAATAAAGATGAATTAATGTTTTTGTGTTAATAATAACAAAGGTTTCATTAATATGGGTCTATTTGATATGATGAATAGTTATGCAAAATATGTGAAAGATATAAGGAAATTAAGGGATTAAAAACAAATATATAGATATTTTTAAGAACAAACGGTCGAAGCAGAACATCTGAAACTAGGAGAAGAAGAAGGAAGAATGGCACTGACACTGATACCCACAAGTTCCGTTCATCTTCTCAACTCCACCTCCGTCGCGCTTCCCCAGATCTTCGCAGCTGATTTTAACCTTCGATCGCGGTGGCGACGCCGGCCTGTTTCGTCAATTTTTAACTTCCGTCACAGTCTGCCTTCGAGAACTTCACTTCACTGCCTATGCTCTTCGTCTCCCGCTGCGTCTCCTATGTCGCTAGAAGTCTCCACTCCGAATTCTCAGGTTTACCCCTCTTAATTTGTTATCTGAGGAGAATGTTGACTGATCATGTTACTGATTTTGCTTTTTTTTTTTTTTTTAATTGTGATTAGTTTCTTGATAGTTTGATATATTCAAGAGCGTATTGGGTTACCCAAGGCGTAATCGCTTGGAATGTGGATGTTGGTGAAGGGTCTTGTTACTTGTTTGCTAGCAAATTTGCTGGTTTATCATTCAGTGAAGATGGAATCGATGGTGCCTTAATCTTACCTCTCCGCTCTTGTTACTAGTGTCTCTGCGAAGTTTTTATTGTAATAAATTTCACTGTCTTTCAGGTTATGATGTAAGAATCAAGCTTGAAGCTGAATCCGGTTCACTTCCTGCACATGTAAGTTGTGCAATATATATGCTTCAAAGGAGTATATAATTCTATTAATCAAAGTGGAAAGTTTAATTTCAGGTGATTGAAAAGTTTCCACACATTAGGAATTACAAATCGTTCAAAGTTCCTTCAGATTTGGATAGCAGGGATCTTGTCAAAAGCCAGTTAGCTGTTGTTTGCTTTGATGGTTGGAGTTTTCTTTACCATTTCATTTGTTTCCCTTTCTTGTTTCGGATCATTGACAACACTACGGAGACTGATTTATTTAATAGTTTGCTTAATTTTCTGTAGCGGAAGGGCGGCTGATTCAGGGAACTGGTTTGCAGTTGCCTGGTGTCCTGGATGAATTGTTCTCCTATGATGGTCCCCTAGGTGCACATTTTACACCAGAAGGTGTCTCTCTTCACCTCTGGGCTCCAACTGCTCAAGTATGATGCCCATGCTGGAAATGGTTAATGGTGTTGCCTTTTACACCTGCCTTAAACATAATTAACTCTCTGCGTGCTCATTTGTGCATTTAAGTAGGCAGTATCTGTTTGCATCTATAAAACCCCACTTAACAAGAGTCCGATGGAAATCTGCCCACTCGTTGAGGCTAACGGTGTGTGGAGCACTGAAGGAGCTTGTAGTTGGGAAAGATGCTATTATGTGTATAAAGTATCAGTCTACCATCCAAGCACCATGAAACTGGAAACTTGCTATGCTAATGATCCTTATGCACGGGGGTAATAGTATTTTTTCAATTTGCTTGAAAGCTTATCCCCCATAAAAAAATTTTCTGATAATGAGTCATGTGTTATTTTGTATTTTCTCAAGCAGGCTTTCAGCAGATGGGAGCAAAACTTTTCTGGTTAATCTTGATTCTGATGATCTAAAACCTGAAGGATGGGAAAACTTAGCAGATGAGAAGCCATGCCTAAAATCCTACTCAGATATAAGTATTTATGAGCTACATGTGAGGGACTTCAGGTAATTAGACTCTATGCGGGAAAACTTAGCAAGTAGTTCTCGTCGGAATAGCTATACATACTCTGTCATTCCCATTGTCTTCTTTCATCCTTCTTCCTCCCTTTCCGCAACCAAGAAAAAAAACTTCTTGGATAGGCTACCGAAAAGGATACTCTATGGATTCATTAACTTTATTCATGCATATTTTTCATTTCTTCTCGTTTGTCTAACTTTTACCTGCTATTTTAGTGCCTATGATGAGACTGTCGAGCCTGAAAATCGTGGTGGATATTTGGCTTTCACTTCAAAGGTGCAAATATCATTGTCCATGTGCATAACTTTATCATTTTAGTTGATATATGATGTCTAGATCCCCATGTTTTACTGAATACCCCATATATTGGTTATACTTCTGACACACTTGCCCCGCAAAGATACGAGGTTTCGTCGTGTTTTCTGTCATATCTCATTAGATCTTTTGGCAGGATTCTGCAGGTGTAAAACATCTTCAGAAATTAGTTGATGCAGGTCTTACCCATCTACATCTTCTTCCAACATATCAGTTTGGTGGTGTTGATGATGAGAAGGAGAATTGGAAGTCTGTAGGTAGGGTATATTTGATGTCTCAAGCTCAAACTTAATAGGCTGTGGACGATCCATGTTTGGGATGCCATTTTATCTTTAAATCTGAGGCCTTATTTATTGAACTCAAGTTAGAGCTCAAAAGCCGGAATGACATTGAATCTTCAGACCAATAGAAAATATAAGCAAAAGTAACGAAGTCGTTTGTCTGGTATTTTGTATCTGGATTTTATTGTATTATAATTTTGACTTTTTTTTATTGTAGACACCAGTCTGCTGGATGGATTAGCACCTGATTCAACTGAGGCACAAGCTCGTATTACAGAAAACCAGGATGATAATGGCTATAACTGGGGGTATTTTGTTATACGCGACTTACTCCATTCCTTATGAATCATCCCCTTCATCACAAAAATCCTGTTTTGTGAAGGTATAATCCTGTTCTCTGGGGAGTCCCAAAAGGAAGCTATGCTAGTGATCCAACTGGTCCATGCCGCATAACTGAATTTAGAAAAATGGTTCAGGTTTGCATTTTCCCATGTTTGGATATTGAAATTTGGATAGCAAGTGTACACTGGTCCTGGTGATTTGCGATAATAATTAGCTCATTGAAAGCTAAAATTTTGTAGTGACTCATATAAGGTGTTGATGACTGCATGATAAACCCTCATGCTATTTTTAAGTTGGCTCTTTATGTAGCTTATTTTGGCAGGCTCTTAATTGTACTGGTCTTAATGTCGTCTTAGACGTTGTTTACAACCACTTGCATGCAAGTGGGCCACACGACAAAGACTCTGTTCTTGATAAGGTAGGTAGCTAACTGAGTTTTATTCAATAATAGTATGATAACTAGATGTCTCGCCTGACTTCTCAATCTTTCTTTCGCGGACAAAATGTTTTTGCTTAGATAGTTCCAGGCTACTATTTGAGAAGGAACAATGATGGTTTTATTGAAAACAGTACATGCGTAAACAACACTGCCAGCGAGCATTATATGGTTGATCGGCTAATACGGGATGATCTATTAAATTGGGTCGTTAACTATAAGGTACATACTTGTCATCTATTCTAATTATTTCCGTTTGCTACTACTTCCCCTTCCCACATAATTATATATTCAGGCTGGCTGATCATGTATTGATTCTGTCAGGTTGATGGTTTTCGTTTTGATCTTATGGGTCATATAATGAAAGCTACAATGGTAAGCAACTTTGTTACTCGCATGTTTTTTGTATAATTGATAATTATCTTTACTGTTTTCCTCAGAAGTTAGTATGTTGTTTCATTAGGTTTTAGTGTATTACTACAATAGTTTTGATGTGAGTTGTAATATCTACGTTCATAGGTAAACGCAAAATCTGCAATTGGTAGCTTGAGCAAGGAAAAAGATGGAGTTGATGGTTCAAGAATTTACTTGTAAGTCATGGCTATTAATCGGGTTCACATGCAACTTTTCCAACATTAGTTGTGGTTTTTCTTCTTGTGAAATTTTTAGCCATATTATTTCTTGTGTTGTTATCAGATATGGCGAAGGATGGAATTTTGGTGAAGTTGCTAACAATGGACGTGGAATAAATGCTTCCCAATTCAACTTATGCGGGACTGGAATTGGAAGGTTTGAAATTTCATTGCTTCAATACATTTGGAAAAAAAGAAGAAGAGATTTCGTCCTTTTTTCCTCTTTTAGTTAATAAATGGGAAATCTTGTTACTTTCTTCAACAATGTATATGTGTTATTCAGCTTTAACGACCGTATACGAGATGCAACTCTTGGGGGATCTCCATTTGGTCATCCTCTTCAACAAGGATTCATTACAGGCTTATTGTTACAGGTATGTTTGTTTTTTATGCAGTTACAAATCAAGATATTGTTTTAGCTCTAACCAAAGTAAAAATAAAAAAGAATATGCATTGAACCTCATCATCGCATTACATATTTTTCAGTACACTTTTGTAGCTTTGTCGAAAATAGACATAACATAACTCACATTACAGGCTATAAGTGATTTTTTTTTTTATCGGAGTGATGAATTTCCATGCCGTCAGTCATCCTCTATCCTTGTTTACCAGTGCTAAACTGTTATTTAAAGTGTAGATATATCTTAGAAATATTTACATTTTTCCTCTTCACTACTTAAACTCGCTGTTCCGGACAGCCTAACGGTCATGACCATGGTTCAGAAGCTACTCAGGAACTGATGCTTTCTACTGCGAAAGATCACATACAGGTAATTTACCGCTGTTAGATATCTCATGTGTCTGTGATCAAGGCTTAAGGATGCCCAAACCCAACCTTTCTCTCAAACTCGCTTCACAGTTTTCCCCAATGTTTTCTCCTTTCTAACTATATTCTTCTATGTTATAAGTTTAAATGAGACAGTGGTATCTAGAAAGCATTTTTCTAATATATTCGTTATACTTCCATCATGGACTAGATTGGTATGGTAGCAAATCTGATGGATTATATGCTGACCAATCACGAAGGGAATGAGGTATGCAAGTAAACACACTTTATCATTTAGCCATTCACAAAGGATTTTGTCAGCTTTAATGAATTATATGGCACTCGTTATGTAGGTGAAGGGATCAGAGATTTTAATGCATGATGCTACACCTGTTGCATATGCTTCACAGCCAACAGAAACTGTACGGAACTTCATTTTTACTACTTTCATCATTTAATTGAATTAAGCCCCCGATATATCTGTGTTGCTCATACCAGCATTTTCTTATGCTTTCAGATCAACTATGTCTCTGCTCATGACAATGAAACCCTCTTTGACATTATCAGTTTGAAGGTAATAAAGCAAAAATTTGTGTGAGGATTATGGAAACATCCAAAATTTCAATTCTTCAGCTTAATGTTTTCTTCTGCTGGATTAGAATTCACTTCTGAAGTACTCTGAAGTTACTCTGCATGTTGTATCTTCGAGACAAAAACGTGTATCCCTGTCTATTTATTTGCATCATACCTGAGGGTATGTATAGACTTAATTCTGCTCTGTTCTTGCAGACTCCGATGGAAATATCTGTTGATGAAAGGTGTCGAATCAATCATTTGGCATCAAGTATGATTGCCCTCTCTCAGGTTCTCTACTGTCTCCCAAATTTACTTAGAGATAGATCACTTGTAGACTAAGGGACTGCAAACTAGGGGAAGCAGGGCATTAGTCTTCAATCTATTACAGCGAGTAGATTTCTTACTTGACTCGTTATCTTAAAATAAAAATTTCTGATCTTTATCCTCCATGTGAAGGGCATTCCATTTTTCCATGCTGGGGACGAGATTCTACGCTCGAAATCACTTGATCGTGATTCATACAACTCCGATGACTGGTTCAATAGGTTTGCCTTTTCTCTCTCGTATGAAACACTTTCTTTTGACATAAATTGAACCTAGTGATTGACATGAACGGCAACAAGTCTAGGCTAGACTTCAGCTACAGTTCCAACAATTGGGGTGTTGGGCTTCCTCCAAAAGGGAAAAACGAACACAATTGGCCACTGTACGTACAGACCGAATCACCTTCAATAACTCTGATTACTATTATAACCATACACCCATTGCATGTTTCTGAAACCAGTCAGCTCCTGATGATTATGTTTGTAGGATCAAACCGAGGCTACAAGATCCATCCTTCAAACCTCAAAGCAGTCACATAGTTGCCACGCTCCATAATTTCTTAGATTTGTTACGCATCAGATACTCTTCACCGCTCTTTCGTTTAGATACAGCAAAGGCTATCCAGGTCAGTATGACTCATAGTTTAACAGTTCTCTTCACTGGGTTCTCTGCTCTAACGTTTTTTTTCATATAGTACTTCTTTTTGAAATGTCGTAAAATACTACAAGAAGCTCATGCAGGTTCTATGTAACTTATCAGTGAATGTATTGACTCATTTACAATCACCAAAAAGTCATAATGAAGTAAGAGATCTCAAAACTTGTGGACTGATATGGTCTCTGTATTTTACAGGAGCGAGTGCGATTTCATAATACAGGCCCCTCATCAATCCAAGGTGCAATTGTCATGAGCATCCAAGATGGTCGCAAAGGCATCCCGAGTATATCTCAGATCGATCCAGTGTAAGCCAAAAAAAACAAAAACTCTGACATATCTTTCAAACCTTCATAAGTGTATACAATGTTCAGTAGTGGTGCTGTTACTCCTACAGCTACTCACTCATTGTGGTAATCTTCAATGCACGGCCGTCTGAGTTCTCATTTCTCAGTCCCGCTCTAAAAGACAGGAATCTCGAACTACACCCGGTACAGGTGAATCATGCATTACAAAAAAAAAAAAAAAAAAAAAGGATATGATAAGCTTGTACCTTTCAGGTTAAGGTCTAGCTAAGCGATGATTTAACACTGGATGACTCACACAGGTGATGTCAGGCGATGAAACAGTCAAGAAATCAGTTTATGAAGCGTTTTCGGGCAGCTTCACAGTGCCGGCAAGAACAACGGCGGTGTTTGTTGAATCGCGGAATGATTGAAACCTTATCCTCAAAAAGGGAAAACAGGTAAAACATTATGCTCTGTTCCACAATATCCTCTCAAGAACATGGCTTGTCATATTTCTTTTTAACTTGATTATAAATAAACACTATAAAGGTTGTCAGGTTGTGTGAGCTCGAATTTAAATATGACAATTTGTGTATTGCAACAACTCGGCGCGTTTCACGTTTAAGATATGTCCCCCAAATCTCTATATATGAAATGAATGAGGAGCCCCCAAACACACATTTTTAGTGTTTTAAAAGTCAATCAGACATCCAAGTTTCAGGAAATCCACTAAATTAATTTCTCGTTGATCTGCACGAAACCTATCGTAGCTCGTCCAATACTTAAGTAAACAAAAAAAATACATTTCATTATTCTTATAGAAAAGTCTCGAGTTCTACAAACACGTGTCTTACATGTTTTTTTAATAAAAAAAAAATTCGAGAATAACATGGCTGGGGTATTTGAGAATATTTACGGTATGGGGTGTCGTACTTATTCTTCAATCTTCACTATTATTATTCTACTTTACAACCGATTCATGCCAATTTGCACTGTCTTCTGATTCTCTGATCTCTAAATAGAAAGAGAGTGCGATATGAGCTTTCAAATCATCTTGAAAATTCTTATCGAACCCAAAAAAAAATAAAAAACACTGTTCTTTAATTATCTTTATGTTTTCTCTTTTATAGAAGAAACACTAGCCCTTTACTCTTTTTTGTTTTTGTTTTTTTACTTGTCTTAGTTGTCTTCATCTTATTTGTTTTGATAAATTATTGTTGTAATCTCTATCATTTACGATTGCCGCCAGATTGGGTAAGGCCCGGATTGTGGAATTTTCGTATCGCAACAAGTCGGCGTGATTCACGTTTATGTCCCACCTGGATCTCTATATATAAAGTGAATGATAGAGGAATAAAGCCTAAACAACATTACCATACTTTTTTTTGTTTTTGATAATTCTTCGTTTTATACAATTATTGTCCTGAAATATTTGCGACAAAATAATGGATTCGAGATTCATCCGTTCCACACCTTTCTTAAGGTTCTTCTCACCAATTCACCATCATATGATTGTTTTATGTGAATTTGACATATATAGACGTATGCATATATATAGATATCTATATATGTATGATTGTATGTATGACTGTCTATGTGATGCAGATGTAATGGTAAGAGTGAAAGTGATGAGAGGAATAAGGGAGATGAAGAAGAAAGAATAATTAGTAAACACTCCTTCTTGGTGAGTCCTCTTTGTATGAGCGGAGGAGATGGAGAATACAGTTACTCCACCAATTCTCTTCTTCAGGTTTTTTTAAAAAACTTCTTCTACTATACTTCGTTTTTTCGTTTATTTCTTATAAGACATGTCGTCCATGCATAAATTAGGAATGTTATTTATTATTATTATACAGTAGTTGAGATTGATAAGAATTAGAGTCCCATCAGTTATTCGGTTATGACTTTGTTGTTTTCGTTTCCTTCGGTTTACTTAGATTTATGACAATTGAAACCTAATTTTCTTTTGTACGATACATTTTGGGTTTAGTTGGTTTTGGTGCTAGTTGGTTTTAGCTAATCAGAGTTTAAAAAACGAAAAAATGAACATATTATTTTGATTTTATTTAAGTAAGTTACGTTTAATACTAGTATGTTATACGTAATTAAGAAATTTGACTATATCATGACTCGTTATTATTCGGTTTAGTTTAAGTTACACTAAATTGTGTTACGTAGGTTATGTTGGGTTGGTACTGAAAATTTTCGGTTTGTTGTTTGTATTTGGTTCGGTTTAGTTTATAATAGACCACCTCATGATCTGAAGCACCACTAGGACTCGTTAGTATAGAAATAATAATATAGAATTACACAATTAACGGGATAGAACACACATAAATTAAATAATTATGTAGGCCAAGAATCTGTCTGAATACAGAAAAGGTGATTATCTACTATTATGACAGAAGTTCTTAATTTGTTTCTTTTTATATTGTTTTTTCAGAGAAGAGTGTTATCAAAGGCTAAGCCGGTTTTGGTTAGGAACACAAAGGAAGTGATAATAAACTTAAACTTTCCTAGATACATTAAAGTAGCTGATTTGGGTTGTTCTTCGGGACAAAACACGTTCTTGGCCATGTCTGAAATTATCAATACTATCAATGTTCTGTGTCAACACATGAACCAAACCCCACCAGAAATAGATTGTTGCCTAAATGATCTCCCTAATAACGATTTTAACACAACGTTCAAATTCATACAATTCTTCAACGAGAAGAACGCCATGAGCAAAGAATCATACTTTGTCTCTGGAGTCCCGGGTTCCTTCTACTCGAGGCTCTTCCCACGCAGGAGTCTTCATTTCGTACATTCTTCTTATGGTCTCCATTGGCTCTCTAAGGTATGATTAGTGTTGCTATCATTCTATGTATAGAAACTGATTATTTTGATACTTTGAAATTTGATGTAATATTGGAAACTACAATTTGGTTGTAAGGTTCCAGAAGGGCTTGAAAACAATAAGATGAGTGTGTACATACAAAATTCAAGTCCTCTAAGTACATACAAAGCTTATTTAAATCAATTCGAAAGAGATTTCACGACATTTCTTAAGCTGCGTTCTGAAGAGATGGTTTCTAATGGGCGCATGGTTCTCACTTTCATCGGTAGAAGGACTATCGATAATCCACTGCATCGAGATTGTTGTCACTTTTGGACATTATTATCCAAATCTCTCCGTGACCTAGTCGTCGAGGTATTAATTTATGTAAATCTAACATTTTTCGTCTACATAATGAATATTTTTAAACGTACTTTACATATTTTATTTTTTTGTGTAGAAATCAATCAATCATACATGGTGAAAACGTGTGAAATGGTCCATATCCATCATATACTAGCTAGCTAGTGTTGGTTTTTCCCACACGTCCGATGTGACAATCTAACAAATTTGTCGTCATATTTTTGTTTTATAGGGTCTTGTGAGTGCATCAAAAGTTGATTCTTTCTACATACCATTTTACGACCCGAACGAAAGAGAGGTGACGGAGATGGTACAGAAAGAAGGTTCCTTTGAAATTAATGACTTGGAGACACATGGATATGATCTTGGCCATTGTAACCAAGACGAGACAAAGAGAAGTAAATCAGGGCAAAGTGAAGCCAATTACATCAGAGCGGTGAGTGAACCACTGCTCGTGGCTCACTTTGGAGCTGCCATTATCAACATATTGTTTGATAAGTTCGCACATCATGTGTCTCAACATGCTAGTTGCAGGAACAAAACGACCGTCAGCATAGTCGTTTCGCTGTCTAGGAAAAAAACTTTTCTCATGTCCTAATGTTTAATTTTGGCGATTCGTGGGGTCAAACATATACTAGATGTCATAAAACTTGTGATATATGTTATATATATTATAGTTTATAGTTTAGTTTTGTAAAGGATAAATATCCAGACTAGTTAATATGCGACAATGACACTTACTTAGTCTAGTGATGCGTGTTCGTGATATCGTTCTGCCACAATCAGAATTATATGTGAAGAATTATGAGGTATGGACCATATGAGACAAAAAGACATAAAAAAAACGAATAGAACATGCATTTGTTTTCTTTTTCTTTTGCCATCAGTCGTGGCCTAGACCGTACCACATATTATTTTTCACTCAAAATAAGAGTTGGAATTCATAAGTTGGCCAGGATAAGATGAACTTCCAGGTTTACAGAATTAAAGGCTGCGAAGTGCAGCCACCTTTAACAACATATTGGTGCGAGAAATGATAGTCACCAACGCAAATCCTTCCTCAAGGTTTTTTCTTTCTATCCAATTCATCAAATTCATATACAGATATATGTGTTTGTTGATTTGACATGGATATATTCCTCTCTCTGTGTATCTTATATATGACGCAGGTGTTGTTGTAAGAATTATGATGAAGAGTATAGTGAGGATGAACGGAGAACCACTAAATACCCTTTCGTGGGTGCTCTATGTATGAGTGGTGGAGATGTAGACAACAGTTACTCCACTAATTCTCTTCTTCAGGTGTTCTTCTTCTTCTCTATATATATGTTTTTATAAGACATGCATACAACTGTTTTTTTTTTTTCATAAAGGATACATAAATGGTATGATTAAAGACTTTACTAACTATTAGTTTCTTTATCCTTTCTCTCTTTTTTTTTTTTTTTAGAAAAGAGTTTTATCAATGACTAAGCCGATCTTAGTTAAAAACACAATGGAAATGTTGGCAAAGTTGGACTATCCTAAATGCATCAAGATAGCCGATTTAGGCTGCTCGTCGGGTCAAAACACGTTTATGGCCATGTCTGAGATCGTCAATACAATCAATGCGTTGTCTCAAGAACGGAAACAAAACTCGCCGGAGATAGAATGTTGTCTGAACGATCTTCATAGTAATGATTTCAACACAACGTTCAAGTTCATAACTTTCTTTAAGAAGCTTACAAGCGGAGGATCATGCTTTGTCTCTGGAGTCCCTGGTTCCTTTTACTCTAGGCTCTTCCCTCGCAACAGTCTTCATTTCATAAATTCAATTTACAGTATTCATTTCCTCTCCAAGGTCTTAGCGTATAAATATTTATTATAGTTATAACCGATTAATGTTATATTTTTTTTTACTTCTAGACATAAGTTTCCTTACAAGTAAAATTTCTAAGATGGTATTATATGGATTATGGACTTAGGTTCCCGACGGACTGGAGAAGAACAAGATGAGTGTGTATATAACGAGTTCAAGTCCTTTAAGTGAATACAAGGCTTACTTGCATCAGTTCCAAAGAGATTTTACGACATTTCTAAGAATGCGGTCTGAAGAGATGGTATCTTATGGACGTATGGTTCTCACACTCATCGGCAGAGACACTGTAGATGATCCTTTGTACAGAGATTGTTGCCATTTTTGGACTTTGTTATCCGATTCTCTCCGGGACTTAGTCTTCGAGGTATCAAGTTATTCCATAATTAATTAACTTTAAATACGTTCACGGATGGTTCATATAATACATGTCTTATCTGTTTTTTCATAGGGTCTTCTAAGTGAATCAAAGGTAAGTTCATTCAAAATGCCATTTTATGATCCAAGCAAAGAAGAAGTGAAGGAGATTATAAGAAAAGAGGGATCCTTCCAAATAAACGACTTGGAGACGTATGAATTTGACCTCGGCCATAGTAACGAAGACCGTAGCTTACCATCACATAGAGCTAAAGCAGGGCAAAAAGAAGCTAATTGTATACGAGCGGTGACTGAAACAATGCTCGTAGCTCACTTTGGAGATGCCATTATCGATGCATTGTTTAGAAAGTATGCGCATCATGTGTCTCTGCATGCTAGCTGCAGGGTTAAAACGTCTCTAACCCTAATCGTTTCATTGACTCGGAGATAAAGTTTTATATATCATGGACTAATTAATCATTGATTCGTGTGTGATGCGAAATATGTATTAAATAGTTACAACCAAACAATTAGTATCCTATAAGATACGATTTAAATAGATTCATTATTTGTGTACCCAATTGAAGAAACCAAGTTTAAAAATGAATGGAACCTAACATTAAAAATTAATATAAAAAGTTAAAAACCTTGGTGAATTTGAAAACTTGAAGATATATATTTGATTTTAAAATCCAATACAAACCGAATCAAAACCATACCAAAATCAATTATGTTTTACTTTGAATACAATTATTCATAAACCAACAAAAATTTAAAACCGGCCTAAGCCAAATTAAAATCCAGATTGAAACTCCAATCCAAAGCCCAATTAGAGACTAATAACTGTATGATATAGAACAATTGAATTGTGAGTGGTCGTATTAACGCAAACGTGCTACCGTGAAATAGAAGAGGCTTCACACTCTATAATGGTCAAAGAACAGACTTGTGCCCCTTAACTCTCCCACCACCACCCTCCCTGGCTCTTTTAATCAAACTACGTATATGAATCAAAATTATCAAACATAGTATAAGTTACGTTACAATCAATTAATTAGTTTTTTTTTCTTTTTGGATATCAACTGGAGCGTGTAAATATTAAATATTTTTATATATTGCTAATATTGTTAGAATCATGTAAGTACGTTCTTATAACTCGAGTTTAAATGTGTTAATTTGCGTCGAAGACAAAAAATAAATAGTTAATTAAATTCATAAGTTATAAAAGTAATTAGTAATTTATACAAATTTATTAAAATGTGATGAGGATTACATATTTACATATAATTAAGTCTACATGCATGCAGTCCATGTTAGTTAGCTAGTCGGTACTCTTCCCTCATCATTGGGACTAATAATAAGCAATAACTACTAAGTAGTCACGTACGTAGCTCTCTATTAATTCCTTTAGGTAATTCTTTATAGCTACTAACCAAAGTCTTCTCAACAGATGGAATATAAGTACACTTCGTATTATTTAAGTAGATTTGCTGGGGTCAATTTTTAGCTATACATAACGTTAAAGAATCACATTTTGTCATTTTACAGTTCCAAATTATCCCGCATATTATATATAGACTTTGAAAGTTATATATGTCACTAGCTACTTGTATTAGAGTTTTTTTAAATGTTTTTTTTTCAGAATTACTGAAAATCGAATGACTGTGTTGAGGATCATATAAAGTATGATGAATTACGTAAATTAAATAGAAATTGAAAAGAACGCTTCAAGATACGATGAGCTGCACTTGTAGATTGCAATTTGGGTACTTTGTAATATTCTAGACGTGGAATGGGTGCTCTTCACATCATGCATCCGTTAACGGAATCTGTATATATATACTTCCATCTTCACATACACAAGCCAACATGTGTTTATTTATATATATATATATATATGTATAGAATAAAAATTGTCTTATAAGTTCAATACTATTATTGTCTCAAGACTTGCTTAAAGAAGTCTTTATCGTAGCCTTCAGACAAGTTAGTTGGACCTGAGTTTTCTTAGAGTCAATTTTACACAACTTAAGATAATGTTATTCCATTATATATACACATTTACGTATAGATGTGATACGTTTACGTATTAAATAAAAATATATACGAAAATACGAAGATGGGAGTGGAGTAATGGTAGAGAGAGAGAGAAAGAGCCGTAGATTCCGTGAGAGACAGGCTTGCATTGCAATTATCATTACTCATTCCTCTCTTAACCCAAACCTATCTCTTAAATCTTTGCATCTTTCACCTAATCATCACTCGACAGTCCACACCAATAGGTTAACAAATCAATTTATATTAGCAGAAAAACCAATATGTGATTAGATTATTTTTTTGGGTAAAATACTCAACTTTTTTTAAGTGAATTTTTAATAATCCAAAATCATAAAAATACTAAGACTATGTTATATAGGTGATAATTAGAACTAACAAAATGTAAAGATTTAATCATACAGTTAAAAATACGAATATTAGTGATCAATATGCCTACAAGGCTACAAAAAACTACTGATATCAATCTGGAAACTAATTTGAACAAAAAAAACTAAAGAAACTATTTTACATGTGATTACACCCCGAATAAATCGTTTTACAGAGTAAGAAAAACGGGATAATGAGTGGAACAAACATATATTTACTATAGCAGTTGTCTAAAATTATACATTTTTCGTTACAAATAGTTACACATACTCTTCTTTCTCTCTCTTTATCTCATTGTAATGTGATTAGTTTGCCAAGTTGGGCAAATGGGAGAAGAGAGACAATAACAGAAGTACTAAATTTTAAGAGGCTACAAAAAGACAAGTCCAAACATATTCACACACTTAAAAAGCTCTCTCTCTCATATATTTTTGTTCTATATGTGTGGTGTCTCTCTTTGACTCCTCTCTTCTTATATCACTCACTATTTATGTATCAATCTCTCCACACATCTCTCTCCATCCCACACACATCTTCTTCTTTACACATTACTATATATGCATCTCTCATCCTTAACTTGTTCATAATCAACAACACAAATCCTCTTCTGAGCCTGATCCGTTCTTGATCTCTTTGATTTTGAATCTCCGGCTAATGGAAGCGTTCCAAGAGGCCACAAAGGAGCAATCTTTGATTCTTAAAGGGAAGCGGACGAAGCGACAACGTCCACAATCTCCTATTCCGTTCTCTATGATCTCCCCTCCCATAGTTTCTTCCCCAGCACGCGACATGGATGGAGAATTCACTTATCTTGATTCCAAGGACAATGCTATAGGCGGGAACGATGAGGTAAACCACAAAAAGGATGGTTTGATCACGTCTTCATCTTCATCAGCCTCTTGGTCTTCCCACAACGACACAACATTGAAGGCAGCAGAAGACGAGGAAGATCAAGACATAGCCAATTGTTTGATCCTCCTTGCCCAAGGGCACTTTCTTCCCCACAGCAACCAACACTTAACAAACAGCAACAACAACAGCAATACTGCAGCGTATAGATTCACCAGCAGGAGGTTTCTAGAGACTTCTTCTTCTAACGGTGGTGGTAAAGCCGGTTACTACGTATATCAGTGCAAGACATGTGACCGGACCTTCCCTTCTTTCCAGGCTTTGGGTGGCCATAGAGCTAGCCACAAGAAACCTAAAGCCACCTCTTTCTACTCCAACCTTGACATCAAGAAGAACGTTTATGCGAACGACGCCGCTTCACTCGTCACAACCACAACTGTTTACAATAACAACAAGAACAATAACAATAGATCGCTTGTCGTGTACGGTAAGGCAAGTAACAATAAGGTTCATGAATGTGGAATCTGTGGAGCCGAGTTTACGTCCGGACAAGCCTTAGGTGGCCACATGAGACGGCACAGAGGCGCGGTTGTAGTAGCGGCGACGGTAGCCCCCACGGTGACGGTGGCCACGGCTGCGGCCAACACGGAGCTATCACTGTCGTCGATGTCGTTCGATCAAATATCGGACGGTCAGGATAATCTGGTGATGCCAGAGAGAAAGAAAGCTAGGAAGACGGTCGTGTCACTGGATTTGGATCTGAATCTACCAGCACCGGAAGATGAGAACCGGGTCAACAACGGGTACAGCTTTGCTTCAAAGCAAAATCAAGAACAAGAAGAGCAACAGATGAAGCAAAGAGAAGAACCAAAGTCTCTTGTCTTGTCTGCTCCTCCTACTTTAGTGGATTGCCACTACTGAATTTATTATAACAATTCATTATTTAACCCCAAAATTATTATTTTTAAAAATCTTTTTGGTTTACTCTCAGATTTGATCATTCATTGTTTCTCTATCGAACATGTTTTTCTTTTTGTCGAACTGATTCTTTGCTTGTTCAAGACTTGCGAGATTTTTTTTTTTTTTTTTTTTTTTTTGGGTGTCGTTTTTACAAAAGTACTAAAAAAAATATATAAGCATTTTGTTAGTTTTCGATTTGTTTGTTGTAAAAGAAAATTGTATAGAATATATTGATGTCACGTTCTTTAATACTTTTTGATCAAATAATTTTTTTTATATTTTTTCCTCCCTCGAAGAAAATACTAAAAAGGTCATGAAAAGGGCGTGACGATCTAAATCCTTGCAGATCAATGAAAAAGTTCTCTCTTCTTTTCTGTTGACAATAAAGTTTAAGTTTGAGGATGCAACAAATTGGGAAAATCATATATATATATATATATATGTATGTGTTTGAAACTAAATAATTATATATCAAAGAGTATATTTTTATTAATATATGTCTTTAATTATATTCCCACTAATGATTTTTTTGTTCCCATAATAATAATGTTTGTTATATTCACATTCTGTTTTACTTGCAATGAATGCTTTTCCTGGATTCCAGGATCTCCACTGAAAAGAAAATTTTATTTATCTTTCAAAATATCTATTTTTCATTGAAAAAACGGAGCAAGTATTTGACTAAACTACTCACTCATGTTACACAAAACTAGTGTATATGGTGACCCAACACTTATTCAATTCTTAAGAAAATATATATGTAACCGTTTCAAAACAAAAGATGCCAGAGCAACATGGGCTTATAAAGCTTAAAGATCTGGCCCAAAATATATAGATTTTTAGAGGATCCAACTATTTTCGTATGAAAACCCAAATTCGAAATGTTGTCGTTTATAAATAAAGTCAGCAAAAGATACCAAGTTTCTTGCGATCTAAGGTACTCTTTTCTTGGGCTTTTCATATCATTCACTCTCCTCCGGCAAATCAAGAGAGAGAGAGAGAGAGAGAGAGAGATTGGAAAAGATGATACTAGAACGCAACTGCGGCTTTCTGTTAATGGATCGCGACTCCAAGAAACCTGGTGTAGCTTTGCCGGCGGCGACGGGTAACGCTGCGGCGGAGACATCTCTCGCTCCTGGCTTCCGATTTCATCCATCCGATGAAGAACTCATTAGCTATTACTTGAAGAGGAAGGTTCAGGGCAAACTCATGCGTTTGGATGCTATTGGAGAAATCGATATTTACAAGCACGAGCCTTGGAACTTAGCAGGTTTAATCTTCCGCTGTTTCTTGGCTTGTGATTCAACTTTGGCGTCAGTGTTAGATTTCTTGTTCTTCAAGTTTTTTTGTTCTGCTTAGGTTATAACTCTGAATCATTCCCTCCAAATTTAACCCTTCGATGCGTCAAATAACCCCATTTAACTCTTACTCGAAATCTGAAGCATTTCTCGCAAATTCATGTTGTGGAACTGGTTACTTTAAATTCTAGAAATGTAGGTATGAGTTAGTGTTATATTTAGTCTTTGTGGTTTCTTTGTTCAGAGCATTCGAAGTTGAAGACAAGGGACAAAGAATGGTACTTCTTCAGTGCCTTGGATAAGAAGTATTCCACTGGTACTTCTGTAAAGCGAACGACAAAGCAAGGCTACTGGAATGTCACCGGAAAAGACAGGGAAATCCGCAGAGGAGACAGTGAGGTGATCATTGGTAAGACCAAGATTCTTGTGTTTTACAAGGGGCGTGCTCCACACGGTCGGCGAACTAATTGGGTGATGCATGAGTATCGCCTCGCTGAAGATAACAAATCCCTTAAGGTGATATATTCTGTCCGAGTTGATTTTGTTTCAGGATTATTATCTTTGATCAGATGATGCTTCCAAATAGTCTATTTGGTTTTTAAAAGTTATATTCTATGCGTTCTTCAATAATCAGAACTGGTTTCTTTGTGCTTCTTGAAATTGATTTAGAATTAAGGTGGCCGCTGCTTATATATTCGTCTCTCTGGTTTTCACTAGAACTGGATTTGATAATCTCTTTTGATTCAACTCTTATCAATGACTTGAGTTTGTGGGGATGCAGGTAAATGCGTACGTATTGTGTAAAGTTTTCCTCAAGGAAAACCCCGGGGAATGTATTGGAAGCAGATATGCACCATTCTTGGAACAAGAGTGGGATGATGATGGTGAAAGAGCTGTGACCCCTGTTCCACTTGTTGTACAGGTTTTTTGCTTCTTCCTATATACTCTGTTTGTTTGGCCCTTTGGTTTGCTTTACAGCAAACGTGAACGTAAAGCTATGAAAACTTCGTGTAGATCGACAACAACAACAAGGAACATCATGATGAAGCACTGAAGAGAGCACCATTGCCTCATTGTGACCTCGACAAAGAAGCTCCATTGCCTCATTGTGACCTCGACAAAGAAGCTCAATTGCCTTTTTGTGTCCTCAACAAAGAAGCTACTTTGCCTCTCGTCGGAGACAAACGCAAGCGTGGAATCGACTCAAGTGGAAACTCCAACAGCTCAAGTCAAACCACTCAGGACCATTGTGCCTCCACAGAAGAAACAAGTGTTGACACTGGTGCCGCTGAGTCGCTGCAGATCTTAGAACAACTTAAGAGCTCAGTCGCCAATATGATCGATGATCTGCAGAACGAAAAAGAACCAGTAGCTAAAAAGGTGTCTGCAAGCAAAAGAGTCGAGGATCTGCTGAAGGAGAAGGACAAGATGGTATTGTTGAGAAAGACGCAAAAGCGTGAAATGATGGAGGCAGAAATGGTGATAAACTTTCTTGAAGATAAGATTAAAACGTTGTGTATGGAGAATAAGGAGCTAGAGAAGAACAAAAGTAACAAGAGACAACGCTCTTCTTGAAGGCATAGAACAGAACAAAGAGTACCCATTAATATGTTGTCTCTTGTTTCTCTAGCTTATGTTGAGTCTCACGAGACTTAGTCATGTGAGCTATGTTGGATGGATTGGTATTGTCATGAAACTCTATTTGCTCAATTAGGATTAAACAGAACTTGGATTTCAGGCATGTAAAGTTCTTTTTCTTTTGCCATATGTTATGATGTAATCATCTATAATAAAAAAAAGTTATCAAGATAGAAATTTATCATCTTATTAAATGTAATATATATATATATATATAAATTCATATCCTTAAAGGATCTATATAGAGTTATTTTTGCAATAATTTTAATATATATATTTAGTAATTATATGACTAGTTCAAGGCTTTTTTTTGGATTTGAATCCTTTTTTTATTTTAATATTTTGTAGTGAGTAAGATATTTGTCAACGAAAATAAATAGACTGAAAAAACAGATTTGCTATTCCCAACGACCTCAACATGTTGGTTGGAATGTTCTAGAATCAGAAAATATTAGCTAAGGTGTTGACGTGTCACCTAACTAAGATTATACCGTCACTACTCGAATATCACAGCACCGTCACTTTATAATCTCTACAATCTCTCACCTTCGTGGAAGATTTTAAAACCTTCGCTGCGTAATTTCTTCCTTTTCCTTTTTTTCTTCTCTTTTTCTTTTTTCTTTTTCTTTCCACGGTTGCTTATTTCTAATGGCATCGTGATCGATTCATCTCCTCTCTCTCTCTTCTCCCTTCCAATTTTCCCAATTCTTTTTTTTAAAACCCTAATTTTTGGATATCTAATTTATCTATTCTCGGAATCTGCAACTCTCTACTCGATTTGCTCCCCCCCCCCCCCCCCCAATTAAAAACCCTTGCTTTCTTTGTGTTCTGGTTCACCGATTGATGGGTCGTGGCTCAGTGACGTCGCTTGCTCCTGGGTTCCGTTTTCACCCTACGGACGAGGAACTCGTTCGCTACTACCTTAAGCGTAAGGTCTGCAACAAACCCTTTAAGTTCGATGCTATATCCGTCACCGACATATACAAATCCGAGCCATGGGATCTACCAGGTCACTTTTTTCTCAAATCTCTCCTTTTGTTTTCTGGTTAGATCGAATTATGTTAGCTCCATTATGATCTAGAATTCTGATTGATTCGATTCATTTTTTGTGTGTATAGGCAAGTCGAAGCTGAAAAGTAGAGACTTGGAATGGTACTTCTTTAGTATGCTGGATAAGAAGTACAGCAATGGTTCCAAGACTAATCGTGCGACGGAGAAAGGGTATTGGAAGACGACGGGGAAAGATCGGGAGATTCGCAATGGTCCAAGAGTCGTAGGGATGAAAAAGACACTTGTTTATCACAAGGGTCGAGCTCCTCGTGGTGAAAGGACCAACTGGGTTATGCACGAGTACCGGCTCTCTGATGAGGACTTGAAGAAAGCTGGTGTGCCGCAAGTAAGATTTGAGCAATTGGGTTTCTTTTTTCCATATTTGGTCTGAAAGTTTTTTTCTTTTATGCTTATGGATTGAGTGGCTGACTTTGTTGAGTCGTTGTTTTGGTGGTTGGTGGAGAAGGAAGCATATGTTTTATGTAGGATATTTCAGAAAAGTGGTACGGGGCCTAAGAATGGGGAGCAGTACGGTGCTCCGTTTCTTGAGGAAGAGTGGGAAGAAGATGCAATGACATATGTTCCAGATCAAGATGCTTTCAGTGAAGGATTGGGTGTCGATGATGATGTTTATGTCGATATTGATGACAATGAAGAGGTTTGTGTTATAAGTAGTTCCTACCTCGTTCTTCAACAATGTAGAAATTATTTCTCTTTGTGAATACTGTGTAGTAGTAAGAGGTATCTGTGATGTGGTTAGAAAGATGGTTGGGGTATCGCAAATGCAAAAGAGTGATGAACAGTGTTTCGTGTTGGGCATGATCACTAATGGCAAGCATTGGGTGCCCTTTTGCTTAGTGCTGGAATAGTATACCTGTTTAGATTAAAGATAGGGGATGGATATTAGAGATAGCGGAGGTCTTTAGATTAGAGATAGCGGAGGTCTTGGCATATTCATGACGATATACATCTTCTTATTGTTTGGATTCATTCATGATATGTTTTTTTTTGGTGTGAGCGTCTGATATGATTTCCTTTTGCAGAAGCCCGAAAATTTGGTTGTCTATGATGCTGTTCCTATTCTACCTAACTACTGCCATGGAGAATCAAGCAACAATGTTGAATCAGGCAACTACTCAGACTCTGGAAATTACATTCAACAAGGAAACTACGTTGTTGACTCTGGTGGCTACTTTGAGCAACCAGTTGAAACTTTTGAGGAAGATAAGAAGCCTATCATACGGGATGGTAGCATACAGCCTTGTTCGCTGTTTCCGGAGGACCAAATTGGCTGTGGTGTGCAGGACGAGAATGCAGTGAATAATCTGGATTCGTCCAACAACAATGTGTTCGACGCTGATACATGCTACAGTGACATTCCTATTGATACTAACTATTTACCCGATGAGCCATTCATGGATCCTAACAACAATCTTCCACTCAACGATGGTCTGTACCTGGAAACTAATGATCTCAGCTGTGTTCAACAAGATGATTTTAACTTCGAAGATTATCTCAACTTCTGTGATGATGAGGGTTTTATTCTTGACGATTCTCAATTTATGGGATCTGAAGATGCTCTTCCCGATCAAGAAGGCCTTGACCAAAAAGTAAGACTTGTGCATTCAACATGCTTAGTTTTTCTGTATGTTAAAACTCCTTTTTAACTCACCTTTACACCAACAGCTTTCCCCTGAAGAATTGGAGAAGGAGGTCGCAGAAGGCAAAGAGGTGGTGGAGAAAAAAGAAAGTGGTGAAGGATCTTGCTCAAAACGAGATGCAGATCTCACTGAATTTGATTCAGGTAATGGTCAGATATTCATTGATTCATCGTAAAGCAAATCATTTGATTGATTCTGACCCTTCTAAAACTAAATCTGCAGCTTCGAAGTACCCTTTTCTCAAAAAGACAAGCCACATGCTTGGAGCTATTCCTGCCCCATCTTCATTTGCTTCACAGTTCAAATCAAAGGACGCTGCAATCCGGCTACACTCAGCACAATCTTCTGGTTCAGTTCACGTGACTGCAGGTATGATCAGAATATCAAACATGACTCTAGCAGCGGATAGCAGTATGGGCTGGTCATATGACAAGAACGGTAACCTCAATGTAGTCCTTTCATTTGGAGTGGTCCAACGGGATGATGAACTGAGTGCCTCGGGAAGTAAGACAGCAACTACGGCGACAAGAGCTATGCTGATCTTCATGTGTTTATGGGTTCTCTTACTATCTGTTAGCTTCAAAATAGTAACCATGGTCTCTGCTCGGTAATAGCATCAAAAGTTGAATCGTCTCAAAGACTATTTTTGGTGTTTGTATCTTTCCAATTATATAGTGTTTACTCTGGCAGTGCTTTGCTGCTCAATAGTTTATTTATCTTTTCAAGGGATTTTGTGTAGTCTGAAATGCTCTTTATAATTTCTAGCTTGAGCTTCTAGAAATAAGAACATAACAAATTTCTTTGTGACAGTTATTTATTTGATCTCTGCTCTTTGTGAGTTCTTACTATTAAGAAACAATTGATCATTTTGATCTCTGCTTTTTGTGAGTTCTTACTATTGGGAAATAACCTGATTAAGAGTTAAGATTTTAATTAATTACTCAGGTGATATGACCTGCGAAAAAATAAAAGTTGTGAAATTCTCCAATAAGGGGGAAAAAAGCATTCATAACAAACAAATTTGTTGTATTGAATCTTTGAAAAAGCATATTCCCAACACTACCTCTCACTCTCAAAAATAGTATTATAAAACAATGTCTGATTCTCTGTCTTGTCGGATTCATTACTGAGCTTCTTCAAAGCTTATGTAATTGTGTAGCTATATTGTTTGGAACTTACCTTCCAAATAAACCCCACACACCACCACCAGAGCCTTGCCTTTGCACGGTAGTCCCATCTTCTCCTTCATCAGATGCTGACTTTTGTCTTCTAAGCATCTCAACTTCAGCTTCAATGGATTGCCCTGACTCCAATGCTTTCTGCAATTCCGCTATTTGTGCCTGAGAGGGGCCAATATGTAAAATCGAGATTGAGTTGGAGGTTTTTGAAAGAGAGATAATAGGAAAAAAAAAAAAAAAAAAACTTCAGCAGACTATGGAAGGTAGGGGGCTTAGTAACCTCGAGTTTAAAGCATCTTGATCGTTCTGAAATAAGTTGACCTTGTACAGATTGGAGTTCCTGCGATAATGTTTAAAGATATTGTAAATCGTGTTCATAGAAACGCAAAAAGGGATGACTATAATTAGCTTGACAGTTAGAGATAACGTACTTGAGATAGTTCAGTGTGACTGCTATTGACTTCATCTATCTTTTCCCTGAGCTTCACGTTTTCTACTTGGGTTTCTGCAACAGATGACTCCAATGTTCTTTTTTCTTCTTTTATTGCATCAATTCTGTTCCTAATATCGCTCTCAGGAATACTGGTTCCAATTCCATTGAGAGTTGGATTTGCAGGTGGAGGATAGTCCGACTTATCTGACTTGGCTATGGCATAAGCAGCGGTGACAGAGGCTGCAGCTGCAGCGGCTGCTGGTGACTTGAAAATCTTGGGATGTGAGGATTCTCTTGCTTTTAGTCTCATGACAAATATCTATATCACAAGAAGACACGAGCTCAGATAAGATATCAATAAGATTTTACTTCTGTAAGTTGTAATCTATTGCTATGAGCTTACATCATTGTTATACTTCCCGTTATAACCGCCAAAAGCTACTAAAATGTTCTCTCCAAATACTGATGCTGAGCATACACTGAGACCCTGCAGTTAAAAGATATAACACATAAGACACCTCGGATAGGAAAGAAAACGAAACATCTACGATTGGGTTCTAGTTTTGTAAGTAACCACCTCACTAGCAAGTGGATGTCTTGCTTCTACATTGGTTGATGTAGACCAAACCAGCTTTGACATATTTAGAACAAGGGTCTCTAAACAACCTGTGCCAGAAAGAAAGTAGTTACAGAGGACAGTTGCATACAGATTATTAATTGCAAAGCCGTGTTAAATGAGGAAATGCTATTCTAGAAGCAGAGAGTGGATCTACCGGTACTATTGTCACCGCCCCCGACTATATACCAATTTTCGTCAATTGTTATTCCAGCGTGTCCTGCTCGAGGAGTTACAACATCGCCCTGAACATGAGGCTGTGACCACTCCATCTGCCATAAGTTTATAAATTCATCAGAATATGAAGAAAATGGCAAAAAAATTCAAGAAAATATGCTTACTGTTTGCAAGTCAAGGATATGAAGATCACTGTAGAAGATTGAATGAGAACAACCACCAAAAATCACGAGGTAACGATCAGAATGTGTGGCAGCTGTGTGATCAAATCTGGGAACTGGGCGTGTCTGTCTATCAACCGGAAAAAAACACAATACAGAGCATTTAGATGTAAGACCAGGTAGACAAAACTGCAGTAAACATAAGCATAAAATCTAGCTGCCTGCACTTTTTCCTAAACTTACGTCGTCTCCACCACATCCCAAGTCATTGTCTCAAGATCAAGAACATGCAGATCATTCAGCAGTCTTCTGTTCTTATCTTCGCCACCAAAAACAAAAAGTCGGGACCCAACCAGTGTAATGGAATGTCCACCACGTGATACCTGGGAAATCATGGAAGGTGTTTTCTTACCTGGAAAATATTCCTAAACAGGCGACAAGATATATCAAAAGCACCAATTAAGATAACTGTTTTCTTACCGGAACATTTCCCGAAGCATCAACGACACCACATAAATGTGTTTCCAAATCAATGAACCGCACTGTAAGGAAAGAATCAAAACAAAAATAAGCAAATTTAAAACAGCATTCAATCAGAAGGAAAGCTGAATATGGCTGACCTGACATGTTATCTGATGACTTCTTGGAGTGTCCCCCGATCAGAAGAAGCTTGTTTCCCCACTTAATCTGCCAAAATGTTCACAGTTACAATTCGAAGTATGATTTCAAAATTCTTCGTCATACAAAAGGAATTACCATGCGATGGTCTGAAACAGCAGGAAAAGCTTCCCGTAAGCTACTACCATCATCCTCTTGAATGTTTTCAGCACTTGATGATTCAGTTTTCAGTTTCAAAGTAGACCAAGTCAAACTTCTAAGATCAAACACCTGACAGAGTTGAGTTTATCCAAATCACCACAGTATCATGAAAACAAACGGAAGATACAAACACACAGAAGAACACACATAGAAAAAATACCTGGACATCGGATAAGTATCGGCCATTACGGCTTCCACCAACAATGTAGAGCTTTTCATCAACAACCACTGCCGCATGCTGCATTTTTGAGAAGACAACATATGATAAGATTTAAAGAGATTATCTCCAATCAGTCAGATGCTTAACCACTGAAAAAAGAAGAAGATGATGACTCACCTTGTAGCGAGCTGAAGCTCGAGTGCCCGAAACAGGGAGTGGTGTCCATTCATCGTGAGCGAGATTTGAATGCCAATCACCAACGTCTATCTCTTTCCTCATCTCTTCCATTACCGGAGACTACGTCACAGTTTCAGTCTGCCATTTTCGAGAACACATTAGGAGACGAGTTCGATCCCATTCTATTTAACAATTGGATGCAAGAAGCTCTATAATCAAAGCACATACGACTTCTAAAATCCAGAATTGAGCTTCTTACGATCCTTCATTTTTATACGGAAAGAAGAAGAAAACAACGAGATCCTAGTACTTCTCGGGGGGGACGATCACGAAATCAAAGTTGGTGACATTGCAATTACAAAGAGATCTGAACACTAAATTCGAAATTGCTTTCACGAATGCTAACCAAGAGATAATAGAGAAAAAGAGGGGATGAAAAAGACGAACATTAAGGTAGAAACCGTACTGGCGGCGATGACCAGAGCTGCCGGAGAACGTGAATGGTATCGGAGCCGGAGAGGGTGAAGGATTGTGAGAAGTGAGATCGAATCTCCAAGTGTATTCTAAAAGATACAGGTTCTTCTGTCGATGAAGAAAGTTTCGGGTCAATTAGGTAAAATAGTAAAAGATCTGGGCACTTTTGGTTAATTAATAATTATAAAGTTTCAGGAGGAACAACTAAGTAGTCTAAACTCTAAACACGTTGTTGTACTAAACACGTTTTGTTTAAGGCAGAGATAATACTTTTACAGAGTTGATAAAGTTATTGAAGAGCTTAGTAGAATTGATCTCCTTTTAAGTCCTAACCTACGCAACACCTTTTGTGATTTAAGATTTTAAGAGATGCGTTTCAAAGAATCTTATGAAAAATTAGTATTCAGACTCAACCCTCCTTTTGTTTCCTTCTGTTAATTTAACTTTCACGTTTTTAACGTATATTAAATTTCTTTTGCTCTTAAGAAGAGCAACCAAAAAAAACAAAGGTGGGCTCTAACCTGTAAATAGTTGATCCCATAAAAGAAAGAAGCAAGCAAATGCAATGTAATGGCTGGTTATTGTAAATTGTTACAACAGAAAGAACTCGAAAAGGGAAACAAAACTTCAACAAATTGCAACAAAGTTATAAAAAAACAAATGAAAACAGTACTTCTAACTCCAACTCTGCTTCTCTCCCAGAGAAAAACACAATTTATATAATGTCGACATATAAATTAAAAAAAAAAGGAAAGAGCTCCTAGAGAGATATCTCTGCCTCACTCAAAGATGATCAATGATTCCCATCCGAAAGCTTAAGCCTCAACAAATGAAGTAAACAGACCAAAGATAGGAACCGGCATGGATATTCTTCACGGTTTTAATCGGTGGCTCTCTCTGTCGCTGATTCGACTTTCTGTTTTATCATCGTCTCAGCTTGTTGGATTGCTCTCTGTGGCCCTGTGATGCTCACTTTCCTGCCAATATTTTTGCCATATATCAACATTAGACATAAGAGGTACTTAAAACATTGTTCGGTTGTTACTCTTAAGGTAATGTTAACTTTACCTATCAGAGGTTCCAGATATGAAATCGCCTCGGTCTGATATCTTTATTCGGGCACCTGTCATCTGCGGGAAGTAAAGCAGGGCTTTCAGATTTTGGTTGACTGAAGGAGTTTTAGTTAAGGGGTTGATAAAAAAAAAACGGACCTGAGTGATTTCCATGATGTTTCTTCCTCCACGACCAAGGACCAATCCTATATGCTCATCCGAGACACCAATTGTCACCGTGTTGCTAGGTTCTTCCTGGAATGTATACCATATCACAGATTAAGTGACAAAAGCGAAACAAACCATAATTGATTGTTTTAACACCAAAATGCTATTCATAGTAGCAACACAGATAGAGGTTCCTTCATATATATGCATAGATAGGGTGGAAGAAAGTGAGAAGAGACTAACCTTGTGGTTTTGATACTTGCCTCCAGAGCCATTGGGTGCGTAGTTAACCGAATTGTATCCCGCTGTTGCAACAGAAGGAAGCACATACGCATATGGAGGACCATGAAAACCAGAGTAGAAAAGACCTAAAATGTCGAGTTTAAAGGAACTTACAAGAGAATTAAGCTTAACAACAGACAAGCATCATACACAATCCTCAAAATGGAAAGAAAATCCATGTGAGATGAAAGATACGAAATGCCAATACTACCTTAGTTGACAATCTAAAAATCAGTAGAAAATCCTACTAAAGGGACATGATCTAGCATCTATATTTGGCGCTTAGATTCTCCACATGGCCTTAAAACAGGAAACGAAAAATCTTGTACTTTGACTTCTAGCCTATCTACGTCTGTAATGTGTAATGACTAAACAGTCATTTTCATATAACAAATAATTTACATAGTGTCAATTCATAAAGCATAGTCAGGAAATGATCTAGCATTTACTATACTGATTTCCAACACAAAGAAATGTAATCAACGACAAACAGAACATGCTAATCAAAGAAACTTTAATGAGGAAAACAAACGTAACTAAGCTAGTACTGAGTTGATATACCTGCATACGAATATGGGGAATGCACGTTCTGGGAGTAATGATCGTCCTCAGTAAGCTTAGCCAAAATTAAATCAATTGCCCGCATCTGCTCCTCGAAGGTCCCAGATAATGTCACTAGTCGGTCGCTCAACCCGTAGTAGGTATTATCCAGAGGGGATATCTTAATACCAGCTTTAGATTCCTCAATGAATGATCTGTGTGCAAAGAAAGAAATGTCTCGAGGCTTAGTTAGATCTATATATCTGACATCAATATTCTTACACAAGAAAAGAGAGTGAAAAGTACATTGCCATATTCTAGAACTCAAGAGAAATTAGATATTCCATTCTAAAACTTAAAACTCAGTCACCTCTAATACCCAGAAACCATTTTCACCGGTTAGAGAGTCTTGACTTGCTTATACGCAGAAAATAATTGCTCTCTTAAAGATAAGAACTAAAGAAAATTTGAACATGGCAACAATGCAAGAACATAACCAGATACATTTTAAATGTTAGTTGTGTGCTACAGAAAATGGTGTTAAGGTAAACAGGTCATGGAAACTCCGAAAACCTCATAGAAACTGCTGTAACAAATACAGAACGAAAACTTACTTGATAGTTGCCCCTCCTTTTCCAATTATACCTCCACAGGAACTGTTAGGAACCACTAGTCTTATTCTTCTCCTAGGCTCAACCTCATTACCATCTTCAGCATGAAGCTAACAAACAATGACACAAATAGAAAAAGTTCAAATTGATCTCGTACTGACAAAATAGATAAATTAGCTAAACGCACTGTGATATAAAATATAAATTAGTCAAACACAAGTAGAAAGAGATTACCTCACTGTGTAGTTTATCAAGGATAAGTTCCAGTCCATTGACAACTTCTTTAATTGAGCCCGATATCATAATAATTCGGTCAGTCGTTCCAGGGAAAAACTCTTGGTTACGTGAGAGCTGAATCCGCGCCCCAGACTTTGCCTGAAATTCAGTGATGGTCGAGCCACCTTTCCCAATGACGGAACCAGCAGCCGCATTGGAGACAAGAAATCGAATGTGTGTTGGCTTCTCAGCTGAATCTGAAAAGAGTAAAACACATTAGATAGTCAAATAGATAGCATGTTTCACTAAACCATATCAGTATTCAGCTTATCGTTGAATGGAAGAGAAAGAAATTATTTTTCTGTCTACCCAGCATATATACAACCTCAACTAGACCAGCTACCTCATTTATACACACACATGATACAGAAAAAAAAACACTACATAAGAATGAGCCTGATCTAACTCACTCGCAGAATCGATCCTTATGAAAAAAATAACAACAAAACGGTTACTTTCCTCTGTATAATTCATCACATTCTGGAAAAAAATCACTAAAATTTCATCGAACAGCAACAAAATGGTAATAGTATAATTTAACCATCGTAGACAAATGAAATCTATGGCAAAGGAAATCTTCATCAAAGTTGTCATCAGAAAAGGCATTAATCACGCATCTAAGATGTCATATCACAAAGTTTTTAAACTAGATCCAATTCAATGAGGTGACGAGATACAAAAAAAAACATTTGGAGTCAGAGTCGAAGAAAATGCAGCGAGGGAATAAACAAAAGAACAGATCGGATCGGAATACCAGCTTCTGAAGAATCATGCGGTTCTGGAGATCTCTTGGTCAGCTCTTCCGGTGAACCTGCCGCATACGACTCAGTAGACTCCATTGCTGCAGCAGCAGCAGATAAGAAGGGAAGAAGAGAATTAAACCAATCGACATTATCAATACAACGAACAAAAAAGGAAGAACGAAACCAGATAGAGAGAAAGCCGTAAGACTCGTTTCGTGGAAATCTGAGATTGAGAAGAAAAATTCCAAAGTTACCTGTCTTGGCACAATTCGAATCTGCTCCTTGGGTCGTCGTCGTCGTCGCCGTCAATTGGCGCCGGTGGAAACGAATCTGAGGAAAGAGTTAGTATGGATGTTTGAGTCTCTCTCTATCTCTATCTATCGTCGCTCACTGCTTCCTCGGCTTCTTCGTCTTTGTCGCCGAGCGGGTTGTGAAGTGAATGAAGGTGGCTCTGGTGTCCTTCGTCTATCTATCCACTAGCCTCCCTTATTCTATTATTTTATTATTCCCTTTTTTCTTTTAATTTAATTATTATTGATTGACCGCCTCTCTATCTTTTTTTTTTCCCCCTTATAACATCAAACTCACTTTAATTTTATTTGTTAAAATATCAAATCAACTACAAATAATTGTAAAATAGCCATAAAAGTGAAACATGTAAAAATTGGCTCCTCTATTTTCTCATTTGGACGTTGATAATTTGAATCCGTTTTATTTTATTTTGCATAGTTTGTTTAGATCTTGAATTGTTGTACATATACTATATAGTTTTTTTGTCAAATTGTACGGCAGAGAGTTGACAAAGACAATAGATACGATTAATGGGTAATAATATGCATGTTTATGATTTGAATCGGTCGATTAAATGAGTAGAAGTGCAATATTATTATAAGGTGAGTTTGGGGTGTTTTTAGTCCGACATTAATGGGAAGTGGCAACCTGTGTTTTCCTCACGACTACACAGATTCATTAGTTAAACAACCTTTCTATAGATTAATCATATTGTTTTTTTCGGTTGCGTCATAAGACATCGTAAACTATAACATTAAATTCTAACACATTATTATTTTTTCAATAACTGTATGTGATTCTTTTAAAATTTTCTTAAAGTTTCTTTGTGTACACATGTAATTAAAACAAAAAATCTAGTAATTTTAATTAAAAATTAAAAAAAATAATTATCTGAGTGAAAAAATTAGGAAAAAAATCTAGTAACCTTGTTAAGTGTTATATCTCAAATTCTTTCTACTTTGCTCATTGCTAAGGCCATTCGTTTGTAGTTTATCGTCGGCCCAATGGCATTTAATTAACGGGCTCATATTGGGCTTGTTTTCAATATTCAGCGTATTTTACCTGTAGTGAAACAACGTCAGCAGACTAGGCTAATATGCGCAGTGGTAAAGCTCGTGGTGATGGTGGTGCCAGCTCCCAATCTCCGTCGGTCCAGAATCTTATCATCACTCTCTCTGTCCTTCGCTTATGTGTTAGTCGTTAAACACCTCTTCTCCTAAAACGACGCCGTTTCAGCTATGGCGTTGAGCTCAGCTTCTCTTACTAGACTTACCTCTATGTCGTTCTCGGCGAAGAAGCCGAATCCAAACCCTAGAAATCCATCTCTCTCCTTCACCATTACTAGCTCATCGTCCTATGACGAACCACCGAAACCTACGTCTCTCACCTCTTCTTCTTCTTCTACTCCACCTGTTCGTGTCTCCTCCAGTTCCACCCCCAAAGCTCGATTCATCGCTCGTCAGAAACAATCCATCTCCGTTCGCCAGCTCCAACGACCTCTAAGTAGCTTCAGTCATAATCACTTGGCTTGATCTAAAACTTTTGTTTCTTATGGATCGGATTGATTGATTTCGGATTTGATTTGTTTGGTTTCAGTTGAGTATATGAGCTTACCTGCAAGTCAGTACTCGGTGCTTGATGCGGAGAGGATTGAGAGAGTTGATGATAACACGTTCAGATGCTATGTTTATACGTTTAAATTCTTCAACTTTGAAGTCTGCCCTGTTTTGCTTGTCAGAGTTGAAGAACAACCTAATGGCTGCTGCATCAAGCTCTTGTCCTGCAAGGTAAATCTTACTTTGTTAATGATATACTAAACAAAGAGAAGAACTTGTGGCTAATAGACATAAGCTGAATCAAATTGTACATATATGTTATGATCGTGATGGCTTTTTTCATTGTCTTGTGCTATATAGCTTGAAGGTTCTCCTGTTGTGGTTGCTCAAAATGACAAATTTGATGGTAAGCATACCCCTGTTTGTTAACCCATGTTTGCCCACGTTGTAATTACTTTGTGTGAAAGTGATCAAAATGATCTTGGTGAAATCTTGTTTACTATAAGTGGATTTGGTAATGGTTTGTATGGGGCTTAACATTTCTTATTTTCTAGTTATGCAGCTTCTATGGTGAATCGGGTATCATGTGATAGCACTCAGGAGGGCACAACGGACCAACAAATTACTTCAGATGCAGTCATTGAGGTAGCTAAGTGCTTTCACCTTTTTTTTTGCTTTCTTAATCAGTGCATTCCTGTGGTATTTCTGACTTATTTGGCATTTGTAGGTCAATATCGAGATTCCTTTTGCATTTAGAGTTTTCCCGGCGGGAGCAATAGAAGCGACAGGGACACAAGTCCTTGATCAAATTCTTAGACTCATGCTACCAAGATTTTTGTCTCAGGTATGCAGGAAAATGTATTTCGTATTATAATCTTTTGATCACTTATTCTGCATCAACATGGCCCTTTAAGCTATCATTTATTCTCTATGACACGTTGTTTTACAAAGTGCAAGATCGTCCTACTTGTGAAGATTAGTCTTGCATCTAATGTTTCATCTTGAGAAGATCTATCCTATTTGAGCTGGTTGATGAGGAGGCGAATATAACCTGTTTTTAGGCTTTATTTATATGTCGGTAAAGCACATGTTGAACCAAGACTCAGGTTGCAGCTTAGCATAAGCTTCCTATGGTTTCACTGTAAAACTGGCTTGTTAACTCTTTATATTTATGTGCTCCTCCTTCTACAAATATGAACGTAGATACATTCCTTTTCCTGCAAAGTCATCCCAACACTGATCTAAATCATGCTCTTTTACTCGTTTTGCAGCTCTCGAAAGACTATCAAGCATGGGCTTCTGGAGACACTTCAAGGCAACCTCTTGGGACTGGCGAGATCTGATAGTACAGCAAAAGCTACTGAACCTGGTTCAACGATGTGCCTCCCGGAGTTCCGATCGGGATGTTAGCAAATTCTCGATCTTTTTCAATGTTAGCAAAATACAAATGAATCTGTAGTCACTGGAATTGCAACCCTTTACAATAGAATACGTTTGTTTGTTTGTTTGTTCCACTGTAAACTCTCACGTTGTGTTATGTTTAATCCACCCGGAAGATCCTTAAACGGATCTAGTTCCTTTATGCCAAAAAATAGTTTGTGTCTGATAATAAAACCAAACTTGAGCCGACAAATGGAAGAGCCGGTTCACTCAAAGTCTAAACTGAACGGTTTTGTTTCGATTGGATACTTTTCATTCTCACTAAATGTCTTTTTGTCATTTGTCAATGTGTAATATTTAGTTATGTATTTAAGTCAAGATAAGGTGTTTAATTCCAAATTAAAGCGAAAACAAACCAATGTTTGAATCAAAAGTCATTTGCAACTAGTAGACGGAAACAAGAAATGTTGATCGAGTGAAGAAGAATTTTTGTTTCTGATACGTGTTTGTATTTACGATTTACAATTACTCTTCACCAAAATGAATAAAATCAAACGTAAACATGTATAAAAGAGAACCATCTAAAGTAATCTTATGACATAATATTATACAACTAATTAAGCATGAGTAAGAAAGAAGCAAACGTTGTAAGCAATTGAGATGTATATCATTTGTGTCGATCTCAAAGCAAAAGTCTCATCACTCCCTGAAAGACAAAATCGAAGAAATAATGCAAACTTCACAGTTACAAGACAAAAGAAGACATTCACATAACGGTGAAACAAAGAAAGATTGTGTTTTGATATGTTTTCCATTTTTTGTTTTGGGGTTAAGTGGAAGCCATCCGCCATGGACAGGTAACATAGAAGCAGTAGTGTAAGTAAATAGATCCTATTCACATTTGCGTGAAATTTAGAAAACAAAAGGATACAGACAAAACATATTAATTTAATCATCTACGCATATGTCCACTAGATCTACATATATGAAAATTTACTGTGTAGTGTGTACGTCTAAGTGAAAGATGCATGATTGTCTATGGATGTCGTGAAATGTTAAAACCAAAACGTGCGTTTGTTCCCTCTCAAATAAAAGTTTGCGACTTCGAGAATTTTTTTTTTTCTTCGGTAAAAGACAAAATAGTGAAGAAGATGGGTTGAATCATATACTTTTATATAATAACGCTTCTAGGTTTTTGGAGATTTTGCTAAAATATAATAGCGTTTCTAGGTTTTTGGAGATTTTGCTAAAACCCTAAGCAATGGTATATATAATGCACGAGTTGCTGCTACAAATATCTAAAACATTTTACTTAGCAAAAAAAATATATTTTTAAAACAGTAATTTTCTTAAAATTGCTAATCACATGCTATATGTGGTTCTAATGAACACAATCACAATGAGTGGGATGTTAGAAAAAGAAAACGTACGTTGTATAACTTGAAAGACGTATGTGTATGTACAAGTGACTGATGAGACCCTAACATAGACCCAAAATCCATGCAACCTTGTCTTTCGTCCCAATGCATTTGTAAGCTTTCTCATAGACATTTTCCTATCATCATTTTTATTATTATACATTGTTTAAAAGTATATCATACAATATTCAATAATTAGAGCTAGCGAATAAAAAATGCCATCATATGAGATAATTTAAATTTTTTTTTTTTCCAGATTACTCCATGTGAGAATATTGGTTGGTACGAAACCCTCACAAAGACCAATCCAAATTGGGATTTCTTTTTCTTATATAAATATAAACAAAAATAATAACATTTTTATCCTATATAATATGGTGTGAAGTTTGAGCTTCTTCCTTTCCTCAAAAAACTTGAAAGGTCAAAGATGTTGTCACCTTATCTTTCTCCCTTTTAATTCTCTGAAGCCAAAACCTTAACATTGCTAAACCCCCCCCCCCCCCCCCCCCCCCCAAAAAAAAAAAAACCTAAAATAAAAAAAAGACATTTGACACATATCAGGTTGGCCAATGTTTTTTTTCACAATCTTCTTCTTCTTCTATCTGTGTTTTCCTTTATTTTATCTTCCTCTGTTTTAGGAAAACATTTTACCATAGTTCTTAGATCATCATTTCCTTTTTTCTACTCATTTCTTAATTTCCTTATTGCATTTTCTAAATACATTATTCACTTCTGACTTTTCAGATTTTGTATTTACTTTCATCTTGTACATATATATAGCTTTGAAGAGGTGCTCTTTTACATAATTGTTGCATGAATTTAGTAAGGCACACATATTATTATTATTATTTTTTCAACAGTAAAGGACACATATATTTCAAGTTTTACTTTTATGAGCTAATCTTTATTTTCTTAACTTGAGCAAATCCATTTTCTTTAAAGTTTTCCGGGATTTATTTATTTCTTAATCATTAAAGAATTGCTACTGTGTTTTGCTCAAATATGGATATGTTCTTTTTTTTTTTGTCATTTGATAATATTGATTAAATTAAAAGGGTATGTTCTTAGTTCTTATGTCACATTTTTACAAGTAACCATATATGAGAGAGATAAAAAATACATGACGTGGGATGAAAAGGATCTCGCCACGTGTTATAATCTAAGACCAGCTCCTCGCTTCCTTGAGACTCGCCTTCGCTTTGCTTTTTTTAAATATTAACAAAAGCGAAAAAGTAGACAAATTTTTAAATTAAAAATAGATTAATTCATTTCCAAAGAAAGCTTAAATTAAATTATTAATTACTGAGAAAAAGACAATTAAGGATTTGATTTTAAAAAAATTAATTAATTCCTTTTTTTTTCTTTCTTCCCTCTGTCTAATGGCTATTGCGCACCTTCTCTCTTCGAAAAAAAATCCAATCTTTTTTTTCTTTTCACACAATTAATAACTCACCGATAATTTTGTTTTCTCTTCTTCTTCATCGATCCTTTATTGAATTTTGATTGTGCAATTTCGTCATATAGGAGTTTGGTTCATCTTTACCTTCTTCTTATTGCTGCTATTCCTCATTGACGAAGAACACGAAGAGGTACGTCTCGCTAATCTCTGTTTCGTTTTTTGTTTTGTTGATGATTTGTTTCAATTGGAAGTGGAATTTGGGTTTTATTGTTCAATTCGGCTGATGAATTGCATCAATATCAGGTGAGGGATGAATTGGAGAACAATTGGGTGTGAAATTATGGATGTTGGGATTGTGTTTACCCTGGGATCTTCTCGGAGAATTATGGGAAGATGTGATGCGTGGTTTTAGGTTTTGAGCGTGTTGCTATGTTGTTTTGTTGACCGGAATTGACATAAAAGAAGAGATTTTTTTAGGTTTTTTTGTTTTGGGTTTCAATTGAAGCGTCGTGAGGATGACTAGTTTCCAGCCCCTGCAACAAAAATCAGAGTCCAGGGACGATGTTCGTACCGAGTTTGAGCGTGGTTTGGAGGAATTCATGCGTGGGCACTTGGACGAGTGTATCTCATTTGGTTCTTGTAGTTCTGTTCACAATCCAGAGGATGAGGATGAGGAGGGTGATCAGCTTGTGAGGAGGAGACGAAGGTCTGAACTTGAAGGTGACAATTTGGCTGAATCATCTGCTGCCCGAAGGCGTCAGTCTCAAATTTTGAGCCGATGGGCTGCAAGGCAGGCTCAGGAGATGATTACTACCATTGAGAGGAGGAACCGAGAGTCTGAGTTGATTGCATTGGCTGGTTTGCAAACGGTCTCTATGCTCGATTCCTCTTTCCTTAGGGAGTCTCAGTCTCCCTCTTCAAGGCGTCAGGGTGCTGCTAGTGAGAGGCCTAACACTCAGGCATCTGGAATTTTGCAGATGTGGAGGGAATTAGAAGATGAGCATGTGCTTAACAGGGCACGTGAAAGTGTGAGAGAAAGATTGAGGCAGCAACGGAGTGCTGAGTCTAATACTAATTTATCTAGCTCTACTGCACCAGAGAGTCAGGTGAGTGAAAACAATGGGGTTCTGAGAGACTCGAGTGAGAGTGAGAACGATTATGGATCCTGGTCGCTTGATCGAAATGAGCATGGGGATAATAATAATTTTTCCAGTAGGGAACAGTCTCCTGATCTTGGTGATAGTGAGAGAGAGAGAGTGAGGCATATTGTTCGTGGATGGATGGACAGTAGGACTAACGACCATTCATCTAATATAAGACAGAGAGATGATAACCATAGAGCAGAGTGGCTGGGTGATACTGAAAGGGAAAGAGTAAGGATTATAAGGGAGTGGATGCAAATGACTAGTCAGCAGAGAGGAGGATCCCGTGCAACAACGAGAGAAGATCAGAGATCTAATTCAGAAATTGATAGGAATCAAAGTCATGACACTGCACAAGCTGACAGGGTCCGTGTAGAAGAAGGGCAACCGCGTCATGTTCGTCAAAACTTGCGGAGAGTAAGAGGTAGGCAGGCGTTACTTGATTTGCTTACGAGGGCTGAAAGAGAGAGACAACGGGAACTTGAGGGCTTGTTGGAGCATCGTGCAGTGTCTGATTTTGCTCACCGCAACCGGATTCAGGTTAGTTTTTAAGCGACCAGATTCATTTTTGCTTCTTTGTAGGATATAAATGACACTTCTTTCTCCTATTCCTTTTCCATACACTTAGTATGACAAAATTTGTTATATTCTGAATAGAAATGCTAAACAAATAAGAATTTTTGGTGTTTGGAATTTGGATTAAGATATGGAAAAGTATTTGAAGGAGCGAGATATTTATCCTATGTCATACTAGGAATGGACAACAAAAGTCATATATTATCAGTATCTTAGCACCTTAGGCAATTGTAGACGATTTATAATGCCCTAAGATTTTCTGCAGTCGCTTCTTAGAGGAAGATTCTTGCGGAATGAGCCACCTGCAGTTCAAGAGAGAACAGCATCAATGGCTTCAAGGGAGCTTCTTCAGCTGAGAGAAAGACAAACTGTTTCTGGTTTGAGGTAAGAATTCCTTCCAATTCCATTTCAATTTTTATAACAATTTTCTCATACATTTTCTTGTCAGCCATAAGAATTTAACTCGATCATAATAATACAAATAGTCTACAAACCCGTAAAGGACTATACAAATGTGGATTTTGATATCCCTGCATCTCATCTTCTCTCCCCTGCTTTTTTTTTTCTTTTTGATTTTTTTTCTTGTGTTTGCATTTGTCTTTTCATATTATTAATATACAAGTACTTATTGGCATTCAGCTTGATTGCTAATAATAGTCCAACCCTCACTTTGATTCTGTCTCAGAGAAGGGTTCCATAACGGGAGGGAAAGTATTGTCCATGAACAGAGTAGCAACACTGATAGCAATAATTCCACAAATGCTCTTGCAATTGCTATCATCGCTGAGAATTCTCAGCGTATAACCGATGAGAATTCAACTTCTTCAGGACAAGGGAATAATAGTCCCGTATTGCATGATGACTCAGAAAGCAACCTATCAAATGCGGATAGAGACTGGGAAGAGGATACCAATCGAAGAAGGATCTGGCAGGAAGATGTCGCAGTAGATGAGAGGCTACATATGCAGCAAACAGATTTAACGCAATTAAATGGGTATGATAATACAGATACAAACCATGATGAAACATCGGTCAGCGACATGCACCGAGAAACCAGCGGATTTGCTGATGATGAATATCGCACACAAGAAGCCCATGGTGTATGGCATGAGGATAACTCTAGACAATCTGATGGGAACTGGCCTGAGACACAGTCAGAATCCCTAAGGAGTCGCCGTGTAGTACAATTGAGAAGACTAAATAGGTTCCATCCACCTGAGGATGACAATGTTTACAGCATGGAACTCAGGGAGCTGCTAAGCAGGTACAAAAAACATTTAATCACTTTTTATGAAAGTGGATTCGATTTCTTTCTTTATTACTTATTTTTATTTAGACTGATCATTTCTACCATCTTTTCTGTTTATAGGAGAAGTGTTTCTAATCTACTACATAGTGGTTTCCGTGAAAGTCTGGATCAACTGATACAATCATATGCTGAAAGAAGAGGGCACACTCATGTAGATTGGGATCTGCACAGTACCCTGCAAACAGCAATCCCAGATTCTCTAGACCGTGACACAGACCACCAAGTATTTGTACAGAATGATAACCAGCTTAATGGCATCAGTGGTCCACAACTGCTTCCAACTCCACCTGCGCCTCCGCCACAGCCAATATGGCATCAAGATTTGCACCACACTAGCTGGTCTCGTCACTCAATGCATCGATCTGAAATTGTAAGCCTTTTTATCAAGGGTTTTAGGCTCGAATCTTTAATCGATTAATTAAACATCTTAATGACATATCATAAGCTTGATTCAAAGGTATAATGTAGATGTTACTCTTCTTGCTTGCATTAGGAATGGGAGGTAATGAACGACCTAAGAGGAGATGTGGCAAGACTGCAGCAAGGAATGAGCCAGATGCAGAGGATGCTTGAAGCCTGCATGGATATGCAGTTAGAGCTGCAGCGTTCGGTTAGACAAGAGGTTTCTGCAGCCTTAAACCGATCTGTAGGTGACCAAGGTCCGTGCTTAATCTATCCAACAAACATTGTTTCTTATTTGGCCATCTTATGTATATAATATGTTAATTAAAAACGAGTTCTGCAACAGGTACAAGTCCGGAAACATCAGAGGATGGGTCAAGATGGAGCCATGTAAGGAAAGGGACTTGTTGCGTTTGCTGTGACAACCACATTGATGCTCTCTTGTATAGGTAACTTAACTGCTAGTAGCTCAAATCTTTGCTTCTCTCTCTCTCAAACTGAAAACTAAGGAATCCTTTGAACTTGCAGATGTGGGCACATGTGTACTTGCTCGAAATGTGCAAACGAGCTTATAAGGAACGGAGGGAAATGTCCGTTGTGTAGAGCACCTATCATCGAGGTAATCCGAGCCTACTCAATTTTATAAGCCTATAAAACACATTCGGAGAAAAAGACAATGAAAGAAGAGAAGGACCAGCATCAAGAAATGTGTTTTGGTTTTGGGGTTAATAATTATGTAGTTGTAGTATCTTATTCAAAATCCATATTTGATGTATATAGTCTAAAAATGAATTAACTAAAAAGAAGAAGAAACAAAAGGCTCTCTCATTGATCATAAATTCATAATACATGTCTAATTCGTACTTGACTGAGCCACATTTTTAGTTAAGCCAAGAATATAGAAACTCGGATACTTAACTTGTCAAATAACACCAAAGAGTAAGAACGTTAAGGTACAAAACGTGGGTACGTAGAATGAGGTGGTTCTACTACACTAGTACTTAAAATGTGTAGTGGACATGGCTCCTCTGTGGCCACAGTACCATACAATACTTTCTCTTTTAAGTGCTTGGGTCTAATAATTTTCAATTTATTTCAACATCTACCACATCCTTAACCTAATTTGGATAGGCTATTTAGTTACATATTCATTGCATCCAACTAGCGCAGCAGCTTCTTCTTGGCTCTACTGTATAACTTTGGTATATTTTCAACCCCATTTTATATATCAAAGTTATATAGTGCAGCAGCTTCTTCTTCTTTTCTCTCTTTCTGTATTTTGAACCATAATGTAATAATAACTCTAGTTCAGTGTATTTTAGTGAGCTAAATTGATAATATGGTTGAAAATAGATCTAGTATAATAATGTGTAGCAGAAATCACGATGGTATATTGTAGCATAAGAACCCGGCTAATTATTGTACCCCACTAGCCAACCTAAATTTATTAAAAAAATAACATTGTTGGTTGTATTGAATAATGTTTTGATATCATCATATATGCAGAGAGAGTAAGATATACTAACAATCATGGTGATTTTTACGGCGTGTATAAAAGTATTACAGTTTATTGCAGGTACTTTTACGCACGATCTATTTAAATATTACCGTATCAAACTAAAGATGACAATTAACAATTAAAAATACTCACTGTATAGTTTTTTAATCATCATCGATCGTGCTTACCCACCTTTATCCACATTTCATTTTTACAAGATCTCCATGGAAAAAATAAGTAAATCTACTATATTATAATTAAGATCATATCATCTAATCTGATATAAGATATGATTTTTTCTAATATTTATACAAGCATGATAATGCCATTAGTTAGTATTAGAACTGATGAAAGATTAGTTATGTATGTATATATTGCTAGACATTACACAAACCAAAAATCGAATAATTACGTATGGGTCTTCACTACCACTTCACTAAATTCAACAACCATTCAATTCTCTCCTCTGCATGCATACGTTTCTTTTCCGTAATATTGGTATTCAATGTTTAATTATGTTAGGTGATGTATATATTTCTCTACCTAATTTTCATTAGATTTAACATATTAAGCTGCATGCAAAACTATATATATATAGCTTTGTGTGAGTGTTTGGTTTTGTATTATTTTGTTTTTTTAAAACGGAATCTATCAGCAAATATTTATTTAATTTACATAAGCAAATATGTGCCATACGAATTTCCGAGTACGTGACGAATGGGCACCCGAAATGAATATTTAGATTAAATTGTTGTTTTTTTTCTTCTAACGAGACGTCATCCATAAACATTAAATTTCCAATAAATTACATTAATTTACAGATCCCAAAGCCGTATTTATCGCTCTCTATGTCGGTCCAAAATTGTCAGAGATCAACATGAATTTCCGATCACCCTTTTACTTTGATTATGTTACAATATTTAACTTTTAATATTATTATTAGCTTGCAAAATAAGCAACAATCTATTTTTATATTAGGGTTATTTATAACTTTATATAGTACCAAATATATAAAAAAGGAGTAATTATTTGAATGTAGTTGGATCAAGGCATCATTATCTTTCTCGTGGCTTCTTACACAAGCACACGTAAGACACGCAACCCTTTTTTTTTTTTTTGCTTACATATAAATCTCATCAAACCAAATCAAATCCACACCTAAACCGTTGATTACCACTTTTTTTTATAACCTGCTCCTTTTTTATTTTAACCTTTCTGACCTTTTTAGTTTCCTTAACTTAAAAAGATGATCTCATAACTAGGTTACTATCATCATCATGACTATGTTTATGTTAATATCAGATCGGGAAGCATAATTATGCGCAACATGGGTTTAACAACACATAATACCAAGTGTTATATCGTGGCCGACAGAAATAATTGCTTGCAAAGGCAAACTCGTTTTCTCTCTTTTTTTTTCTTTTTCTTTTCTTTTCAGTATTTTCAAATTGTTATCTCTTTAATTAATCTAATTACCATCATAACCCATGACACAGAATTTCATAAAACAACACTATTGGATCAATGCAAGAGATTCATGTATATATCCAATATCAAAAACAAAGTACACCAATCAGCTAATGATGAAACAAGTACTTTTTAACTGTGCACACTGTTAAAATTGGTATATAAAAAAGCTATAGCTTCATTTCATTTTTTTAACTAAAAGATGATATATATATATATATATACTTGTGCATGTACCACGTTGTAAATTTATTTTAAGTTTGTCAAATAAGTTACTGAAACAAATTTGCGTATTCAAAAGAGCTATAGGGATAGCAAAAATTTAGTAAAAAAAGAAACAAAAGATTCCATCGATCGATCGCACATGTATATTTATAGAGTGGGTCGACGTGTAAAGTTGATTAAAACACATTACATCAAATTTTAAAAAAATCGCAAATTAAAAAAAAAAAAAAGACTATTGGAAATTATGGAACCTTTAGTGAAATTTTCCAATAATTGATCATCTTTGCGAACAAGAACGGAAACTTCTCCGCCGCTTGGTGGTGGTGGATGAGGTCATCGTCGTCTGGTTGTAAACGGAGGAGAAGAAGCGCTCGATCTCATCTTTGTTGACAATGATCTCGTACTTAGACAATGACGTCATAAGCTTCCTCTTGCAAGATCTGACGCCGAGAGACGAAGGCGTCGAGGGTGGGCGGGGTTTCTGCGGCGGAGGAGGAGGAGTAGTGGCGGTGGTTGGAGGAATCTTGTGGTCGGAGGAAGTAGGAGTGGTGCAGCCGCCGCCGCCGCCGCAGTCATCATCATCATCTCTGTTGTTGGATCGGACGATCTTGATGGCTGGTGGGAACTTCAAGATTGGCAGATCTTGTATTAAATCAAGATCCATTCCTTTTTTTTCTTTTCTTTTGGTATATATAAAAAATATTAAATGTTCTTGAAGGGTTTTGTTTTAGTGTTTTTTGTGTTTTGGCGTGTGTGTGTGTGTGTGCGCCTGCTGAACAAATCTTCTTAGAGAAGTGGACTTGTAGGTTTCTCTTATTTATATGTGCTTCTGTCTTTACTTACATACCTTTTTTTTGTTGTTGTTGTATATGTGTATTTTCTATTTAATTATATTATAATTAAGCTAGCGATGGTCGTATGGTAGAAACAAATCCACTACTATCTGATCACTTGATCTCTTCTTTTACATTAATTTTGACAGATAAAACTAAGCCACATGCCAAGTTTAATCTGTTTATTAGTTAGTACTTTTACAGGAGTTTAGATTCTTTTAATTAATAATTTGTTTTCAGTTAATTTACTGTAATATATAATTCTGAAGGAGTAATAGAGGGAGATCAATAAAAAGTCACCTTTGAAAAATGAAGAAAAGAATAAAAAGAGGGTATATATTCACAGTTTTAGATTGAGAGTTACATCCACTAAAAAGAATAATCAACTCAAATAATTAATAGGGAGCCTATATACTGTATATAGAAGTAATTTTAACTTTCTCAAAAAAATTCAAAGAACTTCATATTTTTGGAAAAATCAAACATCAATGCGAATGTAGACTTTGTAAACAAACATATCTAATTTTACTTTTAGAAAATAATTTAAAGAAGAACTAAAATTATTTTTATATGCGATCGACTACTACAGACTAACATGCAAATTTGTAATTCGGTTAAAGTGGTAACATGCATATGTTTGGAAAATAATCAAAGCAGTAACATGCATATAAAGGTCAAGTACATATATAATAACTAATTTTAAAAAATATTTCATCAAAAAAAAGATTAGGCACATACATATAAATAAAAGGATACAAAAGTTAATTAGCTATCAAAGATGTAATTAATCTAAGATCTAAAACGTAGAGGTTGGTTAGAATTTATGTCGTGTACCGCTAAAAAGAAACTAGAGACATGTCATGTGTATAGACTTTTAGACTTTTTCTACATGCATGATGTATAAATTACGATCATGCATATATTTATATATATATATATATGTTGGTCAGATTTGATAAATATAATTTTACTACGATATGTGATATAATTGCCACGGTTTAAAATCACCCACTTTTTGTTTCTTTTTAAAAAATTACACAAAGATTCCCATACAGAAGAAAGTAGCATAAATTTAAATATAGTAACCAAGATTCCATCGGCATATATATCTTTTAATGATACTGTTTTGATTATGATATTCTAACTTCGTATCCGCACGACATCTACACGTTCGTTTTAATCATGGTTTTTTATATATTTATATATACAATATGCCTTATAACTATAGACTCTTCATACATAATACATATATATATATATATATGAATAAATTATATAGTTGAAACTGAATCTAGATCAGTTCAGCATATACATGATGTATGAGTACTGTATACAGACTTGGTTTACAAAGGTAGTGTGCAGAGAATCTAAACATCGAAAGAATTGCCACGTGTCGAGTTTTGGGGGAGGCATGTAGTGTGATGTATGTAGTAGTAGCCTAATAGGGTATAGATCTCTTGTGGATGCGACTCTGGCAAATATCAGACAGTGAAAAAATCCCCCCAAAAAACCAAAAAAAAAAAAAGAAGAAACTGAGAGGTACAGATAAAAGAAGAAACAATCTCTGTGATCTTTCTCAGTTGTTTCTCAATCTCTCACTGTCTTCTTTTTCTTTTTAATCTTTTTTCTCAAAAAAATTTACTTTCTAATTTTTTAACACGAGTAACAACAATAATGTATATGTGTATTATTACTAAGTGAAAAGAAATGCGTGGACAATTTTTTTTTGTTTCTGGACCACTTTTCTTTATTCGATCGATCTTTTTTGAACAACTTTAGTTGTTGTCAACAAAAAAAACGTTTGTTGTTACTCTCTAAGAGAGTTCCTACTTTGAAAAATTTCGTAAGTCTCTTGTTGGAAATTTGAACCATTTATTTTTGGTATCTTTATAGCTGCAGTCTTGGTTTACACTAATGCTTATTAACTGAGAGGGCCAGTTTTGACAAGAATTTCAAACATGATGATATTCAAGTTTTTGCGCACGAGATCGTAGATCTATCTATATATATATATATATGAACAAAAACCTAGGTACGTAGAACTACTCTCTCGAAGTCTCGATCGATATAAACAAGAATAGAGAGATGCATAAAATCCTCATTGTATTAATAATATACATATTTACGTGGTTGACATTATTACAGTTTATCCTATTCTTATACGTGATTGAGTTAGTAGTATGTATTAGTTTTTAAAATAATTTATTTGTTGTAAAGTACGATGGAGACAAGAGAAGTAAGTAAAACGTAACGTGCATATGCATGTCTCCTCCCTAATAATGTATTTATTATATCCTTATAATTAATAATACCAAGCTATATGTATATATTCCATAGGTAATATTTCGACAAATACTATTTGTTTATTATGTAACCGATCGATCATCGATTCCAAGTGGATAATGACCATCATGGTTCTCTCTTGGATGTTTATGTTTCATATCCGAGATTGTCTCTTATATCAATATCCAAACCTATATATACTATACACACGACAAAAAGAAGAAAAAGTGAAATCGACATATAAAAATACCATTTCAATCAAACAGTCTATAATATATATAATAAAATGCCTATGTCTATCCAATATGCTAGCTAATAAGAAAGCTGAATTTTACTATTCTTAAAAAAATCATAGTATACATGCATGAGTTTTTTTCTTTCTACGATTCTATAGATAAATCTTACGAAGTAGTTTTCACTGCATGTACTTTATCATAGGATACCAAAAAAAAGATAGCGAGAAGTCGGAGTGATTGGGAAAATTAGAGAGCAAGGAGTAGACATATAGTCTATTAGCTTAAATGGTAACCAAACCAGTTTGGAGGAAAAAATTTGAATAAAGTATTTGGGACCATAATTTATAAAAAGAATTAGGAAACCAAACCCCATCAACTTTTCTTGATTCTTTCCTTTTGTCCCCATACCATTTAAGTTTGCGAAGTCGTTACGTTACTATTCGGATTGATCCAATTGACGATTAATAAATGTTTAGCTCTTTTGGTCAGTTTTGATGTGGACATGCAAATTGAAAGGGAAGCTTTGCACGGTTTTTGCTTTTCCTTCCAAAGCTTTTATTTTTTTTTATTTTTTTGTAGTATTGATTGGTCCATAGCTCTCTATATATATATATAATATATGTTTTAGTTAGTAGAAGAAGATTGCAAAACAAAGTAAAAGAGTTTGTTGAAGCGTCGTTCGATCGAGCCCCCCAAAATTGCATGTGAATCCATCCATCTGTCTTCGAACACCTTTGTCTACATTATTGAGATCGATAGGGTTTTAGAGATATATAGATAAGTTAGGTACTGAGCTTTTAGTGATGATTTTTATTTTATTTTTTGTCGAGGGGTTCCACTAGCTAGATTGATTGATTCTCCATGAAAATTAAACACGAGGTGCTGAATCTGCCTGCTCTCAGGACGGTCGTTGGCATTGTTGGTCTTGGGTCTTGTCATCTTCATCGTTTTATTTGTACGCTTTAATTCTTTCTCTTTTCCAATGTCCCATCTATTTTATCTATAAATTTATTCATTATGACTAAAAAAAAAAAAAAAGTAGTGACTTGTTTCTTTTTGCAATGTGCGATTGTAAAATCACATATTTTGAATATCAAAACTCCATGTTTTGTTTTCATTTATGATCTCGAATACTTGAGAGACTGACTGCCTCTGGTCTGGTTGAGAGACCAGGTTGGTCGAGTTATGATGATGATCATAAAGTTGAATGAAATTATGCAACATCAACATCAACATCAAAATTGCCTTTTCTTTTCTTTTTTTATTACGAAACCAATGAGATTGTAATGTATATACAAAAAACCATGAAATATACGAAAATTAAAACCTAAATCAGTGGCTAAAGAACGTGCATGCTTTTGTTTCTTACTGAGTTCAAATATTTAAGCCAAAAAACAAAAAAAAGAGAGAGAGAGTTGCGAAGGAAACCTTTACTTTAATGGTGAAGAATAAATCCTAAATCTACAAACTCTCCTATTTTCTGCAGAAAATGGCAAGAGTGTATCTTTGCTTTCGATAATCTCAGTGTGAGCCTCATGTGTTTTGCTTCCCCCTGTCAAAAAAAAAGAATCAACTTTCGTCGAGACTGAGCTCAAGTTAATCAGTTCGCTCTAAGCTCTCTTGTCCCGGGTTTAGTTAGCACGCAAACAGATCTCTGTTTTTATCCTCCGAGTGATTTCTGCTTGTAGCCATTTTTTATCCTATCGTAAAGTTTCTCCTTAGTTTTACGCTTCTTGTCCATCTTCAATCGGTATCTTTCTTCACGTTCTCTCTCATAAACGCCTTTCCAGTGTACTTCTCCGGTTAATGGCCATAACCATCTTTCCCTTGGATGGTCTTTATCATCTGCTGCTTCTGCTAAGTCTTCGTCCATGCTTTTCAGTAAAGTGAAGTTAAAGTACTTGGCCCACAACAAACCTTTTCGTTGTGGTAATGGATGTTGTTCCTCCAGTGAGCCATCTCTTGGGTTTATGTAAACCATCTTTCTCCCGCTGTGATATGCCCAGACATTAACCAACAGTTCCAGAATCCGGCAGTAACAATGCTTTCTCTACTTACATAACAATTAACAATCAGAAATTTGTCAATATCCGAGAACAAAGTCAAGAAGCAAGAAACTGGCATTTTTACCTCGAGTATCGATGAAGCCAATGAACAACTTTTGGAGTCGTTAGTATTGTTGTGCAGTGCATCTAGAGATTCCGAGAACATCCTGTGATTGTGGTACTGGGGTGGTGAGTTTGGGGAAAAATGGTAGATGTTTTAGAGGATATGTGGGGATAATATTTACCTTGAGAACATGACAAACTCGAGGAAAGACGGAGTTGGCATCACCCAATTGTGGAGAGAAGACCAGCGATGACCATCTTCAGGCATGGGAGGAAGCGCTTCAATGTGTTCTGGTAACCCATACATATGCCGGAATGTATCTTCAAAAGTGGTTCTGCATCAATTTAAAACACGAGAAACCGATGTGAGCTCAGTCATCCGAATATCAATATACAAATAAATCAACGAGAAGTG